CTGTTACCTGCAAGATGTAAGACTCAGCTACTTCTCCAGCATGCTGCCATATTCCCCACCATAGTGATGACAGACTAAACCTTGGAAACTGTGAGTGAGCCACCCCAATTAAATGTCTTGCCTTATAAGAATTGCTGTGGTTATGGTGTCTCTTCACAGCAATAGAAACCCTAACTAAGACAGAAGTTGGTACCAGGGAATGGGGTAATGCTGTGATAAGCTGGATCATGTGTTTGTTTGAAGGAATTGGGATTTTAGTACTTTGGGCTATGAACCACTTTGGTTCATAAAGCAATGGACCACTTTAAGCACAGTGGGTCGTTATTTGAACTATGTGGGGCTCACTCAAGAGGTTTCAGAGAAGAATTTTAGTATATTGCCTTAGGAGTGTTCTTATAATATTTTGTTGAAAAATGTGGCTGCCTTTTGCTCTTGTCCAAAGAGTCTGCCTGAGGCTAAAATGAAGAATTTTGAATTAATTCCATTAGTAGAAGAAATCTCAAAACAGCCTCGTATATATTCTGTTGTGTGAATATTAGTGGTAACTCTAATGAAGATTTATAATGATCAAGCTGAATAGGGTAAATTTCGAAATGTAAAATTTAAGGAGAAAAGGAACACCAAAAAGTGGTCTTGTGTTCAAGGAGATAAACAGATTAAGAAATGAAATAAAGGGAGTGGTGGCCTCAGGGCAAAATACTACCCAGCTAAATTTCCAGTTTGTAAATTAAAGTTTAGAGCTGGGTGTGGTGGTAGTGCACCCCTTTAATCCCAGCACTTGTAAAGCAGAGGCACATGGCTCTCTGAGTTTGGTCAGGTCTACAGAGTAAGTGTCAGGAAAGCCAAGATTATGCAGTGAAAGACAGAAAGCAGGTGAAGATGTATTGAAGAGGGGGCCATGTTCCAGCCTCAGCAAGCAGCAAAACTGGGCAGCTTTGGCCATGTGATTCTGGCTTTAGAGTCAAGGATAGAAGGAAGGGGTTATGGAATTTGCCTCCATACCTAAAGAAAGCCTCTGAGGTCAGGCATGTGTCAGGGATGTCCCTGAAAGGAGCCTTATGTAGTAGAGAGGCCATTGTGTGAAGCTGTGAAGTTGAAGCCTGGATTTCTTGAAGACACCAAGATGTTAGAGATGCCAGAGTTGTGGGATACCTGTCAAGGAAAGCTGCTAACAGAGTGGAACCAGCCCAAGAGAAAGACGTGTGCTGCGTTCCCCAAAGCTGAAAGGAGTTGGAGATCTGAAGAATGCTTTGACATCAGACATGGAAATGCAGAGTTTAGAGTTTGCCAAGCTGGTTTTCAGCCTTGCTTTGGAACAGTATTTCCTCACTATGTTCCCTTCCTTGAATTTTGAAATGGTAATATATATACTGTGCCATTATAGGATGGAAGTATATGATCTGCCTTTTTATTTTATTTTTTATAGAGGATTACGGTAAAGGGATTACATGAATCTCAGAAGAAACTTTGAACTTTTAACATTGTTGAGACCGTTGGGACTTTTGAAGTTGGATTAAATGCATTTTGAATTATGATATTGTCACAAGCTTTCAGGGACCAAGAGTGGAATATGGTAGTTTGAAAGTAATTGCCCCCATAATCTCCTAGGGAGTGGCACTATTAGTAGGTATGACTTTGTTGGAAAAGTCTGGCCTTGTTGGAGGAAGTGTGTCACTGTGGGGGCGGGCTTTGAGGATTCCTATTCCTATACTAAGGGTACCTTCTAGTGTGTCAGTCGACATCCTATTGCCTATAAGATCTAGGACTCTCAGTTACTTCTCCAGCATTCTGCCATGTCCCACCATGATAATAATGGATTGAACCTCTGAAACTGTAAGCTTCCTCCTCTTACTAACCCACTTCTGCCATGATGGACCAACCCTTATCCCTCTGAAACCTTAAACCCAAATAATTTCTATGTTCTGTAAGTTGCTTCTGTTGTGACATTTTTACACAGCAATAGAAAATTAAAACAGCTAGGAAGAAAGAAACAAAACAGAAGAAATAGAAATAGTGTATGAAGCAAATTATCCAAGGGCCAGATGTTATGTTGGGAAGGATGTCTGTGACCAAGTGGTTGTGTGTTTGAGTAGGAGGCCAAAATAGAGAAAAGCAGGTAGCAATGAGTCAAACTGCCCAAGATGAAACAGGAACTCACTCAGATGGCTTTTCTCCTCACTTGGTACTATATTCTCACATATATTTTAAGTTGCCTAGCTTTTCATCTTAGAAATCTGTCATTAGAAACAAAACCATTGCATATTATGACTTAGTGTTAACATGTTGGTTTTTATAGCTATTTTAAGAAATAGTGATTTGCTAAGATTCAGATTTATTTCATTACTTAATTCACTACAGGATTACTTACTTGTACATATATTCAGTGTTAATGGTTAATCAACCATAAGATTTAAGTAGTTGATAATAATTCTAAAATAGTTGTAAAAAATTGGTATGTTGTCCATTTTTCTGGGAGAGGATCTGTAGATTTTTGTAAATTCTTAGCAACTTCCCCAAGGGTTAAAAATTACCATATTATATTACCAAACAAGTGTTTCTCCATATTTTCTTTGTTGCCTCAGCTCTATGGACAGGTAATTAAAATACATGTTTATTTATTTGAACTGGAATGAGGTTGATTTTTCATAGGTCTTCAGTTATAGTCATGTTATTTTATAGAAAACATTTTTCAGTTCAGCTCTGTTGAAAGAAATAATCAAAATTGATTCTGGAGAATTAAATTTGTGGTTAAAGGAAATTTTCTTAGCTGCTTTATGAATTTTTAATAAAGCACTGAGTAAGTTGTGGATCATGTTTATTTGATAGCCTCAAAAACAGGATTAAGAACTGGGGAAATGGCTTTGTGTTCTTGCAGAGATCACAGGTTTGATTCTCAACACCCAAGTGGCGGCTTATAACTGACTGTAACTCCAGTTCTAGGGGATCCAACTACCTCTTCTAGCTTCCACTGGTACTGCCTGCATACGTGGTTCACTTACATACATTCAGTCAATGTACTCATACATAATAAAAGTAAATCTTTTAAAACAGAATGGAGATTGGGAATGTTGCTTAATTGGCAGCATGCTTCTCTAGCAATGGCACCAGGTGCCATTCCTAGGATCACATAACACAGGTATGGTAGCAATATAACTATAATCACAACACTCTAGAGGTCATCTTCATTCAAGTTCATTTTCTGCTACATACAGTGAGTTTTAGGCCAGCCTGGGCTACAGGAGAGTCTATCTAAAACAACAAAAACAATTTGAGCACTGTATGATCAAAATCTTGAGATATGTGACTTATAAAGGTAGCATACTAATGATGTAACTTTATGATTCTATAAATAGAATACATGAAGTTCTTTTTTAGTTTTGTTTTCCCAACATGGTTTCTCTGTGTAGCCCTAGCTGTCCTGGGACTTGCTCTGTAGACCAGTCTGGCCTCAAATGCAGAGATTATTTTCAGAGGCCATGGGAATCTACAGTATATGGCAATTGTTAATTCAGGTGTCGATCCACCAGACTCTGATGAAGGTCTGTGCTTTTGACCAATGAGATTTTTTTTTTTTTTTTTATTTAATCACTTCAAGTCTCCTGGAAGAAGAGTTTTTAGACAAGAGGAGAAATGAGGAGAAAAAGCTAGGAGGAATTAGAATTAGAACAGGAGAATTAGTATAGAGACAGAACAAAAAAGAGACAGATTCAGAAAAGCACATAGTGAGAGTTCATTTGTTCTCCCTCAGAACTGAAAGAAAAAAGTCCTTTCACTTGCTATTGAGTCCAGTCTGAATCCTGAAGAGAGTCTTGGGGCTGGACCCCAAATGCTCTTGATAGATTATCCTGCCTCTGCCTCCAAATTGCCAGGATTAAAGGCATGCACCACTACACCCAACACTGAAGTTCTTCTTTAAAACTTGAAGCTTATTTGTAGCAACATTTATATAGAAACTGGTTGTAAAATACTATTTTAACTATTTTTTTCTATTCTAACTTTAAACAGTTGAATTTCTTTTCTCTTTGTTGTTATAATTTTCTGTTTACATACCTTTTCTTTATTGTACAAAGGCTACAGGTGAAGAGTATCATTGTAAGAAGGTGGTAAGGGCTAGAAGTATAATCCTAGTGGTAGATTTAAGTGTTTGCTATGCACAAGGCCTTAGGTTCAGTCCCCAGCATCACAAAAGAGAATGAGTAAGTGAATGAGTGAATTAATTAATTAATTAATTAATTAAAGATTTATTTTGTCTTTAGATGAGGCTATGCTAGATCAGAAACAACCTTCGAGATTCCAAAACTCTTCATGGTTTTTATCATGTCTGTATTCATATACTTAGATTATGTCACAATGAATTTATATACTAAACAATGTATTTGAAAAAATATTTACCCTGATAATTCTGAGTCTCACCTATCTTAAAAGTAAGTATGTGTTTAGAAATGAGAGATAACTAATAAAAACCAGTTAGGTTTTTCTATGGTGCTGTCATTTAAAAGAAACTTTAGCTTTGTTAATATATGTGCTGGATAGTTTTATGTCAACTTGACACATGCTAAAGTCTTTTGACTGGAGGGAGCCTCAATTAAGAGATGGGGCTGCAAGTAACCCTGTAGGGCATTTTCTTAATTAGTGATTGATGGGGGGAGGGCCCAGCTCATTGTGGGGTCATCCCTAGGCTGGTGGTTCTAGCTTCTATGAAAAAGCAGGCTGAGCAAGCCATAGGGAGCAAGCCAGTAAGCAGCAGCCCTCCTTGGCCTCTGCATCAGCCCCTGCCTTCAGATTCCTGCTCTGTTTGAGTTCCTATCCTGACTTCTTTTGATGATGAACGGTGATGTGGCAGTATAAGCCAGATAAACCCTTTCCTCCCCAGTTGCATTTTGGTTATGGTGTTTCATTGCAGTAACAGAAACCCTAAATAAGACAGTATGGCAGTTCACTCATTTTTTTGTGTAATGGAAACCCACATTAATATTGCTTGTTAAACTTTCATTTTTTAGAGTTTGGATTCTGACAAGCCCAAAGAACCAGTGAAAAGATCTCCTCTTCGCCAAGAAACAAATATGGCCAACTTTTCTTACCGTTTCTCCATATACAACTTGAATGGTAAGGTTTGATTAAGTGAAGTCTAAAATAATATACTGAGTTCTATAATACAGGACTAGTAGAAATGTAATTCTAAATGTAAAAACAGTATAAAAGAGTGTGTGTGTGTGTGTATACATATATATATATATATATATTTTTTTTTTTTTTTGACTGAGTTGACCAAATTTTGTTTCTCTTTAAAATTAGTGGGGGGGGGGGGTGTTGGTGTATGCATACGAGTCCAGATCCCTTCAGAAGTATCAGATCCTCTTAGAGCTAGAGTCACAGGTAGTTGTGAATCATCAAATGTAGGTGCTAGAAATCAAACTCAGGGAATCTGGAAGAAGAGTACATGTTCTTAGCCACTGAACTATCTCTCCATCCTGTGTTCTGTTTTTGATTTGTGCATATTAATTCAAATTAATTTGAAGAGTTCCAGAAGTAAAAAAGCAACTAGAACAAAACAAATAATTTTCTTGTTGTGTATTTACTACTTGATATACTGTGTATGCTAATGAGAAAGCCCACAACAATCTAATTGCATTGTTTCCTGACTGGATTATTAAAGTCCAAAGAAAATTAGTAATTTTAAATCAACCATATGACCTTTATTTAATGTCCCTAGCCACTCCTTAGTGTTTGGAATAAAATTTTAAGTTTTTGAGACTTTTTCTCTTTATGCTCTTTTTTTTCTTTTGGTAATACTGTGTCCACCTAGATATTGACCATATTAATAGTTGTTTTAGTTAGGGTTTGCATTACTGCAGTGAAACACCATGACCAAAAGCAAGTTGGGAAGCACAGGGTATATTTGACTTATACTTCCACTTTGTAGTCCATTATTGAAGAAAGTCAGGCAGAAACTCAAATAGGGCAAGAACCTGGAGTCAGGAGCTGATGCAGATGCCATGGAGGGGTACTGCTCACTGGCTTGTTCTCCATGGCTTGCTCAGCCATGGAGCATCCCAGGACCATCAGCCCAGGGATGGCACCACCTACGAAAATGCCCTAAAGCCAACTCTTATGATGGTCTCTCCTTTCAGATGACTCACTCATGTAAAGTTAACATAAAACTACCCAACAATAACAGTGCACAGTTACATGGGAGATTTGGTTAAAACCATGGAATAGTACAAGTAGTATTTTGTCTTTGAATTTACAACTTTATTTTCCATACCAGAGATGGATTATTTGCTTATAAAAATTCTCTTTGAATGTAAAACAAAATCTACTAGGTACTTTATTTGCTTGGTTTTAGACCCAAATGAATGGATTCCTTTGCTTTTTTCCTACTGCCTATGGCTGACTTATAGTAGAATGTATAGATTTTGATTGTGATCTGGAAATTTATGTCTTCTTTGTAGAAGCTCTGAATCAGGGAGAGACTGTGGATCTGGATGCCCTGATGGCCGATCTCTGCTCCATAGAGCAGGAGCTCAGCAGTATTGGCTCAGGAAATAGTAAGCGTCAAGTCACAGAACCAAAAGTTACTCAGAAGCAACCTGTTAGCCGACAGACATCAAAACATGGCACCCTGAGAGGATTATCATCTTCCTCTAATAGAACAACTAAACCTTCCTCAGCTAACTACTCCCTGGATGACATCACTGCACAATTAGAACAGGCTTCCTTGAGCATGGATGAGGCTGCTCAGCAATCTGTAGTAGAAGATTCTAAGCCTTTAGTGACGAATCAGCACAGAAGGACTGCATCAGCTGGCACCGTGAGTGACGCTGAAGTACGCTCTATTAGCAATTCCTCCCGTTCGAGCATCACTTCTGCAGCTTCTAGCATGGATTCTTTGGATATTGACAAAGTAATACGCCCTCAAGAACTGGATTTGACAACACATCAGGGGCAGCCAATTACTGAGGTAAACAGATGGAAATTTTTCCTGTTATTTTGGCCTCAAAATACAGATAAATGAGTTGGGGGTTTTTTAGTCTTTTTTTTTTTTTTTTAATTGACTTTCTTCTTTAATATTTTTTATTGAAAGTACTTCTGAGCTGAGTAAGCCACAGAAGTAAATCACCAGTCAGGGTAGAGTCACAGAGAAGAGTAAGAAGAGGGTTAGAGCCTCCTTCTGTCTTTTGAATTGTTAGAACCCTTCAATTAATGCTACTTATTTCGTGTGGTTAAAAAAATTGAATTATGATTGGCAAAGCCAGGAATGCTTAGTAAGATGATATGATAATTGTTTTTAACATGATTAAATTGAGACCATAAGGCCATGTAAATCCTTATTGTACTCTTTGATGGTTCTTCTATTTGGAATTTGCTTCATTCTATTATCAAAGGGTTAGTTAGCTAGTGTGGTGTAGTAGAAAGAAAGCTGGACTTCAAGAACTTGCTTCTTTGTCATTTGGTATCCATGGAACTCAGGTGAGTTATTCAGTTTCTCCAGACATCAGTTTTTCTTTTTTTCCTTTTTTTTTTTTTTTAAGTATTTTTTATTTTACATATTCCTCTCCCTCCCATACTCCCATGCACCTCACAGACACCCCCATCCCATCCCCCATCCACTCCTAGTCACCAAAATATCAAATAACCCTATTAAAAAGTGGGTTACAGAAGTGAATAGAGAATTCTCAATAGAGGAATCTAAAATGGCTGAAAGACAAAGTACATCCTTAGCCATCAAGGAAATGCAGATCAAAACAACTCTGAGATACTATCTTACTCCTTTCAGAATGACTAAAGTCAAAAACACCAATGACAGTTTATGCTGGAGAGAATGTGGATAAAGGGGTACACTCCTCCACTGCTGGTGGGAATGCAAACTTGTACAGCCACTTTGGAAATCAGTATGGCAGTTCCTCAGGAAAATGGGATCAGTCTACCACAAAATCCAGCAATTCCACTCTTAGGCATATACCCAAAAGATGCACATCCATGCAACAAAGACATCTGTTAACTATGTTCATAGAAGTATTATTTGTAATAGCCAGACATCAGTTTTTCATAAGAAAATTTTTAATTCCTAGTACCTGTCTGCCTTCCTCTCTTCCTCAGAGGGTGATTCAGAGACTCAGAAGTGAGGTGGGGGATGTAATACTACATTTTCCTGAGTGTTTTGGGGTAAGATGGATTTGTGATAATAAAGTTAACAAAGGAAAGATTTATCTCTTGATTTCTTGGCATCTAGAAGGTAGCAATTTTGTTGTATGGGAGCAACAAGAAAGAAAATGAATGGATCAGAACAAAGTCAGCCTTTCCAATAAGCTTGTGTTTATATACCTTATTACGAAGCAAATAAATGCATGCATTTAACACTACTGTGAAATATTGTCAAACATCATAGAAAGAAATTACAGAGAAACTTGAAACTTACTATCTGGCATTGTTAGACTCTCCCCTGCCCTACTGATTCAGTTCTTCAGATTAATTTAATCAGTAACTCTTGGTATTTGCCCAGAACCTTAGCTTTGTTTTAGGTACTATGGGGCACAAAAGAAGCATTAATCGTGGTTTAGAAACAAATGAGTTACTGCGAAGAGAGTAATAAGCAAATCATAGGAGCTTAAAGAATTTATTTAGCACCAGTTTCTCAGCATTTAGTTTCATGTCAGAGTTTACCGGCTTAGATTTGAGTAAGCAGTATTTTATTAGAGATGTGTTTTTCATCTTCTTTGTTTTGTATGTTATTCCTTTCTGTCTTATTATTTTGAGTTAGACCAAAATTGGTGAAAGCATATATAAACTAATTTACTAACGATATTCTGTGTAGCTGTGGTTGTTAACTGCCTGTCCTATCCATATCTGTCTTTCTGTCTGTGAAATACCACTCACTAAAGTTCAAACAATGTAAAAGAATATAAAGTGAAAAGACCCATCTCTCAGGAAACATCAGTGATATCTGGTGACATCCATGGACAAAGATAACAATATTTGGTGGTAAAGTATTTAATATAATATTTTTGGTTGGTTTTGTTTTGTTTGGTTGGTTTTTTTTTTTGTTTGTTTGTTTTTTGTTTTTTTTTTTTTTGTTTGTTTGTTTGTTTTTTTTTTTTTTTTTTTTGAGACATGATTTCTCTGTATTGCTTTGGAGCCTATCCTGGAACTAGCTCTGTAGACCAGGCTGGGAAATCCGCCTGCTTTTGCCTGCCAAGTGCTGGAATTAAAGGCATGTGCAACCAATACCTGGCTTAATATATAGTATTTTTAACAAGAGGTTTAGTATGTAAATCAGGGAGTGATTTAAAGTTTTATCAGGCCTCCTCTTTTACTTTGTCCAATGTGATTTTTAAAAGTGATTTAATAGCTTGCTTCAATAACCTTTGTTCTTGATATACTGCGTTCTAATTCAAATTGAACAAACTGAGATGAGCTCATTAGATCCAAAACTCATATATCAAATAGTCTTCATATCAAATATAATTTTAAAAATTCTGATTTTTTTTTATACATGGAACTAAATAGTTCTGTCAGACTTACGAAGTATTTTTTGCCACACACATGTCATATTCTGCTCCCAGAAATAAGCAGTTTCTAAGCTTTGAGCTTGTTCTTATAGCATTTATCTCCATGTCATTGAATTCATACTTACATCACTGTATATCTTTTTTTCCCTGCTGTGTCTATTATGTGAGACTTTGGCTTGTCTTTGGACAATACCTTTCACTTCTCTGCTCTTGTTCCATCCTGTCTAGTTCTCCCTTCTTCTTCCCCATCTCACATTTAGTTAGTTATTGGTGTTTATTTCCTTTCTTTTTTGTGGTCTTAGAGATCAAGCCCAGGGCCTTAGATATGTTAGGCAAGCACGTACACAACACACTCTTACCACTGAGCTAAACCCCCAGCCCTCCCAGTACACTCTGTGCTTTTACTATAATGGCTGTACACTTGAATTGGTTGCAAACCTGTATATCCTTTATTTTAGGGGATGGCAATTTGCTTTTAAAAAACAAAACACTTCATTTTCTCTGTGTTTATCATTATTTCAGCTCTAATTTATCATGGTTGATTCAGTCTTAGCTTGAACAGAGTTAATGTTGTATTCATCTCTTCCCTCTTAAAATTCTTTTTCCGCCTAGTCTCTTATTTAGGGTTATTTATGTCTTTTCCCTCTGACCACTAACCTTCTGCAGAGAAGATTCTGCCAGTCTCTGGCACGAAGTGCATATGCCTAGCAGCCTCTCAGTAGCCATTAGGGACAAGAACAGCTTTGGATGTGGGATTGTTTCTCAGTGTGAACTTCATTTGATCCTTTAGATTTCTTAACACAAATATAATTGACACTTTGGGCTACATGGATTTTGGTTGTGAGAGGCTACCCTGGACATTACATATTTAGAAGCACCCCTAACCTCTACTCAGTAGATGTCATTAGCTTCCTTCCAATTCTAGACATGTTTGCATGTCCATGAAAGAAAATCATTCCAAGCTGAGAATTTCATCTCTAGGTAGAAAATTAATAGCAAATCAGAACCCTCTTTTCAGGAAAAATGACTTTGTGTTTACTTTTCCTGGCATCTTTTTCTTGGAAATACAGTGAATTAAGATTAGTTATAGATGACTAGTATAGGAGGGTTACTGTGAGTTCCTCAGCCTGGCTGTAGAGTGAGATGTGTTTCAAACAAAACAGATTGAAAGATTGGTTATAGACTATCTCTAAGTAGGGTCAGAGTGTGGCCCAGTGGTGCATTGTTTACTTAGCACATACAAGGCTCTGCAGCACCAGAAAGAAAATGGTTGTTCAGAAAAGTTGCCAGGTATTGTTGTTTACTTTAAAATTGTCCCAGATTCTAAGTGCATACAGAACAGGGAGAGTGCCTTGACGAACATGGTAAGGCCTAGACCCCAACTTCTTTGTGTGGTATACCTTCTATAAGTGAATAAGAACATGTCTCTGGGCAGCCTTAGTGCTTACATTCATTCCTACGAGATAGAACGTTCCTGTGGAGTGTGATGTTTTCACAAATCTGGTCATTTCTATTCTTACCAGTGTGGCCTCTTCTTTTGTGAGTGTCATGAACTGCCTCTGAAGATGATATACCAGAGGTTGCAGAACTGAGTGAACCTCATCTCAAGCAGTAGCCTATTCTGTTTGTTGGGTCCTATGTGGGCAAGTGAAGAAGGAACTCTTGGAATTAACTACTTTCGCAAATACAGTTTCTATCTGTAGTCCCACTGTCACTACTACTGCCTCTGAGGACTAGAGCTTCTAAGTGCTGTCCTGCTGTGCTGTCCTGTTTTCCTCTGGTGCTGGCTCGCATTCAACTTTTATTGGGCCTTTCAAGTAGGTACTACTCAGCCATATTCTTTGTACCTTCCAGAAATTGCCCTTGTCTGCTTGTTGTTTTTTATTTGTTTGTTTTAAAGCCTTTTATTTAGTGGGATTTGGAAAGAGTAGAAACTGCCATTAGCCTTCTTTCTCATTGCAGCCTCCTGAGTTTTGCAGTGCCTCACAGTGGGATCTTCAGACTTAACTGTTTCCATCACATCCTTCTACACTGACAATTCCAACTTTTTTAAACTTATTAAAAATATTTCCATACAATATGTTTTTCCCCTTCCCTAGTTCCTCCTTACCCACACAACTTTGTTCTTTTTCTCTTTCTCTCAAAAAAAATAATAAAATAATAAAAACCAAGAAATGGCCACATACGAGAAAAACTCACAAAAATAAGCATCAAAATAGGCAAAAGACTAATAAAGCAAACATGCCCAAACAAAGCAAAGTGAGTTAGAAAGTCTATAGAAATACCATTGAGTTCATTTTGTGTTGACAAACTGCTCCTGGACATGGTGCCTGTCCTGAGGTGTGATTAATATACCCCGTGAGACTAGTGGAGCAGACAGCTTCTTAAGGGATGGAGCCCCGTGTCTACTTCCCTCTCTTAGTGCTGGGACCCCATCTGTCTTAAACGTGCATATATCTTGTTCATGCTGCCGCAGTCTCTATGAGTTCAGATGTGCATCTGTCCTGTTATGTCTGGAATGTTCACCTTATTACTCATTTTATTTTTCCCCTAAATTACTTGAGAGTTGGTTACATTTGTCTTGACCCTTTTCTGTTTGTCATGGCTACTACTGTTTCTTTTCCTGAGAACTATATTAACCATATAGAATTGATAGACCTTATTGATTTGGTAACTGAAATAATGCTAAGAACATGTTTAATGGATATTACATAGAAAAGTGAAAAGTCTTTATCTGACCAAGCATATGACATGAAGGCAAAGCAGAATTAGTTATCCATTCCATAAATAGTTAAATATTTCATAGATACTTCGTACCTAGGCACTGCACTGGAATGTAGAGGATAAACTGTCATTATCAGGAACTGGAGAGATAGCTCAGTGAGTTAAGTGTTTACTGGACAAGCTGAGTTCAGATCCCCAGCATCCATGTAAAAACTGGGCATGATGATGCAGGTGTGTAACCCTGCGTGATGATGCAGGGCTGAGGGCAGTGATTAGGTGGATCCCAGGAGCCAGCCCGTCTTGCTTAATCTGTGAGTTCCAAGTTTGACCATGTCTCAGCAAGTGAGGTAAAACATTATTGAGGAAGACATCAGGCATCACCCAGTGACTTACATAAGCACACACAAACACAGCATCACACGTACAAGGTCACCAATAACTTTGAAGATTAATTACAGAATGCTTTACAACTCACAGGCTGAAATCTTTAAGGGGAAAGATTGCAAAAAATTAAGAAATTAATGAGTGGCTAGGAAGTTGCAGAACTGCCAAGTATAGATTCAGGAAATTTGGCAGTACAGAGAAACAAGAGTCAAGAGAAAGGTAAACCAGGAGATTTGAACATTTTGCTGTCACTTCCTTACCTCAATGGGTTGATGTGGATGAATTCTGAAGGAGGAATGAGTCAGACTAAAACATGCTTAGCTTGAGGGAAAGGCTATTTATTCATACAAACTTGCAAGGATGGGTGGGGAAAATGTGCATTTAGTACAGAATATACTTTGCTGGCTGAGATGTGATATTCTTTGTACGGGAAGAGGTAAAGGGGAAAGCTGAAGCTTGAGGAATATGGAGACTTAGCACAGGCTTTGCAGGAGTCTTAAAGTGCTACCAGTGGTCCAGGGCAAGTAAAGGTTTTTTTAGCATAAATTGCTTCTGGACACAACATTGCTGCTTAGTGTTTCTGACAGAGTGTATTGTCTAGAAGAATTGTTAAGGATTAGGATCATATGGTTCTTGATTTTTAATTTTTGTGTACAAGAATGGATAGAAATAATAGCCTGCAGTTTTTAATTACTGTTTAGTTTCATTACTGTTTATTTTATTCAGTGATCCATTTCTCTTCCTGCATGATGAAGAGCTGCTCTTCTCACCTCCATTACCTTTCATTTTTTCCCTTCCTCCATTCCCACAGCATGCTATTTCTCAGAGATGTCCCAGTAAGCAGGCCAAGCACCACTCTGACGTCACAGAAGAGCAGGCTGAACTGACACCTGTAAGTTCTGTAAACATGGCATGGGGCTATTTAAATATCAAAGAATAAAAAATAGATTCATTAGAATTCCAAATGGTGACCTCTGATCATATAATAATGCCAGTTTTTCTTTTTATTCAATAAAGTTATTTTAAGAGACTTATAAACTAAAAAAAAAAAAATTGCACACCAAAAAAGTCAGTGAGCTTCCATATAGTTAGTGTAGGCATTTGGAATGGAGAAGCTCACATTAAATTTTAAAATTTCATTATTGAATATATTTTATGCACTTACCCATCACTAAAAAATAAAATAAAATCCATGGCAGGCAAAAAATAGAAAAAATTAGCTTTATATTCTTTTCAATAATTCATGTCTGTTTCCTGCATTCAGCCTTCCTTATTCCCTAAAATTTTGCTTTTTGTGTTCTTTCTTCATGTTATGCTGTACCCATGTATGCATTTGTTTACCTATATGCATATATTATTGGTTGAATTCTGCATATGAGAGTGAATATGTAATTTTTCCTAAGATATATATACATACATACATACATATACGCACACACACTCTAAGTCTATCCATTTTCCTGCATTTCTTTTTTTTTTTTTTTTTTTTTTTTTTTTTTTTTTTTGTGGTAGCAATTACATACGTCACTATCCCTTAGTAGGAATTTCACATATTAAAACAGTCTGATATAGGGCATTGAATGTTAACACTCAGGGTAGACTACCTGATACAAGGGGTTTTATATTGGAACCATTTTTAAAAATTCTTACTCTAAGGGCTTTCATCAGCTTAAGGCCCTGATGGATTTAACTGTTCTTCAGGATGGGTTCGTAAAGTGCAGTGTCTCTTCTATAACGATGCCTAACTGAATACCTGGTCTCTGGCTGCAGCTGTAGCTTCTAGTCCTTTTAATCCCAGCACCCCTTTTTACATAACAAATAATTTGTGACACTATCTTTACCACCCCCAACAAAATTTACAGTTAACATAATCTACCTACATCCCTACAATGTAATATACCTAGGATGTCTTAATGCCTAGGATGAAAAAAAAATGAACCCAAATAATTTGTAATAAAAATATTTAATACATAAATATTCGACTGCTACTGCTACTGAAGGATGTAAGACAGTAGGTAAAATCCACCTGTTCTTAATCTAGAATTCTCACACAAGTGATCAGTAGTGTGTTTGCTAATGAATACCAAAGGAAGAAAGAGTGGATAGAATATGAGCTGCTCCCAGAACCGAAATATGCCATGAAAGTAAAGATACAACGTAGTGATATACCATGAAAGAAAATGGAAGTACCTTAACTGAGGTAGTGATCTGGTGTGCTAAGACTGTTACAGTTTAAGTAGGGACAATGGAAAGTACAAAATTCTTTGAGTTCTTCCTGCCTTAGCAATACTAAGTGCTTGGATTATAGGCCTTATCTGGCTCTTGAGATAAGTTTCTTGCTGTAGTTACAGTGATTAAATGAGATGGGTTAGTAAGAAATGATGTGAAACATACATTTTTCATTGTGGTATACTTAAAACAATAAATAAAACAAAAAAATGAAATATTTTTAAACCGTCTATACTATGAAACTCAATGAAATTCCTACATTTTATATTTTTACTAATATAGCATTTGCCCTTAATTTTTTTCAGAGGAATTTGAGATCTTGGTATATCTGACACTGACATTGCCAGTTGTGATACTGGCAGCTCTTACTTTAAACTAGGGTTCCATTAGTAATGGTTTCACATCATTACAAACAGTTTTATAAAAATAAGTTTTAAAGGAATCCATGGAGGAGTAGGTGAGTATAAGCAAAGAACCATGTTTATATGCATGAAAGTTAATTAAATCCATTATATTTGACATTATTAAACATAATAAAATAAAAAGTATAGAATTTCCTCAACCCATTTCATAAAACAAAATGTTCCAAAATTCATTGAAAGTTAATATTATATAAAATTACTTTGGGTTATACAAGGATTTTCATTTATATGATTTTCCATGGAAGAACATAAATGTCTTGAGGGATGGGTTGGTACTTTTATGCGATTGTGCCATGCTTTAGGACATCTGGCACTTTCAACTTTCTTCTCAATAAATACTATTAACCCTTCCTTTTGTCTTTATTGTGAATACCCAAAATACCTTTACCATTTTCTGAGATGCCAAGTTAAAGACAGTATTGAGAAACATTGATTTCAAGTATTTGCTTGTTTTTTTATTTCCTCTATTCATCCCACCCTTTCCAGCCTCCGTTTCATCCTCCACAACTGTATACAATTTCCTGAATACTTTCCTAAGCCCCTAATTTTGGCATAGGTACTGCCCCCTCCTCCTTCTCATGCCACCTAACACACTCCATTGTAGTTGTCAATAGGCAACTAACTATTAACTAAGGAGATGCAAACCAGGCAGCGTGGACAGAACAAATACTAAGTGACTGCCTTTAACTCCAGCCTTGAAGTTAGAATCTAAAAGCTGGCTGAACAGAGAGGGGGAGAGCATAAATGGAAGAAAAAAGGAAAACAAATAGGCCTTGGATATTTATTTGTTTGTTTTGGTTTTTCAGGACAGGGTTTCTCTGAAACAGCACTAGCTATCCTGGAACTTTGTGAGTTTAAGGTCAGCCTGGCCTACAAAGTTCTGCCTGCCTCTGCCTCCTGAGTGCTGGGATTAAAGGCGTGTACTGCCGCCACCCGCCCTTTTATTTATTTTTACTTTAATGTGTTTGTATGGGCATGTGTGTCACAGTGTGTGTATGGAGTTCAGAGGACAACTTTGTGAAGTTGGCTCTTACCTTCTACCTTTACATGGGTTCTGGGAATCAAATTCACATTTTCAGGCTTTCACAGCAATTGCTGAGCCATCTCACTGGCTTGTTGTTAACTAGCAACATGTGCCAGGACACCTTGGCTGCACACATACTTTTTCTTACTCCCTTTCCATCTTTCTCCAATGAGAAGGCTCATTCCTTCTTCCTTCTGAAAGCGAGGAGTTTGGAGCAATGTATGTTTGACTGATACTAAAGGGAGAGAGAGACAAGTAACATAGGAATTTATTTCAACTTCTGGTTTCTAGATGTCATTCCTGCTGTTGCATACACCTGTAGTTTAAATAAAAGGAATCTGTATCTGCCTTCCCTTAAAAGGCCCTGGCATTCTACTTTTCTAGTAAACCAGGTCCTTTTCTTCAGCAAAAATTTCAACCCAAATAATTATTTTACTTTCAGAGTATTACCCTCATAAGCAAAGTACAATACAGTAGTACTTTCATAAGTCAAATTTTTATTATCTATAGAATAACTAAAAAGCGTTATGATTATATATTTCTGGATCTATTTCTTTTTTTCTCCCTGAGATCCAAACTATGTTGTTCTTAAAAATTACTTTATATGTATAGATGTTTTGTCTGCATGCATGTCTATGCACCATATGCATGCCTGGTACCTGAAAGAAGGCATCAATTTCCTCTAGGATTAGAGTTACAGACAGTTGTGAGCTACCACATGGGTCCTGGAAATCAAACCTGGGTCCTTTGGAAGAACAGTCAGTGCTTTTAACCACCAGGTTGCCTCTCGTATAAGTGGAGAGAGGAGAACATGCGTGCACATGACACCACACTTGGGGGACAGATGAAAGACAACTACTTTGTGGAATTGATTCTCTTCTTCCAGGATGTTTTAAGGCAGGATCTCTCTTACTGTTTGTGCCATACTGTGTATTCTAGCCAATTACATTGTTCATGGAGATCTCGCTGTAGGACTGCTGGGATTACAAATGACCATCTAGCCTTTTACATGGATTTCAGGGATTGAATTCATGTTAATGCATGTACAGCAAGCACTTTTACCTGCTGAGCCATCTGGTCCCCTGGATCTGTTTCTTAGGCAACAACCAAAATATTTTCTGAAAACCAAGTGCCAAAATATTTTTATCTAATTATTTTATTACATGCCTGTAATTAATATTTTGCCAAGCCATAGCTTTTGTGGGTGGCATGAGGCAAAATTTATTTCTTAAAACATGAAATGCAAGGCTAGCAAGATGGCTTAGTGGCTAAAGGCACCTGTCACGAAGCTCTATGGCCTGGGTATGACACCCCCCCCCCCACCAGGACTTACATTGTAGAAGAAGAGAACTGTATTCTTGCACGTTCTCTTTGATGTCTATAGTGTAGTATGTATATACCAACACAAACACACATGCCATAGAGGCACCAAGATACATGTACATACATGTGCACAAAAATAAATAAAATTGTAAATATATTAAACTTGAAGTGCAGTTGCATGAGTATTGATATTCCACTATTTGAGACTCTTTTTGGAAAAGTAACCTCTGTAAGATAAATTCAGAGTTTTCATGAAATTACTTTCTTGGGCTAGAAAGATAGCTAAGGGAGTAAAAAGCACTTCTTGTGTATATACGAGGACTAGAGTTTGGATCCCCAGAACCCACACAAATGCCAAGTGGACTTGTTAGCCTGCATGTAACCAGATATGCACTAGATCTACACATGGAGACACATAAACACACCACACACAGATTCTTCAAAGCCACTCTGTCTTTTATGCATTCGCATACAAATATTTTTTCTCATGTATAGTTGACAAAATAATGAGTGAATGAGGGCAGTTGAAGTTATAGCTGATATTTTTAAAATGTGCTTTTAGTCTTTATTCTTTTGTTTTTCTCTCTGGTCTGGGCTAAGCAGTAACCTTAAACAAAATTTGAGTTTTGCTACCTACTGTTTTATGGATGAGATAACTAGTTTTTATCTTTGGGAGGACTATAGCATATAGATAAATGAGGACCTAGGAATAATTTTCTCAGTTCTGAATGTTTGACCTTTTTAATAGCAATCATAAGGAATCCCCTTCAGCACGTACTATTAGGTCTCTTTGTTGTTGTTTTGGGGGAATGTATGAGAGGGGGCAGTTTTATAGGTTCATCTTGAACTAAAACAAACTTTAGCAATACAAACAATTGACATTTAACAGACTCAACATAGTGTAGATCTAAGCTAAGTTTAAATTAACACCTTTCATAGCAGTGCTTCCAGTCTTGAAGTAATATGCTGTATTGTTTATATGGACTTGTGAAAGTGTCTACGGGTCTTGTATCTATTCATTGGACTTTGTTTCCAAAAGAAAAAAATTGTCAGAATAATTCAATACAGTTAGATTTATGAAAATAAAACATTATGGAACATTCTTTGGTACAATACCTTCCATTCACATTCATTGCTTTCAATGGTGAAAGTAATTACATGGTATTAAATTCTAATTCATATTTATTAAGGGACAGGCAAAGCTCAATGATAAACAGTCTCAGTTTAAGGATAAATATAATTCTGTTACATATTCTTACATGTTATTTATCAAGAGGGGCTTGAGAGATAGATCAATTGTAAAGAGAGTGTACTGCTCTTCCAAAGAACCTGAATTCAGTTCCCAGAACCCATACCAGGTGGCTCACACCTGCCTGCAACTCCAGCTCCAGGGAATCCAACAAATCTGGCCCCCTTGAATACCTGTACTCACGTGCACACACAGACACACACATACACATAATTAAAAATAAAATGAATCTCTTTTTAAGTTACTAAGAAAATATAAATGGTAGTTAGGGACCATGTTATTTGCATCATTGCTGGGAAAATATATTAACTGAATAAGTTTAAACCAGCTCAAGGGGAAAATATTCCATGTACATTTTCTATGAAAGTCTTTCACTGTGTAACATTGTCTTGTAATGAATGGATTAATAAAATTTTACTAAAAACAAAATAGCAGGCAAAATACATATGGGTGTTTTTCCTCTTGATATGGATGTGGCTATCACTGAATTAATGAGAAACAGTTTCTAGTCTAAGTGTTTGTGTTGTAAACACAGTATATTGTTTTAATCTATATAAACCTTTTATGGATTTTTAATAGGAAGAACTATAGTCATCACCCGTTGACATGGTTTTACTTATGCTCTGTGCACAGCATTCTTAACCACTGGCTTGTAAGTTAGACTGGCTCTATGATCTTTGCATGTATTACTCAGAGCCAGAAATCAGCAAGTCACCTGGAACACATCTGTGGGCACAGACAGGCCTTTACCTATTCATTTCTGTTGGTGGTGGTGATGGTGGTTTGGTTTTTAAAGTATTTTTTCTTGATTGTCATATTTTACTCTGTTTACAAAAATTGGAGATTATTTATAGAGTCATTCTTGCTCTATTTTATTTTAAAACACATAAAGCCTCCACTGACTTCTTTTATTGCCTTTTTTTTTCTCTCTCTCTCTCTCTTTCTCTCTCTTCCTGCACAAGCACTCCTATCTGGACAGGGAAACCTCCCTTCTTCTGAGAAACATTGCAGGAAAACCTTCTCATTTGCTGACCAAGGTGATGCCGCTGTTTTCCACATGCATGTAACTATTCATTGGCTTGCAGACAGAATATAATCTCCTTTGGGATTGCATTCTCAGTATCTTTTTCTTATTATGTGGCATCACTGTCCTTAGTACAGGATGCTTTTTCTCTTGCTAAAAGTAATTGTCTTCCAAATCTAATGACTTGTAATATTCAAAGCCAAAAATATGTTCAGTAATTTCCACTTGTTTTTAACTTCTACAGATACCTGCTATTCTTCCGAGTATGTTGCACTTTTTGTAGTTTAGTTTTCAATTGCATTTCAAAGCCTAAAAGCATTGCTTTAACTTAACTTTTGCTATTAATGATTTTATGCTATGAGTTTCTTTTGCAAGCTTTACAGTTCTTGCTTACATTATTACCTCTGGTTTAATTACAACACTTACATAGACAGAATTTTGATTTATGTTAACATAGTCTTACTCGAAGAGAAGATCACAATTTGAATTTCTCAATTTTCTACCTTCAGTTTTATTTGATTCTGCTGGATTTTGCTGGGATATTATTTTACAACTTAAAATCCTTCATCAATTCTCATTATTAACTAGGTAACAATAATCAAGGAGCTGAATGACTGTTTTCCTAATCATTGTCTTAATCATTATCTTATTGAAATAGCACTTAAGTTCAAGAAAGCCAGACTTGCTTATAGTTTCTGAAGAATAAACAACATAGAAGCTATGTATGTTATTATATTTGAGAGGGTTTTTTTTTTCTTTCATTTATTAATAGCATAAACTTTGGAGAGGAGGTAACTAACTAAAATCAGAAACTCTCTAAGAAGCAGCTCAAAGAAAAGGACCCCTGACAGAATAAGAAGTGAGACTGTTTCTTTCCCCAAATTTCCTTCCTAAAACAAATCAAGAATCAAAAGCATAAAGGTCAGGGCAGTAAAGAAATCTAGGCAAGTTTTATCCATGTACTTTCTAACCCAAGAGTTCACCCTCATAGGTTAACTAGGATCTGTTCTAGAAGAGAGTGCTAGCTCTTGTCATGTGCACTGTCTCTGTGTCTGTCCTTGCTCCCCTGTGTTTCCAGATAGTTGGTGGCTGTTAGGGTTCCCTAAGTATCTTCAACATCTTACTTACTGGCACTTAAATCCTGCAGAAACTCACCCATCTTCTCCCCGGGGCCCCGCAACTTCGATATGTTTTCTTTTTCTACTTAGGGTACTACCACTCTCCAGTGACACAGGTTGAGCATTCTGATCACCTGTCACTATACATCTCACTTAGTATCTCAAGTCTATAATGAACCTGTTGTAATCCTCCATTTTACTGGGTTTACCCATCTGTTTTATTCCCATTGACTCCACCATAAAAACAGTCTCTTAACACTTATCTTAGCACTATAGTTATCTCTTACTTTGTCCCTCGTCTTTTTCTTACACTGTACCCAGATTGAGCTTAATTAACATTCTACCACTTCTCTTGCTTATTTTGTCAAGTATTGGCACTTGTACTGTAAAGTTAGTATACAACACTGTTGAATGGACATATTCCTTACTCTTAAGGAGTATACAGTATATTATGAAGATAAAGAAACCAGACATTGTGGTACACACCTATTATAATCTTAACACTTTTAAGATAAAGGCAAATGGATCAGCAGTTCAGGGCTATCCTCAGCTATACAATGAATTTCGGCCACCTTGGAACTATAAGAGACCCTGTCTTGAGAGAGAGAGAGAGAGAGAGAGAGAGAGAGAGAGAGAGAGAGAGAGAGAGAGAGAGAGAGAGAATAGTACGTAAATTATGTTAGGTGCTATGAAGGAAACAAAGGAGTAGAGAATCCAGAGGACAAGATAAACAGTCCATTTCACCAATGATGAGGCCAGAAAAAGCCCTTTTGGGTAGATGAAATTGAAACCAAAGCCTAAAGGATGAAAAGAAGCCCACTTGAAGAGAAAGGCAGGTTGCATGTAAATAGGCTGAGGGAACAAGGGTTTGTCATACTTGAGAAGCTAAAATTAGTATTGCTAAAACTACTATAATAAAGTGGAGCTACAAGTGTTTTGTTGTGTTGATAAACGTAAGCAAGAGCCAGATCCTCTGAGGCCTGCTAGGACATTTGTATTTCTATAGATGCAATGGGGAACTATTGGGGAAAAGTAGCATCATCCATTCAGCAAATACTTACTGAGTACCTTGTATGTGCCAGTGTCCTGGAAATTATGGACAGTAAACAAGTTCTTCCCACAGACATAATTTTACTTGGTAAATTTGAGATAAAAAAGTGTTAGTAACTTCTCATCTCCTTCAGCCAAGGAGACAGTCATACAGATTGAAATATGAAAACTTTCTACCTACAACTTATAGTGACATTGGTATATTGGTCAACATCTGGGTTGTTAACCAGATGTACCACTGCATAAACAAGTGTAATACCCTGCTTGTGCAGCAAGCAATTTGAGCAAACATGTGATTCAGTAGTGTAGGATGCTTGGGATGGCATCATGGAAGGTGGCATATATTTCTAAGCAGCCCAAGCCATAGAGCTCAGATGAACCTTACTCTGACTTTGTTAGTGCCCTCCCTCTGTCGGAGCACCTGGCTCTTGTGAATTATGTGCCCTTCCCTCTTTGATGCTGGGTATTGAATCCTGAACCTTTCATATACCCAACATGTCCTCTGCTACGGAGCTGTACTTTCAGCCCTAACTAAATATGTACTGCTAACATACCAACCTATGAAATAGTCTGACTTTGGACCATAAAGCCTGATACCCCAGTTTCCAACCTCCAGATGTCTGCCAAAGTTTAAGAACTATGTGAGTAGTAATCATTGTTTTCTCTGCTTCAGAAAAGATGCAAAAATTCTTTTACATTCTATCTTAAACATGCAGTTTTTTTTTTCAATACCCCAAAAGCTAAGGCTATAAACTATTGAGGACATAGAAACTGAGCTTATAATATAATGAACATGTAGTTAAGTAGTTAATAAATGTGTATGAATTTAATCTTTATGAGTCTTAGTTGGCACAGTGGCTATAATAATCATACAAGCCTTGTATTTTTTAATATAAATTAGGTATCTATACAATATAACTTGTGGTTTATCAAGTTTTAGATAATTAATGTTAGTTCCCCTGATGAGAATTTAATATAATTTCACGATTTCTTCAGAGAAATAGTTAACTGTAATTACTTTGATTGTGGACATTATACAGTAGAGCAGCCAATGAATATTAAATTATCACTTCAAGTTCTCTTTGAATTAAGTTGTTACTTTTTAATTGTTACAGTCTTCCAGACAAATTGCAAACTACTATTTAGCACCTTAATTTCATTGTTTGTTCTGAACCTATAAAGTCTTAGTTTCTCAGTTGAAGTCATTCACTATTCTCCCCCCCAATCCCCCCTCAGCAACTGTTACTAAGTACTGGTACTCTGATATTTACACCCCCAGAGAATGTTACCCTTTGTAACCCAGCATTGGTTTTCATTTAATCATAAGATCTTTACCCAGTTTTTGTGCTATGTGCAAATTTGAGGAGGCTTGGCATTTGATGGCTATTGATAGCCACACAGGAGTTTTTCAATAGAAAATGGGTTGTCTCTTGCTCTTTTAAGAGAAGTAAAAGAGAAAGTTGTTTTTCTGTGTGTGAGGTATCTCTTACTATGTTTAGGAGAGTTGTGAGACAACACGAAGAAAGGCCTGGTCAAGAAATATGGGGCAGAAGACTGAAGATCTGAGCTGGTCAGCAGAAAATACAATGGAGGCAGCTTTGTCCTTTGCATTAGTAAATACAGGCTAGCATTGCCTTTATAAATAAACTACTGGAATTCTTTCATGTATTATCCAAACACATCAACATGGATTTAGTGTTCTGTCTCCTTATTGCACAACACAAAGTATAAAATGGTTTCCTTTTTTTCCAATATTGCTATGGTTAAAAAAATATGGTATGGTTTAACTAGGAAATACAAAGAGAGCTCACAGAGGAAGAGAGCGTGAGAGCTACAGGAAAGTGGGACGTGCTAGTTGTTTGCTTTTATTTACAGTTTGTTCCAGTAAAAATGTTCAGATCCCACTGTAACCAGTTCTGTTTCTTCAAAAAGTTTCTAGAAATATTAACCTTGTAATAAACTGGAGAAGAATAAACTAAAATTCACCCACTTTGAAAATAAACAGCTAGCTCTTAAATTTGTTATTATTTTTCTTAGACCAAATTATAAGGACCAGAGATGTAGCCCCATGGTAGTTACTTGCTTTTTATATGCAAGGCCCTGAAAACAGTTTTTTTAAGGAAATTAATTATACTGATCAATTTCTATAGTTAAAAGAAAATAGGAAAGCTTTACCTAGCTGTTTTGTATTTTTAAAAATGACTCCTGATTGATACATGAGAAATGTAATTGGTTAACTATATGTGAACTGGTTACCCAATTCTCTAATGATTCAGTACTTCTAATTTGTAGAACAGGAACTAATCTATGAGTTTAATTAAGCTAAACCTGTCATGGAATTTGATATACAATAGTTTACTAAATAAAACAGGAGCATGAAAATACTATTATTATATGTGTAACTAGTCAAAGTATGGTATTTAACTTTATTTATTCCTTTAAGACATGCTTAGAGCCATTTGGGGTTCTGACATGCTGACATATGTCATCCATTGTAATATGACAAGCCTTAGTTTCACTGTCTAGAAAGGCCTCTACAGTCTGCCTAAAACTTCCTTTTTAACCCCTGGCATCCATTGAAGTTTTTATTACTCTTTCCAAAGCACAGTATAGTTAGGATTAACTATATAGTATTGTAACTTTTACAGATGGAATTTTTTTATTTATTAGTGTTTACAATCCCTCTGTGCTCTCTTGTTGCTTGGTAGCTCATTTCTTTTTAGTGCTGAATAATATTTAATGCCAGGATGCACCATAATCCATCTATTCACTTATTAGAGAACATCTTTGTTGTTTCCAAGTACAGGTAATTATAAATAGGGCATATATAAACATGTACAGATTTTCTGTAGACAGAAGTCTGCAGCTGATGGGAATCAATACCTAGAAGCATGATTACTGGATCATGTGGCAATGGTATATTCACTTTTGTGAGAATCAGCCAAATTATCTTCCTAAGTGGCTGAACTGTGTTCCCACTAGTGGTGAGCAACACCAGCATTTGGTGTTGGTGTTTCGGATTTGGAGCATGGTAGTAAATGTATAGTTTTTTGTTTTGTTTTGCTTTTGTATTAACTTGCACTTCCCAAATGACAAGGACTATTGACCATCTTTGCATGTATTTTCTTGAGAGATGGCTCAATGGTTTAAGAGTTGCTGCTCTTCTAGAGGCCTAGGTTCTATTCCCAGCCCACGTGGTGGCCCACAACCATCTATAATTCCAGTTGCAGGGAATCCAGTGTTCTCTCCTGACCTCTACAAAAACTATACACATGGACTACACTACACATATATATATGGAAGCCAAACACCTGTACACATAAAATAATGGTAAATCTATTTTTTACATATTTTAATTTTAGAAGTTCACGTTTATCTGCAGCAGCCATGCCAATAAAATGATGAGGCAGTGGTGAATGCTTTCTAATAATATTTTTATGAAATCGGTTACATGATTGTTTAAAGTATTTCAAATTCATTATAGAGCCTTGTTGTATTCATAAAAATTGCATATTTGGTTATTTATTTAATAACAGTTTTGTTTCTCAGTCCTAGAAGACTCCATTCTAGAAACAGTTAATAACAGTAGCTATTTTTCAAAAGAAAAAATATATCATTTAAATGTAATCTACATATTTTGTGATGCTATTATTTGCATAAAGGAGAGGACTGAGTATTTAATCTTTTAGTCAGGGGAATATAGCTATAATAGTACCAAAACAGTATTAGTTCTTTTCATTGTTAAAATGAAGTTCTTTGTCCTTTGTCTATTGGATTTACAGATAGCATTTCCAGGCCTTGGCCATTCTGTTAACTCAGTGGCTCAATTCACTGAAAGGGATCCAATTTCTGGACATAAGTTGCCTTTCCCTGGCCCGGTCTCTAGGCCACCAGTAATAACTTAAGCTTGTGAAGAGACACAGCTTTGTAGGAAATGGAAAGAGAATGAAGCCATCAGAATTTTGGTGAATAGAAAAAATATAGTAAATAGGTTTAGCTTTTTTTCCCTAAAGTGTTAGCTTTTTATGAAAACTAATACATGGATTGTGGGATTTGATAAAGTATGGCTGATAAAATTCGGTATTCCTTTTTTGTTGTTTTTTTTTTTAAGAAATACATATAAAATGATTATAGAAGATGGCAGTTATATACATATTTAATGTTTTGTAACAGTAATCAAAAGCTTAGAAATACTAAATAATCCTTCCTAAACAGAAATTTACTTATGTGGGTTTTTAAATTGGAAATTGCAACTACAGTGTTTATTATGGCCTGCTGCTGGAAATTATCAGTAAGTACTATTAGAAAAATGGACAGTGCTTTATTTTTAGTTCTTTTTTATTTTTACTATAGTTTATAATTGGTTTTATGAAGTAGAATTACTTACAATTCAGTTATTTAGCATTTAAAAAGACTTATTGATGAATTAATAAATTAAAATGTACTGACATAATATGTTGCATGATTTTCCAAATCAGTAAAACTTAAAAGGCAGCCTCTTGTTTGTATTAGCATTAATATTAATACCTATGCTTCTTATTTGTTAAGTGTTTTATATTATTGCAAATAAGGAGATTGATTTTTGCTCTGTATAGTTTTCTAGTAATCTTAAATTTTCAGTGTAACAAAACTGCAAAAATCTTGCATAAACTCTGGAGGGCATTTGAATTCAGTGGTGTGAGTGTAGCAAATGGAAGGCAGGGGGCCTTATGCATCATATTTCCCCAAACCCAGTATTTGGAAGTCATTTGCGTTATATTGACAGAATTGAACCTAATTTACTCCACCACAGATTTATTTGTTTGTTTTTGAATACGGGATCAAATCTTACTCTTGTATCTGTGCTTCCTTGTCACAATATGTCTAGCTCATTTTGTGAACAGGGCCATTTTAAAAATGAAGTGTGTAACATTATGTTCTTAAAGAAATTTAGTGCTGGCTCTTCTAAGAACAAAGCTTGTCTGGTGTCTTTACCCTCTCAGCAGCAGTTTATCTGAAATGCTCTGTGTTTGCAGGAAGAACAAGCAGCAAAACTGAAAGCTGAGAAGATCAGAGTTGCCCTGGAGAAAATTAAAGAGGCCCAAGTGAAAAAGGTGACATGTGGCTCTTTGCTGGATCTAAAATATTCCTTCACCCCCCCCCCTTTTTTTTCCTGTTTTGTTTTGCTTTATGAAGAATTTTCTTGTTTATATAATATCCCTCTAGTTTATGCAAAGATGAAAATGTATTCTCCCTGTCATCTGTTCACAAATGATTTGTGGGTGAGATGTCTTATGAAAGCCAGCCTTTGTTTCTGGGCCGGTCCTGAGGTGCCTACCTCAGGCTCACTGCTTGCGGCACATCTCATCTGTGTTATAAAGGCCTCTCACTACTTTCAAAACAAACAAAAATCAGTGAAACAAAATCATCTTAGCACATAATCATATTTTAAAGGGTTAAAATTTGTTACCCTGTCTCTTGATAATTCAGATTTTACCTTTAATAATGGTCAGCATAGTTACAGCAGGCCTTAATTTAAGTTTAAAGACTTGAATCAGAATGCTATTTAATACTGGAAAAAATACTTTTCTAGAATACCATTTCTTTGAATACCATTTAATTGCATTTTTTTCCTGTGGCAGCTGGTGATCAGGGTTCACATGTCAGATGACAGTTCCAAAACAATGATGGTGGATGAGAGACAAACGGTGAGACAAGTGCTGGACAACCTGATGGACAAATCTCACTGTGGCTACAGTTTAGACTGGTCGCTGGTGGAGACCATTTCTGAGTTACAAATGGGTTAGTAATGCTGCTGCTTTAATTGCTTCTTAGCATCTATAATCCTAAATTTCCATATTGATCAGGTACTTTATCTTTTTAAAATCTGGTTTTTAATGTTTTTCCTAGTGTGTCTGGAGAGTTCTTTGAATAAAAGGTGAATTCCATTTCACATTGTATTTTAAAATGGTTAAAACAAAGTTTTTTAATGGTAACAAAATGCTTTTTCTTTGAAATAAAAGCTGTGTAAATATATTTACTGAAAACCATTATTGAAGATTTTTACTTTTTCATTTACTTATTTTATGTGTGAGTGTCTGTGTGTGCATCCTGTGCATGGATAAGCCAGAAGAGGGCATCAGATCATCCAGCACTGGAGCTACAGGTGGTTATGAGCCACCTGATGTTGGTCTTAAGAACTGAACTAACTGGATCCTCTGCAAGCACAGCAAGAGTTCTTAGTGCTGAGCCATCTCTCCAGCCCCGATACTGTTACATTTACTGGTGTTTGTACACCAGTCTTTAACTATAAAGGAAAACAAAGCACATCGACAAATCTGAAAGTGTTAAAGGTGTGTGTGTGGGTGTACCACGTTTAAAAAAAATGAAGTTATAGAAACATGCATCTGTAATCTATAATTCCAGCCCTAAGGAGAGAGAGAGAGGAGGATGGCAGAGCCTGCTAGCCAGTCAGTGTAGCTAAACTGGTGAGCTCCATGTCCAGCGAGAGACTGTTTCAAAATTTAAGGTGGAGTGCAATTTAAGACAATATCCAATATCAGCCTTTGGCCTCTACACTTACAACAATTCTATAATTCTGCTATAATTTATCTTGCCTTTCATGTAATTCTGACAGATACTAACAAAAGGCTGGTATTTATTTTTGGAACAGAGAGAATCTTTGAAGACCATGAAAACTTGGTTGAAAATCTTCTTAATTGGACAAGAGATAGCCAAAACAAGCTTATATTTATGGAGCGTATAGAAAAATATGCACTTTTTAAAAACCCACAGGTAAGACTGACTAACTTGTAAGTGCTGAGTCAGTAGAGTTAAAAGACTGTCAGCCATGTGACTGGGCATTGTGGGTGCAAACCCTACAGGAGCATATTACTGGTGAGGTGGAAAGTAACTTGGCGGGGGGCGGGGGGGACTTTGACAGAAATAAATATAAGTTGTTCCAGGGGGTTACTAGGTTTCTTCCCTGTAAATCCAGAGCTTGCTGAACCCAGCAGTTTATTAACATTTGAGGTTCTCCTTTCACCAGACAGGCCAGGGGGTTTTATCTAATTATTTTCATTTCTTTACCGAATTATGTAATTTTTGTCATCTTTTTATTTATGACAATGTAGTGCTTGGGTTAGTACTCACAACATCTGTGTCTTTTAAAAATTCACAGATAAAGTAACATGCTTCATTATAGCATTTCTAGTCATACTTTATTGTTATTTGTTGTCCCTCTTCCCACTCCCCCCAGCCCATTCCTGTTTGTCCTCTTCCTCCTTAGTAGGACAGGAAAAGCAAGAACTCTGCGATCAAGAGCAATGATGAGAAAAATAGCAGTAGTGTTAAAGGCACTCAGTTTTTGTCCCTCCAACTTAATTATGGTTGTTAAATAAAGAATAGATGTTAGGAATGTGAGTAGTTCTTTTTGTACAAGACTGAAAGAATAGTTATACTAATGATTACAATTCAGACCTTAATTAAACCTAGCAAATGAGATTGTTAACATCCATATCAGAATTTGAGGTTTCCTTATAAGACCATTAATCACCATCTGGAATAGCATTCTAGGTCCAGAATAGAACTGTGCTGGCATAGGACATCTTGGGAAATCTTTCCTTATTTCTTCTACTTAATTTATAATGCCTTTGGGTATTTTTATATAACTAGATAAATATCCCAAAATACTTGCTGTTGCATGTATTGTCACCTCAGGGTATAGAGGAGGGCAGTCTATGGAATACTTTGTAGCATGTGTTTTGGGCAAGATGGAGTTGCACGAGGAACATTTAATGATGATGCTTATATGGTGGGAACTTCTTGAAGTACTTCTCCCTACATGCCAGCAAAGCTAGACTCCTCTCTCTAAGCAAGTAATGCATGGGTCTACTCCCGAGGGAATGGCAGAGTTTATCCTTTAATGTTCATTTCCTTGTCTTGTTTTTAGAATTATCTTCTTGGGAAAAAGGAAACAGTTGAGATGGCAGACAGAAACAAAGAAGTGCTGTTAGAGGTATGACTCACTCTCCCTTCCCCAAACATTTTAAAAATGAAACATTAAGCATCTTTGGAAGTCAGTTCTGTCAGTGTTCTGTGTGTACTGGTTGAGTACAACAAACTCTTACAAACTATTCTTTTCCCCCAAGCAATATTTTAGTGAATTAAACAGGAGGAAGAAAAACACGGCTGTGCTGGTTCTCTGGGCTCTTCCAGAGGGTCAGATGGTCGCCAGTAGTACTTCCTAAACAAGCACAAGGCCAACCACCTACATAAAAGCCAGGCACGGGGAGTGTGCATTTGTAATCACAGCAGATTTCTGGCATACACTAACCAGCCAGCCTAGCCTCTAAGCTCTAGGCTCAGTGAGAGACCATGTCTCAAAAACTAAGGTGGAAGACACCTGACATCCTCCATTAGCCTCCGCACATATGTGCAGAAATAATCACCACACATCACAAACACACAAAGAAAGAGAAGTGGGACTCCATAGTGTTATGTGCTCATAACTCAGTTGAGTTTATAGGGAATATTCTTTGTTTGGTTGTTTTGTTTTTTGAGACAGGGTTTATTTGTACAACCCTGGCTGTTGCAACAGCCAGGCTGGCCTCAAACACAGAGATCCACCTACCTCTTTCATGACTACAATAAAGAGTATATCCCACTAGGCAGTGGTGGCACATGCCTCTAACCCCCACACATGGGGAGGCAGACAGATGCTATGTGTTGTGTATGCACGTGAACATTCAGGGTTATTACACTCCCTGTCTGCAGACAAAGGTGAGAGGAGAGTGCCAGGCGTCTTCTCTCATCCACCTTAGCCCATCTGAACTGGAAGCTCGTCTTTGCAGCTACATTGGCTGCCCAGCTAGCACGTGTAGCCATACCCAACATTTTATATAGGTGGTGGTATTCAAACCATGAGGTCTTCATGCTTTCACAACAGACACTCTTACCCTCTTGACACATTTTTATTATCCAGCACTTTAGGATTGTCACAATAATTCTAAAGTAAATGCCTGTGGTATTTAGAATAGAAATGTGGTTTTAGTACAAAACTGTTTTGCTTAGTGTTACACATCTCTTAGAAATAGATCATTCATTTCCTAAAACATAAGGATCATAAATCATTCCAAATGATTTTTTAAAGGAATGTTTTTGTGGAAGTTCTGTAACTGTCCCAGAAATTGAAGGAGTCCTTTGGCTAAAAGACGATGGCAAGAAGTCCTGGAAAAAGCGTTACTTTCTCTTGCGAGCATCTGGCATCTACTATGTCCCTAAAGGAAAAGCAAAGGTATGTCCCTCCTCTGCACTTCTGTACTTCCCACATTATGCTAGTTGCTTTTACTCCATAGTAAGAATTCTATTGCACCTGTGTAAGACACACAGAAGACAATTGGTTTATATTCGTCTGTTGTAAAGAAGAGGAAGCTAAAAACTGTTTAGTTGGGTTCATCTCAGTTCTCTACCTCCTCACCCCCCCCCCCGGTTGGATTTGTTTTTGTTCAGGAAGGATCTTATTCCTGTAACTCAGAGTGGCCTCAGAGTCACTACGTAGATTACTATGACACTGAATTCTTGGTCCTCTTGACTCTCCCTCTTCCATTCCCAAGTGTAGGGTTATAGGTATACATCATATCAGCTAAACAACATTTTACTACTTGGAGAAGCTGTGGGGAGATCCTGCTGGAGTCATGTGTATTTCATTTGGGGACAGTAACTTTTCAATCTTGAGTAATGTGCTTTTGCTGAGCTATATGCTGTCATTTGTTCTTATTTGGGTTCAGGGATAATCTAAGCATTTAAAGTGTCATCCTAGTCATATAAACTATGAGTGTAAGTTGTTGCCCCTGTCTGAGGTGATTTCCAGTTGAGAATCACTGTATTTGAGGTTTGCATTATAGAGATTCAGCTGCTACCTGGTTCTTTCCTAAGAGTGTTGCTGTTACCTATTACCTGTCTGTTATGTGATATGTATACTGTGTACAGCATGTTTAAAGTACCAACATTTTAAAATCAATATTCATTAGGAATTACATGTAACAAGCAAAGTAAACTGCCTTTTCTGGTTACATCATAGATGAAGGAAATTTTTATAATCTTCCTCCTTAATAAAGGTCTGATTCTCAACTAAAAACCCTTACCTGGTGTGATACCTGCTTATTTGCTTTATTAACTTAATCTTTGGGGTGTTTTTCTCAGGTATCTCGGGACCTGGTATGCTTTCTCCAGCTGGATCATGTAAATGTGTACTATGGGCAGGACTATCGGAGCAAATATAAAGCACCCACAGACTGTTGTCTGGCATTAAAGGTAACACAGTCTGGAAACTTTAATCAATATCACATAGAGGTTTCTTGACATTTGGATCTTCATGTAGATACGTGTCTTCGGACAAGAATAGGAGGACTAGGGTAGCTCAGCAGTAACCATTAGTTTAGCTCCGTCCTAGCACCAGAGAGAACATGGTGAAGATAAGAGTTTGGCCTACCAGCTCACTCCAATAATCCCATTACTCAGAAGCATCAGGAGTTGGAACCAGATTGTCCTGGAAAAAATAGTTTTTATGGTGAGACATTTTTTTTTTTTGGTGGTTTTCCTTAGCTTTATTAGAGCCATTAGAGGGCACTGTTCCCAAGTTCAAAATCCCCCTGCTTTCATCTAGTCCAGGAATAATTCTATCTCTCTCCTTCCCCCAAATTATACCCACACTAGTTCTGTTATCTATGCTGTTATTAGGGAGTTTTCTTCTCTTTCAGTCAGGCTTTAAGTTTCTCACACGAATTGTGAACATTCATTAGAGAACAGTGGAGAACAGTGGGTAAGTTTTAGAATTTTTATAATCTAAATTAACATTTATAAAGACAGCCTACAAAGATTCAGGAAGAATTACTGAGAGCATTACATTATACTCAGTGGCTCTAGCTTCAGGGCCTAAATACTGCTTAGGTCTGCATGTTTGTATACTTTTTCCTGTAAAGTCTTAGTGGGACATAAGGAGTACCATTTGTTTAGGATTTAGGGTGGGATTCTGAATTCTTTGGTAAAATGGGTATATTATAACAGCATCCCTTTATTAAATAAACTTTCTTAGACAACATGAATGTATCGTTGAGGTTAGTTACAGAAGCAGCTTGGTTTCTTTTGTTTTTTAACTTGTCTTTTTGGTTATCTTCATTTTTTTGAGAGAGTCTTGCTGTATAGCCCAGGCTAGCTTTAAACCTGGGTCCTTCTGCCTCAACCTTCAGATTACTAGGATTACAGGTGTGTGTTACCAAGTCCTACAGTAGCCAAGTTGATACAATGTGACTTGAGCCACTGGTTTGCAAAATAAAGTCCAAGGTCTCTTGGGAAACCCAAAGACCATGTTAATCAGGTTTGTAATACTGAGATGTTACATGCTTCCAACATTCTTACACTCAGGATATGGTGGAGTTTTTTCACAGGTCCCATAGTAATATTTTTCCTATCTTAACTATTATGAGGGATTTGGGGACAGTTGTGTTCTTATATCTTAATTTTTTTCTCTTAATTTCTAATAAAGTAAATATTGCAGGGACAGAATAAACATCAACACTACCCTCTTGTCCCACCAAAGAGTGCACACTGCAGTTTGGTACAGAAAGAAGCCTACAAAGTATTGTTCCACCAGTCAGGTGTGACCGTGGACTTCTGTCCTGAATGTTGTGCTATATATATGTTCTGTACATGCCTGCTGTAGTTGTTTACCACAAGAAAAGACCTTCTCTTTTGGAACTTCTAAACCATGATTTCCTGGGTAAACATTTCTCTGCCTTAACCCTAATAAAGTTTTTCTTTAGTATGTGAAAGGGAATATTTGAGAACTTCCCAAGTGAGTAGATTTACATGGACACCTTGACTTAAAATTTAACATGATATGTACTTTATTTTTTTTAAAAAGTAAGTATGGGCTATTTTATTCCACCTTGTAGTTGTATAAGAAATATGTACTGAGCTGAGCATGGTGGTGCATGCCTTTAATCCCAGCACTTGGGAGCCAGCCTGGTCCACAAAGTGAGTTCCAGGAACCTGCAGGGTTACACAGAGAAACCCTGTCTCTGTGTAAAAAAAACACAAAAGAAAAAAGAATGCACTGGTTTGCCATTTCTCAAAGACTGCAACTTACCAGGACATGTTTAAGAGCCAGTTCTCTAGAAGACTTAAGTGGATCCTACCTTCCTTTTTTGTAGCACCCACAGATCCAGAAGAAGTCTCAGTATATCAAGTATCTTTGCTGTGATGATGTCAGGACACTGCATCAATGGGTTAATGGAATCCGAATCGCAAAGGTACATTTCCTTTCCATTTGAAGTCGGAATAATGATGAGGTTAATTAGATATTTTGGATTGTTGATGGTTATGGTCGTTTCATGCTCATTTTGCTGGTGTCCTCAGGCCTAAATTTATGTTTTAAATGCTTTCTTTCCTTGGTGGTTGGGAAATACGTTAATGTCTGTAATAACTTGTATGGTATCAAAGTGATTTATTTCTACTTTGGAGCGTACATTATATGATTCTTATGTAGCCAAGTTTAGCCTAAGTTAATGGACTTTGTTTTTGCTTGCAGATCTCTCCAGCCCCCAAATAAAAAGTTGTATATTAAATTATGGTTATTTATCAAATAGATTTGGAACAGTATCCCTAATAGTGCTAAGAATCCAGCCCTAGATCTCTTGGAGTGATGAAACTTTCATTTCTATTATAAACACCAATAAAGTCAGCTTCCTGCTATCTTTCAACTGAGGAAAATGAGTACAAATGTAACTTTCTAGAATTAAAAACTACATAAGATATTGTAGGTTTTAGTATTAATACAAACTTTACTACTACACAGATGTTTCTGTTTCCCATATCCTTCCACATACCAACTCAGGGTTAAACGTCCCCATGTGTTCTCTTTTGTTTAGTATGGGAAACAGCTCTACACAAATTACCAAGAAGCCTTGAAAAGGACAGAGTCTGCTTATGATTGGACTTCTTTATCCAGCTCCAGCATTAAATCTGGATCCAGCTCTTCCAGCATCCCAGGTAGCTCAAAGTACCACACAGCACTATTTTACTACAATGTGACCTCCTTATCAAGAGTGTTAGAGCTTGTCATTTCAACTTATTTCTAAAAAGCCACAGCCATACCTAGTTTCTGATCAATGGGTACTTTTTTTTTTCTTTATTCCCCGCAAAGTTGTTAAAAGTGCATTGTTATGAACTAGTTCACAAGTATTTTGAAATGCACTTCTAATGTACTGTTATAGTTAATATTTGTGAAGTTTATTTGCAAACTCACACATACTGATAAGACATGAAAAAAGAAGCTGCTTGGAGAAGAAATCAGAAGCCATCAGGATACTACACACTCCTACACAGCTTTCTTTACATTGCAGTACAGTGGAAACGCTTACACTCAAAGGGGCCATACTCACATCTAAAGTTAAATGTTTCTTTCAAAATCTTCCTTGAATGATAATCCATGTCATTGTTTAACAACTTAAAAATCATATGACTTGACATTCTCTCTAAATAATAAAAAAGCATATTTGGAATTGTGGTAAATATATGCTAACTTGTGATAAGCACATATTTTCTGGTTTTGTTCATTGAAAGGGCCTAGAAGAAGTGACACCCCAGGAATTACAAGACTGTCCACAGCCCAGCCACCAAAAGAAGGGGCCAGTGCTTTTAGGCAAATGGCTGATTCTAAAGCTGTGGCAGAGAATATATAAGATGAGCCTTAAGCAAAGGATTTACAAATAAGATAGTGGTTATCAGAGGGACATAGATGCCAACTTGAAAGAACTTCCATGCCTAAAGCTGGAATAACATTGAGCAAAGATATACGGAATCTAGTATATAATTATACACAAATTAGGAGATATATCACTATGGATCCACGATAACATAATTTTCATACAAAATGTTTTTTAAAGGTTTTTAAATACATTTTAATTAAAATATGACATCACCTTCTGTCCTTTTCATGCCCCACCAACTCTTTTTTTAAAAAATTATTATGTGTGTATCTACATGAATTATGTTGTGTGCAGCATGTTCATGCAGGTGCCCATGAAAGCAGAGGAGGGCATTGGGTTCCCGAAACTAGAATTACCAGCAGTTGTGAGTTGCTTGTTGTAGGTGTTGGGGCAGAGTCCAAGTCCTCTGCAAGAATAATTTTTTTTTTTTTTTTTTTTTTTGAGATAGTTTCTCTGTGGCTTTGGAGCCTGTCCTGGAACTAACTCTTGTAGACCAGACTGGTCTCAAACTCACAGAGATCCCCCTGCCTCTGCCTCTCAAGTGCTGGGATTAAAGGCGTGTGCCACCACCACCCAGCTTTGAATAAAGCACTGTTAATTGAGATATCTCTCTGGCTCAACAAAATAGTTCTAAATGATTTCTGTACACACTTTGCCCTCTTAAAGAGCTACACATAGTGATTTACTTAAAAAGAAGGGTTGAGCCAAGCAGTGGTGGCACATGCCTTTAATCCCAGCACTTGGGAGGCAGAGGCAGGTGGATCTCTGTTGAGTTCAAGGCCAGCCTGGTCTACAAAGCTACACAGAGAGTAACCTTGTCTTGAAACTCCCACCCCCCCCCCCCACAAAAAAAAAAAAAAAAGGTTGAGAAAGCAGTTAGTTGATAGTGGAGAAAGTGGACAAACACATGTTGATTGCAGGCTCCCTTGATACAATGTGACGAAACTTAACTAGTAGTTCTCAAGACTGTCATAATCATTGAAAACAAAAACAGGAAGCAACTGTCAGAGGAGTCAAGATGGCCAACTAAAGTGCGGCATATAGTTATTAGTAAATCAGTGTCCATTACAGCTGTGACAAGTGTACTATAGATTTAAACAGACTAATGGGACAAACTAAGTGCTGAATCAGTAAGAACTCGAACTTACTCTATTTTAATATAAAAATAATACATAAATGTCTAAAATGAGATGTTCATTATTAAAGTGGAAAAAATACTCTGTGAAGTTGAACTAAAAAACAAGCTAAGAAAGCCATGCAGCCATTAGGTTCAGAGGCCAGCAGGCTGAGGAAAGGTATATTCTGTTTTTAAGTCATGTAGCACTTAATACTAGTGCTTACATATGAAATAATGTGCCTTTTACCTTCACAAGTGTCATCCATACATTTTATTGAAATCTTAGGCTTTCTGTGGTAAAACATAAAATCACAGTGATGAATGTGTTGAAGAGCACAAAGGTTTGTGTATTTGAGTCTTACAGGCTATTATGAAATAGGCATAATAAATGAGCCTAGTGTCCTAGCTTTTCATCATTTTCCTTATATTTTATCTTGTGGATAGTCCTATCATTGAAGAAGTTGAGGTTTAGGCTACTGAACTTATTTTAATAGCTTCTATTAATCACAAAGTGATTGTCTGGGAACAGCTTTGAGTCTCCACTACTTTCCAGGTATCATAAGGGACATACATACACAGAATTAATTACTTTAGGGTCTAGGGATGTCGTCTTCCAGTTCTAGCCTTGATATCAGGTAAAGACAAGTCCTTATTACCCTCAGCCACAACCCTGTGCCTGCTCCCCACCGTGACCTGGCCTGGAAGCTAGACTGTAGCATGGCTGCTGCTCAGTCATGCCAGTACCTGAATCCCTGGGAAAACCCTTCATTCTCAGGTGGAGGACTCACTAAATACTATCATTGCTAAGGAAGCCTCTGAGTTTGTAAGCTGCTCTGGAATGAAAATGACTGATTCTTAAGATAATGTAGATGTTAATTGATGGCTCATTAATCCTGTTTTTTTTTTTTTTTTTTTTTAAATTGTCAGAGTCTCTTTTTAATCCAAGACAGGTTTTCAGAGTCCTAATGACTTGTGTAAATCTCTCATGCAAGAGTCATATTTTCTGATTAATCTGTAAGATAAGGTTTCTACTGGATTGTATTCACTGAGTTTAGAGCAAGATGAGTTCATTTGCCATTCTACATAGTATTTAACTGTAACATTTAAAATGTGTATATCCTATGATCAAAATGATAACTGATGAAACTAACCGTTTTAAACAGAATCTCAGTCAAATCACTCTAACCAGTCTGACAGTGGAGTGTCCGACACCCTGCCCACAGGACACATCCGTTCCCAAAGCACTGTGAGCTCCATCTTCTCAGAAGCCTGGAAGCGAGGCACTCAGTTGGAAGAGTCTAACAAGGTAACACAATAGTTTTAATTCACATATAAAAATCTGTGGTCATGTTTTATTCCTTTATCAGAGTTTTGTTTGGCACTATTTTGGTCTTCCTTCTTAGATTGTATAATTAATGGGGAAACTATTTTAGAGTTGTCTATAGTGACCTGTGACCTAAGATCTTATTTTTTTTAGTGGCAGTTATATATACACTTTATTATGCAGCTTACATTTTTAACTTATGACAACTCCTCCCCACCTTTCAACTGTAACCAGTTTGCTGGAGCAACACTATGTAGGGACATTGTCCTAAAAAGTTCCAGAGAAGTTGCTTAGAGTTCATTTTCATTTTTAATTAATTCAGATTCATTCCTTATTTTTCAGTTTTGAGTTATGTCTATAATAGGCCTCAATAAACTTAAGACATAAATACAATGTATTTTAAGAATAACCCCACCCCTCCCAGAGCCACCTCACCTCCCATTTTCATGTCCTTTTTTTTTTTTTCCTTCCAATAATCTACTTAGTCCAGCTTGTGCTGCTGATATATACGTTAAGTGGCTATCCACTAGAATATGGGTCCACACCATTACAGAAAAGTGATTTTTCCAGAAGCCATCAGTTGTCAAGTGCTCCCCAGTTAGGGGTGGGGGCTCATGAACCCCTTCCGACTCTGCTAGGATGATGACTGACTTGCTTTTTGTGTAGGCAGTCACAGTTGAATTCATTAGTACAGTGGTTCTGTCAGGCCCTGACGAGACTTCTGTCCTCTCCCTCCTCCATAACAGTCCCTGAGCCCTGGGAAGAGGCAGTATGGTGCATAGCTGTCCCATGTGTAGCTCAGCACTCCAGCCACTGGTCTCTGCACTTACCTTTTGTGGGTCTCTGCATTAACCACTCTCTACTGAACAAAGAATCGTCTTCCCTAAGATTCGAGAGCCACCTTAGAGGATTTTTAGTTAAGTTGAAAGGCGTGCTAGTCCTTCATCAAATAGCCTCAGAATTCCTGTAGAAAGATGTGCTCTGGGTGTACTCATCATTGAGGAACTGACACCCTGGCTAGACTATTTTGCTTTTTACAGAGTCATCATTTTATTTCCTTTTCTTCTTCTTCCTTTTTTTTTTTTTTTAATCTGAGTCACAAATGAGTCAAGTACATTCACAAATAAGAATCAAAAGGAACATTTAAATTAATTATATAATGGCATTCGTGGTTGATTAACTGGCATGAGGGTAAGAGGTATGAAAATGAGTAGTCAGTAGCTGTTTTTAATGACCTAAATTCTTTAAACACTGTTAAAACTCCCTTATCAGAAAAATTTAACAGTTCTTTCTTCCACTCTAGAATCTTTTTCCCCCCCAAGTACTGGAAATTGAACCTAGGACCTTGCACATATTAGGCAAACACTCTGTCACAGACCGTGTCCCAATCTTTTTTTTTTTTTTTTTTTTTTTTTTTTTTTTTTTTTTTTTTTTTTTTTGTTTTTTTTGTTTTGAGACAGTCTATCACACTTAGTTTTCCTGGCTGTCCTTCAGTATGCAATCCTCCTGTCTCAGCCTCCCAAATAGGACTGTCACCAATCCCAGGTCCTTATGAACCAAATTAGGTGAAACTAATACTAGAGACAATAGTTTGTAATTTTAAATGTCTGAAGAAAAGTATCTTTCCTTGGCTGGGGATGTATCTCAGTGGTAGAGCATTTGTCTAGCATGAACAAAACTCCAGATTAAATTTTCTACTGCTTCCCCCCCCCCAAAGCCTTCACCTTAAAAATTATTAACGGTCAAATCCACTTACCACATGTGAATTCAAGGAAAACAAAGACCCAAAAGTTCTGTGATTAGGAAACAAAGTTTGTCATTGCAGTTTTAGAAAGAGAATGAACCCTGCTATGCAGTAATGTCAGTTTGTTTGAGTCTTGACCCTTCTGTATGTTTCTTCTGTTACCGCAGTCTCAGGTGCCACATGAGAAGGCCAACACAGCTAAGGTCTGCACCCCTGAAGCAGCCAAGACAGGGTCAAGTTAAGGTCAGGGGCTATTCTGAAACACATTAACCTGGGTGACTCCTATAACCAAATCTTACAAACTAATACTTTTATTTTGATGTATAATTTTTAGAGAAACATGACCCCCCCCCATAGGCATTAGAATTCAGCCTATGAATGAAGCTTTAGTTCACTAACTTAAGTACCCTCAATGGCAACTAGATATCATTTGTGATTGAGAACCAATGGATTACCTCATTCCTTCACAGTTGTGTACAAAAAGCCTACAAGGTGATCCCAAAGTTATTAAATCAGAATTCCTTCCTTTCCATGTTTCAGAAGTCCTTGAGCCACAAATGTATACATGGTTGGCAACTCACTGACAAACCCTAAGCTCCTGCTTGCTGACGATTTCCGTTAGCTCTACAGTTTCCACTTATTTTCATCTGACTTTTTCTGTGTTATGTTTTATCTTTTCCTCTAATGTTTACAACGCATTTCTTTATGTATTTTCCAGTAAAGCAAATGTAAAGAATGCTCCCCTTACCTGCATTGCTGGACTTCTGTGCATGTTGGATGCAAGTGTTTCACACAAGTGTGTGTGTCGAATTCATTCATTCCTGTGTGACTGTGCACAGCTGCAAAGCATTGTCATATACTCACGTGTCAGCTTACTAGAATCAAAAACCATCCTCACTCCTCGAGAGGCCTTCCACCAGCATTCCTTTCCCTAGTACGGCATCTGCTTGATGTGGATGCAGTCATGGACTGAAGGTGAACTTTTGAGCCCAGGAGGACCTAGGGCAGGGTTCGTGAAAATCCCATTGCCAAGGTCAGAAATCACGCATCCTGTCACCACCTGAATGGCTTTGCAATAGGAACTTGTTCCCACACTATTAGGCAGTGTAGCTAGCTGTTAAAAGAATATTGCAAGGTGAAACAAATTTTCTGTGTCCTTTGATACCTAGGGAATCAGATTTTAACCTTCCTGACATTGTCTGTCTTTATAATCACCAACTGCTGCATCCCCTTCATGCATGTCCTAGATTCCTTGCTTTTTAGTTTGATAGAGTCAAAGCTTAACTCTGTAACTGTTTTGTTGTGTTTTTCTCCCTCCCATTTCCCTTTTTATACTCCTTTTAGGCCAGAATGGAATCTATGAATCGGTCCTACACTTCACTTATGCCCCCTCTGTCCCCTCAAACTAAGATCGTCACCCCTTATACTGCCTCACAACCGTCACCCCCTCTGCCTCCTCCTCCACCGCCACCTCCTCCTCCGCCGCCTCCACCTCCCCCCCCTCCTCCTCTCCCTAGCCAGTCTGCTGCACCTTCTGCAGGCTCATCAGCCACCATGTTTGTCAAATACAGCACAATCACCAGGCTGCAAAATGCAGCTCAGCATTCAGGACCCCTGTTTAAGTCTCCACCAACCCCAGGGATGCAACCTCTGCCTCTGGCTTCACAGTCCCTCAAGGCTCAAATTGTGGTGCCACCCAATGGAGTTATTCCTCCACCCCCTCCTCCCCCACCACCCCCGACCCCTGGTTCAGCCATGGCCCAGTTAAAGCCAGTGCCATGTGCCCCATCCCTGCCACAGTTCAGCCCCCAACCTCCTCCCCTAAAGATTCATCAAGTTCAGCACGTTCCTCAGGTGGCCCCTCCCACACCACCACCAGCTCCTCCCATCCCTGCAACTGTCCCTCCTCAAGCACCCCCTAAACCCCTGGTGACCATTCCTCCTTCAGCTAGCACCAGAATGGTGCCACCAATAGTGACACAAGCTGTACCACCCACCCCTGTACCCCCAGTGCCCCCAGCAAAGAAACAGCCAACTTTCCCCATTTCTCACACTCCACCCTCTCCCCCTGTCCAGCCCGCCCCATGTCCCCCACCGACACTGCCCAAGCAGCAGAGCTTTACGGTGAAGCCAACGCCCCCTCCACTGTCCCCTGTGCCCTCAGTTGTGAAGCAGATAGCCAGTCAATTTCCACCCCCTCCCACTCCTCCTCCTGTGGACTCACAGCCCCTAAAGCCCCTCCCAGCAAGTGTCACCCCACAGTCCCCTCCTGCAGTGAAAGCCAAACCCAAATGGCAGCCCAGCTCAATCCCTGTCCCTTCCCCAGATTTCCCTCCTCCCCCTCCAGAGAGCAGCCTGGTGTTTCCTCCTCCACCTCCTCCAACCCCACCACCACCACCAGTGCCACCGGTGACTTCACCTATCCCTGACAAAGGTGGATCTCCAGGCAAAAAGCCAAGTAAGATGTCCAGCCCTGGGGGGAAGAAACCACCCCCAACCCCACAGCGCAACTCCAGCATTAAGTCGGGCAGTTGTGCAGATCACCCTGAGCCCAAGCGACCCTCGGTAGACAGTCTAGTCAGCAAATTTGCACCACCAGCAGAGTCAGGGTCTCCCAACAAGGAGACCCCACCACCTCCTGCAGCACCCCCCAAACCTGGGAAACTACACCTTTCTGGAGTCAACCTCCCTGGGATCCACCAGCAAGGGAGTGTGTCTACAAAACCCTCTGTTGTGAGTGGGCGCGCAAAGGACTCCGTAGTAGAATTTCCATCTCCTCCATCCGATTCTGACTTTCCACCTCCTCCACCTGAAATCGAGCTGCCTCTGCCCCCTATTGAGATTCCGGCCATATTCTCGGGAAATACCTCCCCCAAAGTGGCAGTTGTGAATCCTCAGCCACAGCTATGGTCTAAAACATCAGTGAAGAAGGCCCCTCCACCTACCCGGCCCAAACGAAACGACAGCACTCGCCTCACTCAATCAGAGGTCTCTGAGCAATCAGCGATGACCACAGTTGTGCCACAAGTGCCCACCTCTCCCAAATCCAGCCTTAGTGTCCAGCCTGGATTCCTAGCTGATCTCAACAGGACACTGCAGCGCAAGTCTATCACACGGCATGGCTCCCTCTCCTCACGAATGTCCAGAGCAGAGCCCACAGCCACCATGGACGACATGGCACTACCCCCACCACCACCGGAACTGCTGTCTGACCAGCAAAAGGCGGGCTTTGGAGGTAGTCATATTTCAGGCTATGCAACATTGAGAAGAGGACCTCCCCCCACTCCCCCCAAAAGAGACCAGAATACTAAGCTCTCAAGAGATTGGTAGCCACAGGATTTATTTTCATGCTATCTATAATCAGTTCTGCAATCAGTTTACCTGATCATCTGTGAACCCAGGTGTTCAGAGCCTCCTGATATGTTATTCAGGTAGTGTCCAGCTATGTGTATGTTTGTATTTGTGCTGCGTGTGTACATGCATGTACACACAGCTATACAGATTGTGTGTATATACATATGTATACATCTGTGAATGTGTATATATAGAGAACTGATTCTATTTATTCCTTTTGCCTCCTAATCTGAAAATAGGGTTTTGTATATTTTGAGTGATAGGAGACATAGGAGGGGATATGTTGTCACTTATAATTTGTTTATCGTATGGATTGGACCAAAATCTAGAAGGTATTTCATAAGTGTCTGTCCAGGTGCCGCCTATTTGTGCATGTGTTATAGAAGTAGATGGACAGTTTCTCAGTTTGAAGCATATCATCAGAATGTTTGGTATATCTGTAGGGCTTTTTTATTTTTTCCCAGTTGGCTGAATTTAGAACTGCTTGACTAAAACACTTAAATACTACATATAAAGGGGCACTTTAAGTCAGGAAAATCTTCATTGTATAGAACGGGTAAACAGTGCAGGAAGGGGAAATCCTGAAGGCACTGTGGTTGTACATAGGAAAGTTACAGCTGTTCTAGTTGCAGTAGTCCTGCCATGACCTCAGCCACATCTGAGATGTCTTCACAGGTAAGCTTTTTGCCTACAACACAAGAAATACCTAATGCTATAGTCCTGGCTACTTTCATTACTGTCTTGTGAAGCTTCATCAACTTGGCTTCAGGAAGTCTTGCTTTATCTTGAGAATGTCCAGTGCACACTGCAATGTACTGCCCCAGTTATGTCTTTGGGTCACAGTTACCTTTGCATATAGTGGGTACATTAGTAGATGTTTGAAGCGTGGATAGTCCAATACAAAATATACTCCCTACGCCCAATGCAGCACATCATTAAAAACAAAATCGACTTCTGCGATGCCTTCTTTCCAAGTTGTTCTCTACAAGATAAGAAAAGACAGAACCTGCCCCTGTACAGGTATCATTTGTCAGGTTGTAATGCAAAGAATCCATGTGGGATGGGACTCATGAGCAAAATGAGTTTTCATCATTTCATCCATAGCTACTGGAGCTAAGATCTTTGCTGTTTACAGCTTGAGCATAGAGATTTTCAGGTGACCAGGTGTCACCTGATGGAGCAGTGTCTTAGTTCAATTACAGAGACATTGGCATATGCATCTGCAGTTGGGCAAAACTTGGAAGCACTACTCTGACGACAGTACTATGCTTCACACTATTCTGTGTGCTTTTGTTAATTTTTTCTTGGTACATAAGAAAAGTGTATCAACTTACAGTGATAGGTTGATGGGAATAAAGTGCAGTCTCAGTTTTCAAGTAAGACAATAAAAACTGGCCATCCCTCCAATTACAAGTGAACACATCTTGTTAAGAGAGTCTGTGCCTATTGTAAAGATTAACCAGTGCCAAATGCAGAAGTCTTTTGGTCCTGTTCAAGCAGTAACTCCAGTGAATTTAGGTAAAGAAGATAAACAATTGGAGAATATAGCCAAGTTTCACTACAACACTCTCCAATAAGGAACTGCATCACACAGAAGTGTGACACCGTCACATCTATACCACTCTTTGTTACAGCCATGCAGTTAGGGGGAAGAGAGTTATTGTGCTTTTTAAAAGCCCAACTTAAAGAAATACTTTAGATCTTTCAAGTTGCTCACCAAGTATTTATATGCTTGCTACTTTTGTGACTGTGAAATTACCTTTAACATACCTGCATCGTTAGTTTCAACATGCACAACAAATGTAGCCAAGCCACCCTGAAGTACCTCCTCATGTTCATTGACCTGCAGCTCTACATTCAATCTTCACACAAACCAAGAGTGTGGGTCTAGTTATCCCTGATATTTATCCCTAGGTGTGTGTGTTTTTTTAAAATTAAGTAGACAACTTAAGATTTCCTTGAGTGGAAAAATACGTACCTCCAGTCTAGATTGAGCCCTAAATCAACAACCTTCACTTTTTCACTGTAGACTTCATGCGGATTCTTAAGTCCATCCTGAGCCACTGCTTCTAGGTTTTTTTCTTGGGGAAAAAAAAAAAATAGGGGGCAGTAAACTGTCACAATTTCTAACTCATCATGTGACAGCATGCAGTTTCTTTGTACTTCTCCAAAGACAGAAATAGCTGTTGATTTAAAAAAAAAAAAAAAAAAAAACCAAAGTGACACATTGACACATTCCAATTTTTCTTTCACTGCCTAGTGTTTGAAGGCTTGCTGAGGTATTTTCTTTTTCTCTGGTGTTCATGGACAAGACTTACTCCAGCTGATGCTAGTTCTGTGCCTTCTTCCACTGTCCTCAGCTCAGCAGCTCCAACCTACGTGGCCTTTTCAGGCCAGTGAAAGGCATCTGGAGACTGCATGAACACTGACTACTGAATGGGGTAAAGGACCTTCTGCTCCCAAGGGCAGGACAGATGGGTGCTTTTCAGAATTCATGACACCCTTAATTTTTACTGTGGAGGTAATCTCAAGTCCCTTAGTGCTTAAAGTGTGGGCGACAACCCTAAGCAGTGCATCCTGTGCTCAGTGAAACAGCTAATTGCAGTTCACAGGTGTTGGCCTGAATACTGTTCGTATTAAGTCTCCCCAGCTTGGTTTTTACTCCAGGTTTAAATATGCTTTCTCTTTAATTACTGTAATTCTCATTTGGAAGAGGAAAAAAATGTTTTTGCCCAGACATCCACTTAACTGTATAATGATTTTTTTTCCCCCCCAAAGTTTATACTTTTTAACCTGAGAAAGATGGCTGGATCTTAAAGATTACCAAAAAGACCTACTATTTTCACTACACAATTTGAAATAAAATAACAACAATGGGGGTTTTTTGGTTGCTTTTGTTTTTTCAAGTCCCCCCAAATCAAGGTGCTCCTATCTGCTGATGCCATATCTTACAAAGGGCTGAGAACTTGTTTTGGGTTTTCCTCTCTGTATTGCACTTTAATGTTATAAATAATGTTGAGTTTGTCTACAAAGTTTAACATTGTGAGGTCATAGTATTCCTAACAAGGTAACAACTCTAAGGTCAGGTTTCAGAAGTGGGGCAGTAGTATGAATCAGTTCATCAGACTTCCAACAGAACATGTTGTCACCTTTGCTACTCAAATAAAACAGAGTTATGCTACAAACACAAGGCAGTATTTCAGCAAGTTAAAACCCATTCCAAGCATTCCCATGTATTGTTAGAACTAGCATTATAGCTGATGTAAACCACAGATTTTTAATCCAGGTTAGGACAATTATAACAGTGCCCCGTATGGTATGATGGCTTTTGATAAAAACAGTTATAATTTTTGTTTACATGGGAAAATGGCTTTCTCTTTTAAAAAAATTCAAATTACAAAAACCTTTTGGAACTTTAATTTTAACTTTATATTATCTGTAATATGTGACCTCTCTCAAAGCTGACCCAAAGGGAAAAATCAAGAGGAGGGGGAATGACAAAATGGAAATCTTACCATCTTTTAAGATGGTCCTTTTAAAATCCAATGTGTCACACCTTTAACATTCTAGCCATCAAAAATTATAAGTGTTCAGTGCCCTTAAGAGTCTATATGTAAAAGAAACCTAAAATTTAAGTGAAGACCTGCTCAATAAAACAACATACTTCATACATAAACATGTGTTGGAGGGCAGGGGCTCTGGTTTGCTGTTTAGTAAAACTATTTTAGAAAGCTATCTGCTATAATCCCCAGTGCCTTGAACTCTTGAGAGGAATAGCATTTAAAAACAACAGAAACCACCAAGTGAACTTTGAGGTGCTAATGAAATAGAAGGCAGGTAAGTATTTTTGAAGTTTGAGCAGAAATGGAGCTGGGGTAGGTGGGGAATGACTCCCTTGCATTACAAGAGTTCTCATCCACCTCAATGGAGTCTGGGTGTTTTCTACCAAAGATGTTTAGAGAAGTGGCTTGGGTCAGCACACTCCTACTTAAGAGCTGGCCAAATGTGGAAGCATGTTCATGAGCTATGAACTTCAATCAAGTGCATCAACTTCTTGGGAAGACATGGCTACAGCACTCAAAGGAGATAGGGAATACATTTTTAGAAACTATCCATTATTAAATTTGTTACAACTAATACCAAAAACTGCCATTTTTCATAATTCCACCTCCTACTTTTTCCCTGTATTTGTAAATAGCCCCTCCTAGAAAATAAGCATTAACTGGAATGTTTGAAATGACTTTGCTTAATTTTATTATCAGCCACTAGTGAACTCTTCTTCCAGAAATGCATAAAGTAAAATAGGACTAGCTTGTGCTAAGTGTTTTAAAATACTGTTTACTCTTTTCAAAGAATTGCACATTATCTTTAACTGGGGTTGTCTTCTCCTTTCCTTGTTTCTTTAAGAAAAACACACACACAGAAATGGAGTCAAGGCTCACTGACTTGTAGATGGGGGAATTTTGTCATAAATAGATATAATATAGAAGATACTTTTGTAAAGCATGAAGATAACAAACAGATGCACCAGAAAGAGGACATTATCCAGAGGATTATGCACAGCTTGGTAAAGATGAAGTTGTGGTTTTCTTCCAGCCTTTATTATTTTCTTCTGCATAAATGTACACTCATTTCATTATGTGCCTTGCTCCCTGGTTGTGCATAGCTATATATACACACGAATATATATATGTATATATGAGAAAGAAATATATTCATTTAGTACTACTGACAATGTTTTTGTTCTACTGCTGAATTTAGTTAGTTTCCAAGTTACACTTGCCATTTGTCATAAACTATTGTAATGGCTTAGGACAGTGGCCAGATAGTCAAAGTAAATTTGTTTTTCTAGTTACATATTTTATGTCACCTAGTCCAGTCCTTAATTTAAAAAATTAAATAGATTCCATTTAAACACAAGGATTTCAAGTGTTTTGGATGAGTATCACGAAGAAACTGGTTTTGTAGGGCTGGAGAGATGATTGGGTTGTTAAGAATGCTTTCTGCTCTTCCAGAGGACAAGAGTTCAGTTTCAAGCACCCACGTTGGGCAACTCAAAACCGCCTATAACTCCAGCTTCAAAGGATCCAATGTTCTCTTCTGGCCTCCAAAGGCACCTGAACACATGTGGTATACATACACATAAATAAAAGTAAATTCTTCAAAGAACCTGGTTTTAAAAGCTTGATGTATCAGGATAAATTGTTGTAGGTGAATTAACTACAGTTCAGTGTGTTTTCTTATTTATACCAACAGACTGGAAATCATTAAGTATTACTAATTAGGAAGTGATTAAAGACTCAGGTTGCGGACAGGAAAGAACCAATTCCCACAATTCTATTTTAAAAGTACCAATAGCTTTTATGGATGATTTTGTTTTGTAGATTAAAAGTATATTTTTATTAGTTGGGTGGTGGTAGGCATATGCATTTAATCCCAGCACTTGGGAGGCAGAGACAGATAGATGGATCTCTCTCGAGTTCGAAGCCAGCCTAGTCTACTGATGAAAGAGTTCCAGGACAGTCAGGGATACACAGAGAAACCTTTAGAAACCACGTGCACCCCACACAAACCACATGTGTGTAAAAGCCTTCATTAGTGTTTGAACTAGAACTACAGCTACAGAATGCTCTGAACCAGCATGTGGGTCTTGGAAACCAAACCTAGGTTCTCTAAGTGCTGTCAACTGTTGAGTCATTTCTCTAGCCCCTGATCAATTTTGTTTAAATAAAATAAAGTACAACTGGGTAAAAACTAGTGCCAAAAAGCCCCCCACACCCTGTAATGATTGGAAGTACAACTATGTACTGGGACTGCCACATCAAGTGGATATGTTTTAGTTACAGATTACACAAATCGCCTCACCATTGATCATCAAATTATAATAAAAGTTACTTACCATCTGTCAGTGCTGCCAATTGTGGATCCTTTTCATAGAGAAATCCTTTTCTTGAAAACATTCCTTTTAAATGAGTTAGTTGAGCTTCCACATTACATGTCAGTACACAGGCACTGAGGACTATGGACTTAAAAGGCAGCATAAACTGGAGTAGGAGGCTCACTCTAAAGATTGCTATTTACTTAGACAAATCACTAGAAAACTTACAAGTCAAATGATTACTTTTGTAAAAAAAAAAAAAAAAAAAAAAAAAACTCATTCCAATGAATGAAAAATTTACACTTAACAAAATTTAGGTATAGTTGGAAAAAGCAGTTCATAATTATAATATTTCAGAGGTCAAGTTTGTTTAAAGTTCAGCACTATTTAAAGCCTTAATAAGTAATTGAATAATACCATCAATGCTTAAACCACCTCAGAAGAAGCAGTGCATACACAAATAACTCTGCAAGACACGGGGATATACTTTGTGTAATTTTTATTCTGGTCAAGTTCTTAGTACACAGCAGTAATTATGCCAAATACAATTTAAAAATGAAGTGAATGTCCCTCACTCATCTGGAGGTGCTCAATGGCGCACAGAAGGAATGTTACTGGCAACACTTGGCCACTCAAGTTGCCTGATTTTTTTTTTTTTTTTAAAACTCAGTACCACCAACTCTCTGGGGAGCTATAAAGTGTATCCAGCCAGATCATAAATTGTTTACATTCTTTTTGTAAACCATTTTGTTAAGAAAAAAAGATACATGGACACAAAATATGATTAAAAACTGCTTTCCCATAGAATTCAGAACTTGCAAAAGAGGCTTCAGTTTAATGTGAAAAATAAGCTTTTTTCTTACAAAAATTTTAACATTAGCAAGGATCATTTACAGAGTTAGGCCCTGTCATTTTATTTGTTAATTCTTTTTTAAATAGAGATTCTCAATAAAACTAGGAGCATAAAGTAAACTTAGATAGCAAGCTCAATACCTTAATTTAGTGACTTTGTAAGGCTCTCAAGTAAGGCTGTGTACTGTGTTGTGCTCCACTCTACTCCTGCCAGTGTAGAACTAAGTACAATGCATTCTTGCTACACATAGCTTTATGGAAAGATGTTTATAAATGAAGTTTTAGAAGGATAAATGAAAATTACTTCCACTCAGGTTGCACTTAAACTTGAAGCAATCTGAATACTTGGGTGGTTATTTATGAAAACATGGCATATCTTTTCAAGTATAGTCCTGAAAACAAGCACTCTTGATTTCTAAAGAAAGTACAGCACATTTAATTACAACAATTGGTATAGTGGAGAGAAGACTGAGCTGAGTCAAGAGCTAACTAGCTGTTGATCTGAAACAAAGCATCTAACCCCACCATTAAAGTGAGACTGGAACAAACACTTGTAAAGCTTTTTAGTTCCAAAATTCTATGATTCCAAGTAAACAGTGTTAGGAAATCACCTCCACACCCATCAGGAGTTCCTGGCCAGAACTATTCAAAGTAAACAGCTCCCATTCATTTCAAAGATTTGGCGGTCAACCTACCATTTCTTCACCAAAGCCCTTCCAGAAATAATGGCAGCCTTCAGGCCACACCATGTTCTCTCTTAAGGAGAGAAGGTAATAAAGGTAAAACAAGAGTTGTACTGCAGGAAGGTGATCTTTAAAGAAAATGAAAACTGAAAAGATAAAACCAAGCTATCATTCTGATGCTCCATATATAAGAATCATCTTTAATCAACATAAACTGTTAATGAGTCCAACTACATTGTAGACATCAACTGTAAAGATGCACAAACCAGTCTCTAGCTGGGCAATACACAGCAGTAGTACAGGTAAGGAAAGGAGGGGATGGAAACGTCATCCAGTGACTTTTAGGAACAGCAAAATCAGCAGTCCTGTACCAATCCCAAGATGGGAACAGCAGGTGCCTCTTAGGAAGATAGAAGGAAGTAGCCAAAAGGAAAATACTGTAGGAGACATCTTCAAAATTCATATTTATTCCAAACACAGCAGGCTTAAATCTCTTGGGTCTAGGTTTCAAAACATTGGCACTATTTTTGTTTCTAATTTGCCTTGGTTATAAGATCAAACACAAGAATAATATATTTTCACTCAGGTCCATGAACCTTCAAATAGTAATAGCAAAAAAGAGACAAATATCAGTCTTTTTTTTTTTTTTTTTTTTTTTTTTTAAGGGTAAAGGAACTGTCCACAGAATCAGACATTTCAGGAAATCGGCCCTCAGAGCACCTGTGTCCTGGTAAAGCAGTGGCTTACCGGTTAGCAAAGTTTAAACATTCATTTAAAATTCCTAATATCAACCGTTTTTAGTTTATGGGCAAATAAATGGGAAATTTTACAATAAAACAGGAGATAACCTCACAGTATTAACAGCATGCAATCTACAAAATATTACATACATTAAAAGTCTCCAATTACAATAGGCCTGGCTCATTGTTACAGAGTATCCTTCCAAGACATTCAACATTGTGAAAATTTAAAAGATGAAAGAAAAAAAGCCAACAGTGTTTTTTTTTTTTTTCCTTTGTGAATTACATCAGTACTCAGTGATATAAGTGGGAGGAGTCAGCTACCCATGGGTTACCCCAGTGCAAGCGTTCAGCACAAAGGACAGCATCACTAATGTTTTCTGCAAACCCCAGTTCAGCAGGGTCCAGAAAGTAAGCTGTATTCCTGTGCCCACCACCAGCTGTTTCTCTGACTATACAAGCTAGTTGTTTACTGGGTTTCCAAACTTCGTCTTAGTAATTCACTAAGATTGTTCAGCAAAAGTCTACTAAAATAAATAATTAGTGCAACTATTTTCAAGAGTTTCCATGTACCAAACAAAACAAGCAAAGTTAAACATGTTCATATATAGATTTGCTGGGTCCATAATGGAGCTAAAGGCTCAGAACATTCACAGACATATCCTAACCAAAGCATAAAGTGAGTACACTAGAAGCAAGTTAAAAATGAATCCAAAGTGTTAAGAACATGTATTGTCCTTTAAAAAAAAAAAGAAAGAAAAAAGCCCGCCGCCTACTTTGGTGGCTCCTGCTTGTAAGCCTAGTACTGGGAGGCTGAAGCAGGAGGAACACCATGTCTGAAACAAAACCCTGCCACTTTAAAGCAAGAAAGTCTTGGGAAGGAAACTGATTGGGTCTCAGGTATACATTGAAGCACCAGGCTCACATAACAGATCTCTAAATGAAGTTAGCTTCTGCCTGTACAATCTGCTTTTCTTCACATCTACAACTCCTGTTCATTTTTCAGCCAACTTCTAGTGTCACTATCCAGCATGTTCAGGGCCTACATCTGAATTACAGACAGCTATTACTTCCTTTTCACCTGTCAGGTAAAGTTAACAAGCCAAATTCATTCTGGCTAATTTACAGGACTGGTAAAAATCCACATGGGAGCTTTAGACCTCAATACAAACCAGCCTCTCACCACACTACTTACAGACTGGGCAGTATCCTCTCTTTTTTTTTTTTTTTTTTTTTTTTTTTCTTCTTTCCCCAAGTATTTCTTATACTAATTACAGAAGTGATTATTAAAGCCACTGAATTTAAACTAATTGTACATGAGGGAGATGCCAATCATCTCAAAATCATACTGACTTTTCCGTGTGACTACGTGTTCTGTCCTATTAGCCTTTTCTACTAAACTCTTTAGTCTCAATCACAAGGTTCAGATTCTTACTTGGAGTGTCCACTTTAGAGTCCAATCACATCAAGTTAAAACATTTACTTTTCTACAGCTGAGAGAATTAAAAATGACTCAGCATGAGCTAACACTGCCATTGACAACGGTCCAAGAACACAGTAGCAGCCTCTCATTTCCAATTCAGTGACTCTCGAGACATGACAACTAGTCCCTTCTAAAAAGGAGGAAAACATGTTTTTAAATATAAAAAGGACAGCAACAGCTGCCCTGACTTCCTAGTCCCATTCTCTGAAGCAGCGCCAAAGGTGAAAGGCTGCAGCTCTTTCCTTCAAAGCCTTAGGAACCTTCATGTCCAGCTCCACACACCCACCTCAGTACAAGTACCTACCAGATTTCACATCGGGCTCACTGCTGTTATCGACAATGCAATCTCATGCAACAGTGTGTTTAAATCAACTGTGGTGACTGTTAACTCTGGGAATGTTTGGAGACTTTCACATTTTGTCATCTTTATCATCTACAAATAGGACAGGATGCAAGGGAGTTCAGTATTAACTCACCAAGCACATTCCAGTGCTAAAAGAACACAGGATTTTACAGTGTTAAAAGAAAAACAGCCTTTGAAACAATTGAGAAGTAGTTAAATATGGTATTTAAACACTGGTTCCTTCCTTTCCATATAGTGAAAGAAAGTCAAGGGGCAAGGGTGTCCACTGGGCAATGAAGCTAACCCCAAGGAAGAGGCAGTGAACATCCAATGTCACAGATTCTGCAGGAAAAGAAATCCAAAGGTGTATAGTATTCCTGAGAAAGATCCCAGACTTTTTTTCTCAAGCCAGTCTTGGTCTGATTTGTTTTAGCTACATGTTCACGTTGTTATGCCTTCTATAGATTGAGAAATCATCACATTTTCAATCCAGACAGCATCGTACAAATGCCAGCAAGAAGAGTAATTTGTTCAGACTCAGCTTTGATTTGTTTTTAATACTAGGGGATGAACCAAAACATAGTAATAAAATAAGTAACTTCATCATTTGTATGCTTCATTTGCTTCACTGGGAGGACCTTCCCAGGGCCTCTAGCTACTCTGGGAAGTCCTGACCTCCTGAAAGGGAAGGGCAGCTGTGCTGAGCTTTACTCCGAATAATGCATGATGGACTCAACATAATTCCCAGGGAAGAGCCCAGTCACTCCATTCATAACTCCCTCATACCAACCATCGTCATTCTTCTTGATGACATAAATAATGGCTCCTTCCTGAAAGGACAGCTCATCTTCCTTGTCTTTTGTATAATCATAAATTGCCACAACTAGGGGGAAAACAAAATAGGATGTGAACGAGAATACCATTCCTAGGAAGAAAAAAACAAGCACTCATACACAGCAACTTTCTCAATGTTAAAATTTATATTCATGTTTTCTAATAACCAGTTCAATACAACCAAATATCCTTTTCTAGAAAAAGGTTCTAAATCCAGTATAAATAGCAAACAAGCATTAAAAAAAAAAAAAAAATCACGAGCTAAACTTACCCTTCAATGGTCTATAAGCAAACCTACTGCACAAAAGAAACATAACCTAAGGATCATGAAAAACAGTATTCATTTGAACTTTTACTAAGGCAACTTATTGTGTAAAATCAAATGCCTATATTTAAACATTATACTACTGTTATGAGATACATTTATGAGGCAACTGAGAAATGAGACAGGCTAAAGAACAGTAGGGCCTTTTCTGGACTCTGCCTGTCTGTGAATGGGAACTGAAATTCTACAAATTAAATCCACTATACATACACTTTTTCTTTCAAAACTGCATTATATTACCAATTTAATACATTCACAATAAGCCAGGAAACCGGTAAGTTCCTATGTGGTTTTCTGGTTTCAGTCACTTGGCAATGGGCCTCTGAACGTTTATCTCAGAGTCTCTAGTTCCTAATATTTTATCTGCCCTCAAGAATTTTGACAAAATGGAATGCCTTAAACTTAACTCACATCCACTCAGACAGTCTCTGTTCCAACCCCCTGTATCTCCTGCACACCACAAAGAACTTCTACCAACAAAAATCTCCATTTGGGCCAGTGAGATGGTTGGTGGGTAAAGGTACTACCATCAAGCCTGATGATCTAAGTTCAATTCCTGGGATCCAGATATCAAAAGAGAATGAAACCAAAGAGTACTCTTTGACCTCTACCATGGCACTCACACATGTCTTAAAACTTGAGAGCTGGAATGTATCGCAGTGGCAGAGTCCTTGGCACTGTGTTTCTGAACCACTTTGGTAAAACTCTATTTGGCTTTCCTCATACATAATTATCTTCTATTGTTGGGATACATTAAGAACATCAAAAAACATTTTTATAGAGGCCTAACTTAGAAGAGTCAGCTGTGTTTCACTAAATGTCTAAAAAACAATTCAATGTAATTATAAGACAAGTTTAGGTATAAGAAAATTAGAATTAGTGTTTAGTATTGCCAGCCAATCAATATTTTCTAGTTTTTTTTTTTTTTTTTTTTTTTTTTTTTTTTTTTTTAAGAAAAGGCAATATTCTTGGTGCTTATAAGTAACCCAGAAGATAATAATTTTTATGTTTTGTAGTAACAGGAGTAATTTAGTAGACAAAGATATTGCACTCCAAGCATGCATCTATTCTTTAAAATATAGAAACTGGAGGTTACGGATGTAGCTCAGTGGTAAAAGTTCAGTTCACAGCAAAGGAAGGGAGGAAGGGAAGGAAAGAAAGGAAGAAAAGGGAAAGAGAAGAAAACAGAAATTGCCTCAGAAAAAGTTCACAGCAAATATGAGTCCATGGTCTCTGGTGGTAGCAGTACAGGAGACCCTATTTTTTTAAAGGGGTAAAATTAGTGATCAACTGAAATTTTTATTGTGACCCCCATCAAACAATGCTGTTTAAAATTACCATTCCAGGGAAACATAGACATGCATGAAATGTTAAACACCTGCCTATTTCTGTGTAGTTATGAGCAAAAAATTAAAGGTGCCTGTATTTTTCTTTCAATATTTCAGTATTAATATGGAAACACTCTAAATTCCAAGGTCAGAACTCCAGTGGGGAATGTTCTATATGAAATGCTCTAGCAAGCAAAACTAAACATTTTCTTTTACATTTAATATTATTCACTTAGTGTTTTTTCAACTATTTATGATGTGCCTTAGTATGATTTCCTTTTATTCTTCTATCTGGAGTTTACTTCTTGATCCTCTTAATTTATAGTTGTTGTGGGAGATAACTTTCAGATAAGCTCCCAATGAGTTCTACTTCATGGTACTTGAGCCTTTATGCCAAAAGCCACTCCCTGCATTTTGGCTAAACCTACTGATGTGTTTTTATCAAAGCTTTTAACCTTTATTTTATGTGCCTGCACGTATATCTGTGCACCACATGCATGAAGTATCCACAGAAGACAGAAGCCTGGGAAGACGTCAGATACCCTCAGAACGGTAGTTCTGAGGTGCCAACAATGTGCTGGAAATCAAATCCAGATACTGGACACTGAGTGCTCTTAACCACGGACCCATCTCTCTAGCTCCCCACCTTGCTTTAATAAACAACTTGAAGACTGGGGAGATAGCTCTGTTCATAAAATGCCACATGAACAGGAGGGCCTCAATCTTACCTGCAGCACCTACATCAGAAATCTGGTGTGGTTACACATCTATAATCTTAGTACCAGGAAGATGGGAACAAGCAGATCTGGAGTTTGCCAGCCAGCTAGCTTCATCAACAAGCCCCAGATCTCAATGACAAACACTGTCTCACAAAATAAGATGAACCACTCCTAATGAACAATTTCAAGGTTGTCTGGTGCATACACACATACACTCTCACAAAACATGGCAAAACTAATAAAATGTCACTCCTAAGATCAGGTCAAAAAACTTATGTCCAGCCAACACACTTTCTCTGCCTCCTCTTGCTTGTTCATTCTAAGGAAGGAAATATGAGCTGCCACTATGGAAAGACCCCTGCAGTCCAGAACTGTGGGCAACCTGGCTAAAAAGGAAGCTAAGGCCCTCATGTCAATAATCCATGATGAAATTAATCCTGCCTTAAGCCAAATAAATCATCTTGAGAGTACTTTCTCCCCTAGCAAAGTCTTAAAACAACTGTAAGCTTTAGCCCATATTTGAACCACTGCCAACAGAGGCTCCCTGGGTTACAAGGCCCAGCTAAGCCACACAGACAAGTAGTAGAGAATATTTTGTTTAAGACAATAAATTCTGGAATCATTTGTTAGATAGCAATAGGCAACTAAGTGTATCTTCTTCAGCTATGGAAACATTTTGACTATGATTGTTTCATATGACTGCCTTTTCTAGAGACTGCAAACTATACACACACACACACACACACACACACACATGCACATATGTACATATATATTTTATTTATATACATACACACATATAAAATGAATACTATTTGATCTGGCCCTATGTACTACTGGCATGCTTTTGCTTTTAAAATTTTTTTCTTTCTACTTTGTACCACAGTTTGGATGTTTCTATTGTCAGAGTGAAGGCTGATAATCCTTTCTTCTGTAACATCATTCCAGATACTCTACTTTTTATCTTCAAGAAGATCAATGTCTCTAAAAATATTCTGTTTCTTTCTCATATTCAATGTCAACCTTCTTGACTATATGTGACATTTATAAAACCTACATAACTGGAAAGAAATGACTGCTTTTTGTTTGGGGCTAAGCTATGCTACCAGCATTCTGTACCTTAAGGAGCATTGTTTTGCATATTCCCCCATTCCTGTTTGAAGAGAAAGGTCCCAAGGTCCTCTGTCATGGTAACATAAAAGAGGCTACACATACACACACCATTCTACAGAAGAGACTGAGACATCATTCTTTGGAATAAAGCTTCCTATGGAGATAATCAAACTCAAACATGTAAAAACAACTGAAAATTAACTGACAGTCCTGCACAGTGACACACACCTGTAATCCCAGCACAAGGTAGAAGTAACAAGAGTTTAGAAGCCAACCTGGGCTAACCTGTGATAAGGCTGCTTCCAATAAGTCTGATGATGGTAGAAGAAAGCACAGGGATAGAAATAATTTGGAAAAATAATCCTCTTCCTGGGGGATTCCAAAAAAGACGCCTACTTGTTTTTGATTTTTGTGTTATACAAGTAATTTGTGAAAGGCAAGTTCAATAGTAACAGACATAAAATTTTACTAATAACCTTCAAAATCACAAGTCCTGTAAACTGACCGTAGAACCAAAATGGAACAGATAATGAAGTTTTACCAGCAAGTCTCATTTCTATTATAGATGTCTTCTTATCCCTCCAGACAGCCTCCTGACACTTACCCTTTTCCAAGTAAGACCTTGGAGCCCATGGTGGATCCTCTTCAGCATAAGGATCACTGTACTCTACCACAGCTGCTTCTTCCTCTTCATAATCCTCTGGAGGTGGTGGTGGAGGCGGGGATTCATCAAAGACTGGCTCTTCCACAGGTGGTGGTGGAGGTGGTGTATCTGAAACTAAGAGTTTATCAAGCTGACAAACTATATATTATGTAAAGTTCTGAGCTTCTAGATTCATTAAATATAAACTCAGTTTGAAAACTAACCATCTTTCAAAAAATGAATGAGAAAGATTATAATGTTTTCAGCTGCCAAGCATGACTTCTCGCTCCCTTTGGGGTTAAATGTCCATGGATGCTGAATGGGGTTTGGTCCAAAGACTACTGTTAATTGGCCTCCAAAATCTTTCAGTAATAATACATAATCATCATTCTAAAGAAATGCGTACAATATACTTGGGTTTTATACTCAATTAATTATCAGAATTATTAACTTAAATATTACAATGAAAGTAAAATGAGGGGGCTGGAGAGATGGCTCAGGGGTTAAGAGCACTGGCTGCTCTTCCAGAGGTAATGAGTTCAGTTCTCAGCAACTACATGGTGGCTCACAACCACCTGGAGTGAGATCTGGTGCCCTCTTCTAGCATACAAGCAGACATGCAGTCACAACAATGCATACATAAAATACACAAATCTTAAAAAAAAAAAAAAAAGTAAAATGAGTCAAAGAAATAGTCAAATTTTTACAATCTGCTACTTTGTTCTCAGTTTTCTGTATATTTACTCAAACAAGTTCTCATTATATAACCCAAACTGGCCTCAAACTCACAATCCTCCTGCCTCAACCCTGAGTGCTAAGATTATCAGGATTCACCACAAGCCTGATTTTCATTAAACAGAATTACATCAAATTGGGGGTAACTTCAGCCATTACAATGTTTTGTTTGTTTATAGAATTTGAACTAATTCGGGTTTAGTTATTATTTAAAATTTCTTGAGACTACATGTCCATATGTATTATTAGATCAGTCTCATTATATATATTGTAGCATGTAAAAAAAAAAAAAATCTCCAAATCCAGAGAACTCAAAGCTCTCAAAATGCTTGGTACATACTTGAACACAACAAAGCAAAAATAAATTTGCACTGAGCAGCAACTCAGTTTTAATCATCAGCACTCTTACCAGAATTGTACACATGAACTAAACTCTCTGAACAGTCAGGGTACCAACACCACACTCTGCTATTTCAGTGTTGATCCTATGTGCTTAGCCACCCTGTACTTACCTACTTTATGAAGACTGACTCACTAAAAAAAATCTTCACTTTGGGATTTTTTCCCTTGGTGTGGGGGTGGTCTCACATGGGGCTGGCCTTGAACTTATTTATACCTGGCACTGGTCTTAAGATTTTTTTTTTTTTTTTAGCTTTTTGTTTGTTTTTTTGTTGTCTTAAAAATATAACACAAATCCATGTTCTTACTATATTCTTTACTCAAATGTAATACTTTTCATCTAATGGAGTGAAAACAGTGAAACTTGTGTGACATTTATAAGAGACCGAGTGCACAGAAACAGATACACGGAACTTTCAGGATAATCAGAGAAATTACAATACAAGTTACTCAGAATACCAAACCTGATCATTTCTGCCTTATAACTGCCTCAGAGCTGGATTGGTTTTACTTGTTCAGTATGTCAATTATCCAATACATTCTTTTACTTCACCTTTCCCTTAGACACCTCATTTTTACTTTTGTTGTGATTCTAGGGCTCAATCAAGATCCTTACACATTCTATGCAAACCCTCTAAACTACACCCCCAAGCCAAGGTCTTATTTTTAATCTTAATTTTATGGATGTGAAAAGAAGATTAATGTTCCTATAGCAACAGACAGCAAATCACCCGAGTACTCCCCTCTTCTCAGTATCTTAGAAGCCACACTACACTGGAAGATAGAAGCTGTGGCTCTTAAGGCATGCTTCATCATCACTAAGTAAATACCACCCAAGAGTGGCTAGGATGTAGGTTCTGCACTGAGAAGAGTGTGGTGGGCAAATGTCGCCAAGAATATGGTTAAGTGTCACCATGATGTGACCAACCAAATTTTGAGTTATAATTAAGTAGAGTGGAGCTTTAAGAAATTATAGGAGTATGCATAATAGACATAATTCTTTATGTGGTCCAGAAAAGGCTTCTTGAGACCTGATGGATGGGTCGAGTTAATGGCTAGGAGATAGTAGGGCATGGGGAACAGACTTTCAAGCAGGTTGTAAAGAATAAAATATTTTTTTTCAAAATACAGAGATAAAGCAGGAAGGAAAATTTCAAAGAATCATCCAAGTGGGCAGACAGAGGAAGCCCAAAAGGTCTCAGCACAAAAGGGTTTGCTGAGTTTGGGCTCTACTCAGTGGGTGACAAGGGGGCTAGATGAGAATTAAAAATAGTAACATGGGCATGAGTTGTACATTTTATTACTGTATAAGTGGTGTAACATAGTAAATAATAAATACTCCAAGTTATTCCACACTCTTCCACATTAAATTTAATGAAAAAAATATTAGTTCCATAGGCTTCCGTAGATGATCTCAAATATAAAAAAAAGATACACATCTTTTCAAGGTGCATGTTTTGAAGAAAATAACATTCCTTTGAATGTATACACCTTGCCAAAAGTGCTAAGCCAGCCCCAGCATACCTCATACACAGTGAGAAAGGAGGAAAGGGACAGAAGGAAACTGAGCAATCAGTTATAATAGGAGCCAAATTAGGAGAGGTTTTTAAATAGTAACAGTGTGGCTGTAATAATGTTTTATAATTGTCCACACAAGGGGCAAGTCTTGAACACCCATGAAATATTTTTGATGTTTCTACAAACCTAACAACTTTCACTAATTCTGGTACAACTTAATGACTAGTTCCATAATTATACTCAACTTTGAAGAAAATATTCTGATAGTTTTCAAAGTCAGTTTGAAAATTTGAATGCTCACCATGTCAGCGGATTAAAAAAAACAAAAAACTTTCCACTTACTACTCAACCATCTTTAATCAATGAACTTAAACTGATTTTCAATGGAGGAAACATCACTTTTACCTTAATGACACTGCAACTAAATTGGAAGTCCTTCAGATCTGGAACTCTAAAAAGCCTCTTCTAATCAGTCTAGTCCAGGAAATTTTAAAGGCAGTATCTTCTAAGCTATCCTTAGCCTGGCCAAGGGTCATACCATGGTGGTGCTTGGCACATACTAGACCAACAGGTCATTGCTATGAGAACACTTTCTGCTGAAGCCAGCATGGGTCACATACAAGCCAGAAGAATAGTAGGCTGCTAAGGCATAATTTAAAAACATAAAAGATATACTTGGACATACATGAAAATAGCTCTTAAATTTATCACAGATATTCAGAGTACCTTTTAATAAACAGAAAAAATAAACTATTTTTAGACATCAGCAAACAGAAAAGCAAAGGCACCTGACACTCTCAACACTGGGCACTGTGCTGGCTAGTTTATGTCAACTTGACACAGTCATTTTGGAAGAGAGAACATCATTTGAGAAAATGGTCCTGCCAGACTGGCCTGGAGCAAGCCTGTGATACATTTTCTGGATTTATGATTGATATGAGAGGGCCCAGCCCATTTGTGGGTGGGGCAACCCCTGGGCTGGTGTCAGGAGTGCTGTAACAAAGCAAGCTGAGGAGCAAGCCTCCACATCAGCTCCTGAGTCCAAGTTCCTGCCCTGCTTAGTTCCAGCCCTGACTTCATTCAGTGATGGACTGTTACCTGAAAGAGTAAGTGAAATAAATACTTTCCTACCCAAGTTGCTTTTGCTCATGGTGTTTTATCACAGCAATAAAAACCCTAACTTGGATAAGCACAAAGACTGGATTACAACCAGTTAAAAAACAAACACAAAATACAAAAGAAGAGGGTCCCAAAGTGCCTGCTATCAACCAACCAGACATCCCTAAGTGCCAAGAATACAGACAGCAAACAATGAACAAAGCCCCTGCTCCGACAGACCTTACACTCTACTGTGAAATGCCTACTACCACAGAACCCAAGCAAGAGATTATGCCCTGAGTGGCACCATCCTTTAAATGAAAGGTGAACAGTGGGCTACACTAACCTGATGACACTTTATCTTAATATACAATATGATCCTTGAATAAAGCATATTATAGCACCTCTCCTACAATCACCGACAGTCAAAAATACTGTTATCTTGTCAATTAATGCAAATCCTCTAAATGTATAACATAGAGTGGGAAATGAGAGATCATAATTAATCTCAACACCCCTCTCACCCAATGGTAGAAATTAATCCTAGGGCCTTTACACATTAGACTAGTGCTCTACCACTAAACTATACCCCACCCTCAGGAGAATGTATTTTTACCAAAATAGACAATTTACAGGGAATGGAGGGATAACTGGCCTAACTCTTATGTTTTAAGAAGATGGAGGTTACAACATGTTACAGGAGTAAAGTAGTTATGATTTCAATAATACTATATCTTTGCATTTCCTTACATCTCTATTACATGTGGCCTGTGAATGTTTTTAATGCTTGAGTTTGATAAGATTTTAACTTTTGGGGTCTTTTGTGGATGTGTCATTATCGAAATTTGTGTTGTGGATGTGCAAAATAGCTGTCCTTTACTCTCAAACAACTCAAACCCATGTTATTCAAGGATCAACTCTAACTCCCCTAAGTTTAGGTTCCAAGACATGCAACTTTATGTCTGATGTGGCCCTTAATCACCTATCACAGAGACTATTTCTTTCTCTAACAGCTATTCATCACAAATGTTGACAAAGGCCTCCCAATTTAGAAATACAAGTCTCCGGAGCTTCCTTAATGCTTTCCCAGAAGACTTGACATACCAATAAAATTAGTTCTATGACTATGCATGATTCAAGAGCAGGCCACAAACTAAAGAAAATCCACTACCAATCTATGGCTGCTTCTTGGGAGACAAACAGGCAGACTGATCTTCTGTGCCCTCCTTTTTATACTTGGAATGGGAGAGAGTGATATACTCAGGCCACCTATCACACATCTATGATTCTAGTAGTAGCAAACTAGCCTACTGCTGTGGTTTAGGCTAATTTAAGCAGGATATTTATTTTACTTGGCAACTAGAGTATCTCCTCATGCAGTTTTTCTTCTCTTACATTTATACTATTTTATGTGTGTTTATTTGTCTTACCTTTAAAACTATGTCCCAGCAGTGGGATTTTAGCTACATTTCTGGGGATCAAACCTCGGGTCTCATGTAAGCTAACCATGTGCTCCAAGCTATAACCTCCAGAAACTATCATTTTAAAGCTATTTGAGAGCAGAGGAATTTACTACCATTATCTTCTAATTTTATTTTTAATTAAGTAGGTGTGGATATGTGCATGTGAGTGCCAGTGTCTGTAGAGAACAGAAGTGTGATCCTCCTGAAGCTGGAATTCAGGTCCTGTACAAGAGTAAAGCACTCCCTTAGCCCACCTCTATCACATTGCCATCACCACTAGCCATTCTTACAATGACTTACTCAAATATGTCAAGTGAATGACTGTTGACTCAGTCACATGTAAATTACATTCTAGGCCTATAAGCTGAACTACAGCATAAAGAAGACATAAACTTACTATTTTCTTGGACTCTGGCCACAAATCCCATTAAAGGTAACTGAGGAGTTACCTGTAGGATGGAAGGAGGAGGAGGAGCAAGAGATACTGCAAAAACAAAAAAGGTGTGGAGGATAAGGGGTAAGGGCAAGTTATATTAAAAGGAAAGGATAATACAATCAAACATATAAAGGAGGAAAACCACTTTTCTTTTCACAAACATTTGTCTATGTTACGGAACCACTTTTGAGGGTAATTTTATAAACCAAACAACACACTAGAGAGTTTTAATAAGCTTTAAAACTATAGCAGCAACTGCTTATCATGCACAGCTCTCTCTATGTAGTGAGAACCAATCCTCTTTATATCTATTATAAGTGCTTTTTGTTGATTACCATGAATAATTTGGTTTTCTAAATTTTAGCTTGAAAGTTACAAAGTCAGATGTTTGTCAGTATAGGAGAAAAATATGACATCCTAACAACCTAAGTGGGCTTTTATTACTTCAGTAACAAATAACAGGCTTTAACTGGATCTTCACTTAGGCTAAACAAGTATGCCCTGAGCTCCGACTGAGGGGCAAGTTCTCTGCTAGACCAGTTATCAGAACCTTTCATTGAGAGTCAGATGCCAGCGTATTCCTTTCTTAAGCCTACAGAAAACACCACTGTTCTTCTCCCAGGGTGTGTTACTCTATCTCAAATGCCTTGCACAGTTAAGGAATACTGTAAACCTTCAACAGATTTATGAAGGAACAAATAAATAAGGCAGCTACACAAATAATTTTTAGAAGGTTAATGCTATAATTGCAGTTCCCTTCAGAAAGCATATATACTATGGTAGCCATGTTCTTAATGGAATTCCCTATTTGCTCCAAAATAAAAGACTAATAAAACTAAAAAATTCAAGTGTTTTATCTCTCAAACAGGTCATACACACACACACACAACACACACACACACACACACGACCACCACCACCACCTTAATAATCTTTGTCTAACTTCCCAGGACACGGTGCTACAGAGAACTCATCTCTGAACAGTACTTGAAGATATATGCTAAGCAGACAGAAGTTGAGAAAGACATTCAAGCTTAAGGAACCAAGTTAGGGCAAAGGCTTAAAGGCAGAAAACAGCATGAACAGAATTCACAGGACCAAAAAATTTGTTCTCTATATGGCTATAGAAGATATGTTTTAAAAATTAAATCAGGCAGTGGTAACACACATTTGTAATCCCAGCACTCAGGAGACTGATCTCTGAGTTCAAGTCCAGCCTGATCTACAAAAAGAGTTCCAGGACAGCCAGGGCTTTTACACAGAGAAATCCTGTCTCAAAAAAGCAAACAAACAAACGTTATATTTTCTGTGTTTAGACATCATGATAATTAGATCCTCTGGATCTAGTCCATAAATATGACATGAAAAACAGATAATTCAACCCTATTTCATAGAATAGAAGCAGAGATTTTATTTCAAAAGCTTATTTCAAGACCTGGTACACAGTAAGTCAAGGCAGATTCTAGAAACAAAAGAGAACTTAATTACATGTACATAAACTAGTATCTAGTAACTAATGACTTAACTAGCGTACAAAGGTCAGCAAAAAGGCAAGGGATTATAGACTTTTAGCCTCATGAATAAAATTAAAGAAGCTATTAACTCACTAACTCACTAACCTTGGCAGAGAAGTACTGCGAAAGCACAGGGTGGTGAGTGTAGACAGACCAGAGAGAGAGAAGAAGACATGACAAATGGCATGCATGAGGATGACAAGCATAAAAATGAGAGGCAACAGGAAAATAAGGTGGGATATATTAAAATTCAAGCCAGTAGCTATTAGCAGAGTATTAATGGCTGACGGTATGCCTGCCTCCATACTGCCATGTCCTGCCATGAAGATAATGGACTTAACCTCTGAGACTATAAGCCATCCCCAACTAAATGTTCCTTTGTTAGAGTTGTCATGGTCTTCACAGCAATAGAAACCCTAAGGCACTCATCTAACCAGAATTCAGTTCTACCTGGTTCTGTGCATTCCTGTGAACAGAGATCATGAATCACGAGTTGTGGTATAACACAGTAGTAGAACGTGTGCTTCCTATGCCAGAGCCTTTAAATTCTATCCTCAGTAACAACAAAAGAATGGGGAGCAATTTTACAAATTTGTGTATTCCTATTATTTACTCAAGATGTTTCCTCATATGCTAAGATCTATACCTTAAAACCACTGAAAGATCTCTGAATTTAGAATGATTTGCATTATTTTTATTAAAGTATGATGTTGATAGGCTAGAGAGATAGCTCAGTGCTTAAGAGCACTGGCTGCTCTTCCAGAAGACACAAGATCAATTCTAGCACACACACAGGAGCTCACAACCATCTGTAACTCTGTGGGCACCAAGTACTCATGTGGTGAGTGCACTGACATACCTGCAAGCAAAACATACATAAAACAGTAAATCTACAATGCTATAGCTAGAAGAGACTTACAAGGAGACTGAGATGCTGGAGATGTCAAACTATGCAATGACAACTACAGTGTTGTATAGAACAGCATTGAGACACTAAAAAGCTTTCCCAACAAAACTGACTCAGAGGGTGAATGTGCTGGTGAAATAGATCTTACAAATATAAGTTCCCTGATGGTTTTAAAGTCCTCTGAAGCATCCTTGAGGTCTGATAATGCAAATATCCAGTTCAAGAGCTTTACAGCAATAATGTTAGGCTTTCACACACACCACACCCCCCAACCCAGACAGGGTTTCTCTGTGTAGCTTTAGCTGTCCTGGAACTCTCTCTGTAGACCAAGCAGGCTTCAAACTCACTGAGATCCACCTGCCTCTGCTTCCCAAGTACTGGGATTAAAGGCCTATGCCAATACTACCCTACTTACATCTTATTTTTATGAGCTTTACAAATATTCTCAAAAAGTAGGTAAAATAAGCATGATAAAAACTACTGCCACAAAAATAAATAACCCCCCCCAAAAAAAACCTGCTTCTGGGGAGCTAGAGAGATGGCTTAGTGGTTAAGAGCATTGGCTGGGACCAGAGTTCAATTCCCAGCTCCCACATGGTAGCACACAACTGTCTATAATTCCAGTTCTAGGGGATCCTACACCTTCACACAGATATACATGCAGGCAAATGATAGTTTAAAAGAAACCTGCCTCTGAAACTAATGAAGAACATTACCTTTGGTAAAAACATTAAATTTAGCTGCTGGTATTTTGGGAAACAATGTATGCATTTTATTTTAAAATATACTTCCTGGGCTGGAGAGATATATGACTCAGCAGGTTAAGGGCACTGGCTGCTCTTCCAGAAGCACTGAGTTCAATTCCCAGCAACCACATGGTGGCTCACAAGCATCTACAATGAGATCTGGAGGCCCCTTCTGGTGTGCAATCATACATGCAGACAGAACATGGTATATATAATAGATAAATCTTTTTAAAAAAAGAGTGCCATAAAATATATTTCCTTAAAATAAATATCAACCTAGAACAAGGGAGATCCAAAAGATAATGTGAGTAGTCAGTAAAAAGAAGGCTGCCTGCTGATACCCCTGGGTCACTAAAGTGAGAGTCTTGCAGTGGCAGCACTCAGAAACTTAGGCCACTTGATATTCACCAAAAGCTGTTATGCCAAGAAAAATTAGCTGATTATGACTTACAGTTTAAAACTATCATTTGTGTTTAACAGGCAGGCAGTACTAAGGGCCTATTTGTTTTATTGGTCAACTGAGAATGTGCTTAACTTTGGCTGTTTTTTTGGTTTCATTTGATTCTGTTCTCCCCTAAGAACTATCTACAACAGTGTTCAAAGACAGCTCCTTACTACTGCTCCTGTTTACTATGGCACACCAATCTCTAGTCTTCTGAGATCTGTGACAACACTGCACTAACTTCATTGCCTTTAGAGCAGTGGTTCTCAACCTGTGGGTCAAGACACCTTTGGGGAACCAAATGGCACTTTCACAGGGATCACATAGCAGATATCCTGCATATCAGATATTTTACATTATAATTCATGACAGTATCAAAGTACAGTTATGAAATAGCAACTAAAGTAACTTTATGGTTGGGGGTCACTACAACATAAGGAACTAGATTAAGGAGCCTTGGCATTAGCAAGGTTGAGAGCCAGTGGCTTAGAGAATAGTACAGTATCAACCATCTAACCCTCCTTCTTTAATATTTTTTTCTATTTACAATCCTGGGAGAATAACAATTTTAAATAATTTAAGATTATAAAGCTTCTATTTTAAGAAACACTGGTTAACTGCTTGCTACAAAACACTTCATACTCAAAAAATGTCTAATTAATGTCTTACTAAAGTAGGCTCTAATGTGTGTATAAATATGAATGAAAAAATACACATGTAGATAGATATTTGGAGCCTGTTCTAGAACTTACTCTGTAGACCAGGCTGGCCTCGAATTCACAGAGGTCCACCTGACTCTGCCTCCCAAGTGCTGAGATTAAAGGCGAACGCCACCAACGCCCAGCATGCTTCAAAGTCTTGAAGAAGACTATTAATGAGTGGTTTTATGTGTTTCTGTAGCTCTCTTCACTATTGGCAAATAAATTTAAAGATCAATTTCTGTGATTTTAGATTTTTAAAAAAAGAATCAAGGGTGTTTCAGTTATGTTCTAATCATTTGTCTTCAGTAACTTGTTTTTAACAATATCACAAGAATATAACTACAGTCTTTCTTGAACTTGGCACTATCATTCCATATTTTAATTAGAATAAAAATAAACCATACATTAGGAGGGATGCTCTCAGATTTATACCCCACAGAACCCCTTGTCAAACCACTTCATTCTTTAGAAGCATACATTCACAGCAAGGCTCTTACTACAACATACAGGTTCATAAAACATAAGCATCATTTTGTTCACAAAATGATTTACTAAATATTATGTCTTACAAAAGAGTTGTCGAATTAAAAAAAAAAACCAACAAACAAAAACCATGCTTGGGGATGAGATGCAGGAAATGACAGAACACTTGCCTAGCGTGCTCAGGGATCATAGCTCAAATGCCAGCAACGTCTCCCACCAAAAGAACATAATACAGTTCTGTTTTAATTTTTAAAGTAGGTTTCAAAACCACTAATTATAGCTAACATTAATTAATAAGAATTAGTTATAATTAATTATAGCATGGAGCTATAATTTTCTTCTTTAAAGTTACCAAATTATAAGAGAAGGCAGAACTTAAGAGTATAGAAAATACTGTGACAACTGAGCAGCCTCTCACAGCCCAAATTCCAGTTAACCTTATTCCTTGAGTGTGTAAAGTACTTACATTAAAATCACTCCCTAAAGATTTAATCCTACTTTAAAATATATTTTGGCATATATGAATCTGATTTATAAGAAATATTGTTGAAATATGAAATCTTTAGTACATTAGAAATACAAGTCAAGGGTAGAGCACTTGGCTAACAAATACAAAACACTAGACTCAATCTGTAGTACTGCAAAAACTAAATACATGAAGTATGTTTAAATAACTGTCAAATTATATCTATACAGTTCTCATAGGACTACTGAGTATATACATGCAGCATGAAAATATTCCTTCATATTCTTACTAAGAATTCTGTACAGCTGGTATAAACACAGCTGTAACAATGAAATCTTTCCCAACTTCATTACCGATCTAACCCATTTTAAATTAATATCATTGTTTCAAACCTTTATATAACATAAGAAAGATACAAAGGACTGTAAGCATAATTTCCAGATACCCAAGAGAACTAGCTCATCTTTCACAGAACTACTAAGCAGACTACAGCTAATAAATAAAATTTAAGGATGGAGAAAAAAAAAAGCATTTAATGGTCATCCATGGGCCACACCCACACGCATTCTCTCTCTCTCTCTCTCTTTCTCTCTCTCTCCCTCTCCCTCTCCCTCTCCCTCTCCCTCTCCCTCTGCTGAGGCATGAGGAGCCTGTAAAACACAAGTTCAAAATCAGTCTAAATAAGACATTTTTTAAGTGGTAGAGAATATTTACGTACAAAACACACTTGAAATACAAGTTTGTAAAACACAACTAAAATCATAATTATGGAAAAATTTAAGATGAAATGAATTTTTAGAAAGAACAGCCTAAAACACTAAGCATGAAAAGAGAAATATATTTCAAACAAGGCAATTAGGTGGATTCACATGCATTCTGCACTGGCTAAACTACAAATACAGCATTCAATAAATGAAAGGCATACCACATCCCGTATGACATTTTTGTAAAAAGAATTACAGAATTTGGCAGCATCCATTATATTCTGAAACCTACACCCTCAACTTAGTAAAAACTTCTTTAAAACAAAAAATAAACAAACAAATGAGAGGTGCCCAGGAGAGTAAAGGAACTTGGATAAATAAGCATGTTTCATTTAATATTCAGCAATATTTCTGAACAATTTTCTCAGGACAGAACTGTATAAAGACTAACAAGGATTCCACCATTAGTATATCCTATACTGTGATAGAGGCTTCTCTTCCTCCACCAGAAAGAGAGGCTCTGGCAAGTGAAGAGATCTTTTAATCTGAAGGTAGATAGGACAGGATGATAGAAAAAGCATGAAATACAGAATCAAAAAGCATCCAGTTAAAGGCTTTCTCGAGCATCACCTTGGCCTTGGTTTCATCAACCAATAACAGAAACATGTACAGAAGACATCCCCATCACAAAGTACATATGTAAATACCACCATTCTTGGGGTCAGAGAGATTGCTCAGCAGTTCAGTGGACAACTGCTCTTCCTGAGGACCCAGGTTCAATTCCCAGCACCCACATAGCAGCTCACAACCATCTGTACCTCCAGTTTCAGGGGATACAATTCCCTCTTCTGGTTTCCGTGGGCATTAGGCACATACATGGTATACAAACATATGTACTTGCAAGCAAAACACCCAATACACATAAAATTTTTAAAAATTAAATAATTTAGTTATAACCATTTTTAGTTTCTGTGTATGAGTCAAATGAGATAATAAATAAAAATAAGAGAAAAGTCCATCTTTCTTTGCAAGATTCTAAAGAGTATAACTAAAGTTTCACTAACTAAAGATAGCAACTACAATAGATAAATTTAGCTCCATAAATTCCAGGCTTATGAGAGATGAAATGATCTGCCCCCAAAATCAGGGGAACTCACACACACTTAATTATCTCTTAGCAAAAATTAAAACACAACAGAAAGTTCACATATTACTTTCATGTAGTCAAGACACCTAAATTTTTCTTGCATTTTCTGGAAATAAATCGCTGATCATGTGTAGCATTAAGTGTGCAAGGTTAGATTTTTTTTGTATATATAATTCAATTCTTTATTTCAATTGTTGTATCTGGATCAATTTCTCCAAGTCCCTCATACCCATCAGGGTATTTTGATGTGATAACTGAGTTAAGACAGTGTGACTGCCTAATGTAAAACACCTTCATGTATACCCAACTTTATTTATAATTCATAAAGAAACAACGTCTTATTAAACAAAAATAAAATACTGTCCTATATACTCCACTTGAGACAGGATCTCACTCTGCAGCCTAGACTGCCTACACTCCCTGCTGCCCCCGCCCCTATCACAAGAATGTTGAAATAACAAACAAGCACTTGCATGTCTAGCTCAGTATTTAAGTTTTTAAAAGCAAATGATCACACACTGAAAATGACTACATTTGGGGGGGGGGAGGAACTCCTTAGCTTTAAATCAAGACAGTTATTGACTTTTTAAAGTGGAAACAGTATTATTAAAAACTTAGTAGTCATTCATTCATCATTCTTCTACCCATTCACCAATGATTGTTTTATTATTTATTTATTTATTTGTATTTCATGTACATTGGTGTTTTCTGCATGTATGTCTGTGTGAGGGTGTCAAATACCCAGGATTTGGAGTTACAGACAATTGTGAGGCATCATATGGGTGCTGGAAATTGAACCTGGGTCATCTGGAAGAGCAGCCATTGTTCTTGACCACTAAACCATCTATCTCTCCAACCCTTAAACAATAATCTTACCTACCTATTACCTTTGGGATAACCACCTACTATGTATGGGTTAATCATGTGTAACTGAACAGTTTTTTACTTTGTTTTTGTTTATTAAAGGTGCAATGGAAAAGAAATGGCAAAAGAGAAGTCTACCTGGATTCTGGTTATAAAAAGGGCCTCCATTCATCTGACTCTGAAGGCTTGTCTGTGAAGTTATGGAAGGAGGCCGTCTATAGGGCAATGAGCCCCCTATTGTTGGTGGTGTATGGCGAGAGGCAGGCCTATTCATGCTGTAGAACTGAACAGGATGACCTGGGAAAGGAACAGAACACAACTGCATCATTAAAAGAAACTTATCTCAGATAATGAAATACTTTATGTACATTTTCTAGTAAGATTACTAAAAATGACAGTATTTAGCCAACTTAATCCAAGATAACAACTATTGTGCTGCTCACACTGTATCAAAGCACAGAAGCAGGAAAGTAAATAAAAATAGTAAGTTTGAAAAAGTTACAATCTAAATCAAAAACAAACATTTTGACTTTTTTAACCATTTGACTGTGTTTTAAAAGCACCACAATTATGCCTGGTGGTGGTGGCACACACCTATAATCCCAGCAAGGCTAGAGATATCTGAGTTTGAAGCCAACTTAGTATACAGAGGGAGGTCCAGGACAGCTAGGACTACACAGGGAAACCCTGTCACGACAAACCAAAAACCAATGCCCCCCCCCAACCAAAGGAAAAAAAACAAAAAACACCACCAAAAAAATAAACACCACAACTAATTACAACTCATATCTCTACTTATAGATTGAATGTGTCACCCAAAGCAAAATCGCCAGTGCAGTGTTTCTTAACCCAGGGGCTGCAAATCAGATACTTACACTGATATTCATAATAGTATCAAAATTATGGTTATGAAGTAGCAACAAAAATGATTTTATGGTTGGGGGGGTCACTATAACATAAGAAACAGTATTAAAGGGTCACAGAACTAGAAAGGTTAAGAACCACTGGACTAGATCACCAGTGTTGAGAGGGAAGAGCTCTAAACAGTGATTAGGTCATGTGATCTTCACTTTCATGAATGAAAAATGCATTATCAAAAGAGTGGGTTTTCTCCATTTCTAGAGATGACCCCTTAATACCGAACATTGTGCCTCCAGAACTATGAGCTAAACAGACTAATATAATTTATAAGTAATCTAGTCTGCAGTATTCTGTTACAGCATACAAAATACATAGTTTCTTCCTCCTCTCCCAAAAAAATAAATAATTATTCAAAGCCACTAAGCACTAGAGACTAAACAAAGAATCACATTTTGGGAAAGAAAAAAGAAAAATGTTTGGTACATTCTTTATTCTAAACTAATAGTGGAGATAAGTTAGCAAAGCTGTTTTAAAGGAAATAAGATATTGCAACAAAACAGCTGGTCTCCACTCTGCCAAGGGCCCTCTGTAACAAAGCATTAGAAAGCCAGCAACAAGGCATAGAAAGAAGAAGGGAATAACAGGAAGACATGGAAGGGAGGAGATGCTATATGATGAGGAAAAGAGGAGAAAGAGGCAGAAAAGAAAGGCAGGAAGAAAAACATTCATATGTTACTAATACTAGCCTAGGATCTTAAAAAATAAAGTATCATTATGAATTTTATAAAGTTGGATCCTGTCTAAAATCTCATCTGTTTTAAGTCCACAGTGAGCTTCAGAGACACTACAGTAAACACGGCACTATTTGGCCGGAGAGTTGGCTCAGTAGTTAGCAGCACTGTTGCTCTTGTAGAGGACCTGGGCTTGGTTCCCAGTACCCAACACAGCAGTTCACAATTACAGTCCCTTTAACTACAGTTGCAGGGGATCCAATGCCTTCTGCTGATATCCTCAGGCACTAGGTAAGCATGTGGTACACATACATACATTCAGGTCAAACATTCATATGCATTAAAAAAAATATAAAAACACTACCTTTTGGGGAGGGGGTTTTCAAGACAGTGTCTCTGTGCAGCCTTGGCTGTACTGGAACTCGCTCTATAGGCCCTCCTGCCTCTGCCTCCCGAATGCTGGGATTAAAGATGTACCCCACCACCACCATTAAAAAGACGATTTTAAAGACACCTATTTAAATAAACTAAAGTTAGGGCCATTAGCAGTCCACTGCCAAAAAAGGCACAAGAAAGGAGGCCTAGCCTCAGCATTCATTAGATATGCAAATAAAAACTGAATGAAAAATCACTTAAGTTTAAACAAAAAAAAGTTCAGTTATTTGGGAAACAGCTTGTTAGTTTCTTTAAAGGTTAAATATTCAAAGCATGTAGTACATGTCTTTAATCCCACCACTGAGAGGCAGAGGTAGGCACTATGCCTGGCCAAGTACCTATTATTAAATTACCATTTAATTACTAAAATTCTTAGGTAAGGGTCAGTTATTATTTCTGTGTCTATTGCATTAATAAAATTCCTTTATTAAACTAGCTGGGCTAGTGTAAATAGAGTTGCATATCTCAATCAAATGACTGCCTATTATTTTCACTCATCCACTTCAGAAAAGTCATCTTCTTAAGGACTATATAGAAGCTTTCACAATAAAACATCATCCAAAACTCAATTTGGACAAAGATGTCTTTTAAAACATGTATTATTAGTAGCCAGGTGGTGGTGGCCCATGACTTTAATCCTAGGAATTGAAGAAGAGGCAGGCAGATTATCTGAGTTTGAGGTCAGCCTGGTCTATAGAGTGAGTTCCAGGACAGCCAAAGTTATAGAGAAACCCTGTCTAGAAAAAAAGAGAACCTATTTACTAACCAGCATCATATTAACTGTTCAGTGTAGTCTGAGTCTTTACCAACTACTCAACAAAACATATTTGAAGTTGAGATCTTTAAAAGAATGATTACATTTATTTATAAGGCAGTTGCATTCATACCATAGACAGCGTGCATGGGTGCATGGGTATGTGTATGCATGCATGCATGTGTAGGTTAGAGAACAACTTACAGGAGCTGATTCTCTCTTTCCACCATTATGGGTCCCAAGGACCCAAATCTGGTTGTTAGGCTGGGCAGCAAACCCTTTATCTGATGAATCATCTCCCTAGCACTAGGTTGAAATCTTAAATAAAACACCAGTCAACTTAAATAATCCTGAAGTCCTTTAGAAGTACAGTTAATGAGTTTTCTGGTACTGCTAAAATATAAGCAAAAATTCCATTATAGTAAACATAGAGGTTTGTAATTTTCTATATAAAACATTACATTAAAATATATTTTTCAGATGGACGGTAGTAGTGCACACCTTTAGTCCCAGAACTTACAAGGCAGAGGCAGGCAGATCTCAGTGAGTTCAAGGCCAGCCTGGCCTATAAAGTAAGTTCCAGGACAGCCAGGACTATTATACAGAGAAACCCTGTATTGAAAAACCAAATATATATTATTTTTCAATTGTCATAGGCTTGTTTTGTTTTTGTTCATTACTGAACCTACAATATTACCTGTGTGTGTACTCACATACGTGTTATATGCAGATACATGTGCATATGAACAGCTGAGCATGTGGGGCCACAGGTCAACCTTTGGTGGTGTTCCTCAGGAGCCATCAACCTGTGTTTTCAAGCGATGTCTCTTACTAAGACCTGACACTTACCCATTAGGATAGGCTGACTAATCAGCAAGCTGCAGGGACCCACCCGCCTCAGATCCCCAGCACTGGATTACAGACATAGACCACCTTGCCTGGCTTTTTATGTGGGTACTGAAACAAGAACTCAAGTCCTCATGCTTGCACAGCAAGCACTTTACCAACTAAGCTGACTCCCCAGCTCCCTAAGATAGTTTTAATGGCAAGTTTTCAAAGCTATAAAGAAGTTAACTCCATACTAAGTTATATATCTTTAAAAGATTAAAGCAATACTTATGTTTGTGATACTTTATTGGACAAAAGTATCATAGACTTTAGCCCAATTTTGTCATAAATTCTTTGTACACATGCCACTTTCTGATTAATCATCTTTTTTTTTTTTTTAAATACAAAGTAAAATCAAACCAACAAATATGAAGCTGAAGCTGAAGTTTCAGGCAAGAATGGCCAGATGAAGGATCTGTCTGTCATGCCAATACTCACCTGTAGGGGGATTGGAAGAAATAACAGGGGGAGTTGGAGAAGTGAAGCCATCAGCAAGGGTCTGTGCGCCCCCAGCAGCAGCATCTGGGGCAGTGGAGGAGGGGACAGTAGCAGGAACAAGAGGAGTAGGGACAGATGCAGAAGTAGCAGGAAGGGGAGGAGTGCCAGCAGGGGCTGATGGGAAAGAGGAGTAAGAGGCAGCATTAATAAGGCAGTCACATTAGCATTAGAAAAAAGCATTGGAATTATTAAGAGTATTCAGCACTGAAAACTAGCCAAAAGAATAGAGCTTTGAAAAAAGAATGGTTAAGGTTATTTATGTGAGCAACAAATAATTCAAGATGCTCAGGTAGTAAAGAAAAATGTTAATTAGCTAAAATGAAACCTTCCTTTTTACCTAGAAGCAACTAACCTAAGAGAAAACTGCTTCCTACCTGTTACTTTTTATAATGACATGTCTTAAGTATATAAAACTATACTACATTTTAAAAGTAAAATACTGTTAGAATTACAACATGAATCAGAAAATGGGCACAGATTCCAGACAATATCTTATTAGTACAAAAAAAAAACAAACAAAAATAAAACAAAAACAAAAAGCAAAAAAACTTAAACATAGACAAAATTTTTCATGGTTTTTGTAAAAAAGGTATTATCTATTTGCATTATTGTAATTAAACACATTGTTTTGTTTTTTTAAGACAGAATTCTCACCACATAACCCATTGGCTCCTAGATTCTCCTGGCTTAGCCTATGTATGCTAGATTACAAGCATGCATCACAACCTATTATGTGATATTTTATCTTGCAGGGGTTTTTTTTGGGAGGGGGGGTATAGATTTCCAAGACAGAGTTTTCCTGTGAAGCTTGGCTATCCTGGAACTTGCTCTGTAGACAAGGCTGGCCTCAAACTCTGATATCTATCTGCCTCTGCCTCCTAAGTACTGGACTAAAGGCATGCACCAAAATATTCAGCTTATTCTGCTAGATTTTAATAAAGATTTTTATTTATACATGTGTAAGCCTAAAAGACTTTACATGTGCCATCTCCATGTAGGTCTCCAGAGGCCAGAAGAGTGTTGGATCACCTGGAGTTGGAGTCATAGTGGGTGCAGAAACCAAACCTGGGTCTTTCTACAAGAGCAGTAAGGGCTCTTAATCAATGAACTGTCATCCCTCCAGCAGCTATCTTGATGTTTTCAATCTCTGTTTTCAAATCAAACAACTATATTTTTCTGTTTCAGGGAGGAGGGGAAATCATGTTTCATTAACTACTGAATCACAATGCTCCTTTAAATTTACATCTCTCATCCTTCGTTACCAAAATGATCCTCAAACCATGTCCTCACAATGTCCAAGGATATGTACTATTGCAATACTAACTGAAACTAAAAAAGTAACTCATCCCACAATGAACATGAAACCTCAAAGCAGCAACTGAACTAACACCAAAGACATAAAACAAAGTGACAGATGAGTAGAGAGCAGCAGAACAATTAAGATCACTGGACAGAAATAACAATGTATGCAGACTTCCTAATACTTATGGACTGCTAAGTGAACCTTTAAAATCTTTATTGAAAAGAAAACCCATCTGTAGGAGACTCTGGACTCAATAGCCAGAAACATACTCATGGTGCACATGAATGCACTTGTGTATGCGCGCATGCAGATACACGCACACGCGTGTGCGCACGCACACATAGACACATACACATACACACACACACACACACACACACACACACACACACAAACTGTAATTCAATAACAAACTGAATTTGAACTGACAAAAGAAAACAACACAAATGATCACTAATGCTTTACCTGGGAAGACGCTGGGAGGAGATGGAGTAGGAACAGCGATAGGAACCCCCACACTCCCACTCCCACTGTTCTCCCGACTGCTGCTCCGACTACTTGGGTGACTTCCTCCACTACTCCCACTGCTGCTGAAGAAATAAGATCCACCAAAGTGAGCACAGAGAACAAGATATCAGGGATCCCGTGTATTTCTGAAATGGACATAGCTACAAGAAAATAAGATTCCAAAAGCTTCCATTTCAAACATGAAGTCTTAATAAATAAGGAGAAAATCTGAGTTCAGCAAACTTGTTTTGATACCTATTTATGAGGTCTAATAAATTTTTTAAAAGAAATCCTCCATAAATGTAAGGGCAAATTGTTCGTGTTTAACACATCAATATATTTTATATCCTGGTTTAATACCTATCTGAAGAAACTTATAGTAAGTTTTACTAGATTATTTTATTTCAGTTTGTAATGGCATGGTGATATACTATCATTTTAATATAAATAGTTTTTCATCTGTAAATTTCCACAAAAAATAACTTGCAATTTTCATTCCTGGTTAATAACACTTTTTAAATTAAGTTTTATCTTTGTTGATAAGTTATACTTTAAGATGTCTTTTTCACCTTCCTGACTGCTCAAAGTTGCATCAGAGCATGAGGAGAGAGAGGAAGAATCAGATGAGGTTTGGGAGAGTAGAGTGAGAAAAAGAACTTAGTGCTTGGAAAATGAGAGAGATTTAGCTGAAGTTATCTGAACAGATTATGGTACTCTGACCATCATGTTTTGCACTGAGGTAGAGAAAATACCTGTAAGTTCGATTTCTTTGATTCACAGAAGCTGTCCTCACAGGGCTCTGCTGCGAGGGAGCCATATTACGGGTTGGGCTAGGTACGTAATCATTTGGTACCACTGGAGGACGCACTGGCTCCAGTGTGCGATAGGGGGAGTGCCGCCTACAAAAAGAAGAGCGTATGTATTGTGTGATTAATCAAGTTTCGGCACGGTAAATTCAGAGTTGCCAGTGAAATACAATTTGTAAGCAGAAATAGGAAATGTGGTTTAACCCAGCTATCAATTAGCCTTTCCTACAGTACAACTCCTCCACCATTAGAGAGAGTTCTGGTGAATATGTAGTGTAAATTTCAGTCTCCAACCTCATTTCCCTGTACTAATGTAATTTTGTTCATTATTCACAGAAAACACAAGTTTTCCATTGTTTAAGCCAATGTTTTCTAAACTCTTAGAAGAATTTGAATTATTTTAGATTCATGTCAAAATCTCCCAAATGCACTGAGTGAATGCACTAATTATCTTCTTCTCCTCTCTCTCCCTAACCAAAGATGTTTATTAATATTATACAGATGACAAATCTATATTTTTGGAGTCACAACCTCCACATGAAGATCATACCAGCCATAACTCATCCCCCTTTTTATACACTAAACAGAGAAATTAAAGGTATACTGGTACTTAAATACATAATTTCATTCATTTTCCATTTTACAGTCTTTTCTCCTTCAATTTCACCTTAATTTCTTTGCTATTTTCTGCTCAGAGTTCAACATTGACAAGAGATTTTTAAAAGACTACCGAAGTCCTTCTATCTTAGTTAAACTATAAAAGCCAAACCAGACAATGCTACTAACAAGTTGTTTCCCTTTTCGGAAATCTTCCCTCCAAGGGAAGAACATGAAAATCCAGAAAAGCACATCAGGATGTGATGTGCTGCCAGAGCCTGGGCACTGTTTGGCATTCTTTCAAGTCTTGTTCTCAGGTGACCAAACCCTTCAGGGACAATGATAGCTTGCAGGTAAGATTAGGTCTTTATAAGAATTTGGCACCACAAGATAGGAAAACTTGATCTCTTTTCTTGCAAGAGAATCTGCTCAAGCGGCTTATATTTCTCAGTAATTCACTCCTAACCAAGTTCCCGTTCCCCAAGTTTCTTCAAGCACTGCTGTTCTGGTGACTCAAGTTCACGGACTTTGAACTCTTTTCTCCTTTTTTTTTTTTTTTTTTTTTTTTTTTGGTTTTTCCAGTCAGGGCTTCTCTGTGTAGCTCTGGTTGTCCTGGTGTCCTGAAACTCACTACTCAAAATCACAGAGATCCACCTGTCTCTGCCTCCCAAGTGCTGGGATTAAAGGGCTGTAGGGCTGTGCCTCTATCGCCCAAATGAGATTATTTTGAAAGGCACTGTTGCCTCTGCTTCCCTTGAGTGTTGTTCAGTTAACAATTAATTAATAGGCCTGGTGGTAGTGGTGGCACACGCCTAAGCAGCCAGATCTCTGTGAGTTCCAGGACAGGCTCCAAAGCTACAGAGAAACCCTGTCTTAAAAATTAAAAAGAAAAACAAAAATTAATTAACAAAACAAAACAATTAACAATTCAAAATAGAGACATATGTGATACTGTGTCAAAGGTAAATATTTTTTAAAAATTCAAACATCTTTGAAATTATAATACATGTATGTTTATATATGTATATATGTATCAGAAAATTAATTTCTAAAGTCTACTTTTGACAATGTTTCTCACTAAAATGCTTCATTCTACCTTCATTAACTAAGAGATATACAGAAAAACAATGATACAAACAAGGTTAAAAAATTAAAATAAAACAGGAGGAAGAGGAATAATATAGTGACCAGTCAAAGACTAAAGAAAACAGCCCATGACCACCAAATGGACAAATGGAACTTAGCCACTCTGGTCTTCAAAGGAACAGATGAACTCCTGCTAACACCCAAGAAAACACATTACTGGTACATGAGTACAAAAACTGAGTGCAGAAGAAATTTTAATTCTACTAGAGACTTGATAACAAAATTAACTTCAACCCTTACAAATAGTAAAGGTAGTACACCTGAGGAAATGTAAATACGTTCTACATGAAAACAAAACAAACACTTCCTCAGCAACCATCATATGTTACACTGTCATTTTCATCCTACCTTGAAGTTTAAGTCTTATGTGACCCATAAGATTCTTTCTCTGTGTTCTAAGAACAAAAAGGTCATTTTAGATAAAGCCTAAACTGGATTACAAGCACAAACCTGTAATCCCAGCACTCCATAATTTGAGGAATTGAGGAATTTCAAGACCAATTTGGGCTACACTATGTAGTAACAACTCCTGGCTTAGAAAGCAAAAATATATTCATTAATGAAAACCATGCTACTCCTGGTTTTACAATTTTGCTTTGTTTCCTACTGATCAAACTAATTCCTTTCCAACATTATCCTCCTTTATATTTCAATTTGCCTTCATCCTATACAAATCCAAGTGCTTGACTGAGTTTTGATGGAGGAGGGCATGTTCTTGTTGTTCGTAAGTTTCCTCGTTTCTCATCTTTTTTTTTTTTTTTTTAAAGAAAATATCACAAAGACGATAGTTCTGAAAGCATTTGTCTTGTTTTATACATTTTTTTAAAAATCCAATTTGTAGTACAGTGACCCTGGAAAATTGATAAAGGACAAATATCACCCCCTTTACAGATGAAAAAACTAAATTGTTGATAAATTGACTACAGGACAATAGAACAAACAGCAGAGCTACATCAGAATTTCTGTCAGCTGGCTTCTGAATAATATTGTGAGTAAGTAAGTCAACTTACAAACTTCAATCATGATAAAGCCAGGATACTGTACAAGAAAAAAAGTCACTGTCCTTCTAGGTGGCAATTTATAAAATAAAGTCAACACCAGAACCCAAAATGCTCAAAAATGTAACAATTACACAGAATATTATAATCTACATAGCCTAGACATCCCAATAAAAGCAAGTGTAATATAAAAGGATCATTAAAATTTTCTAAGAAAAAGAAAATTAAAGTTAGACTTCGCTTTATAATTAACCATGAAATTAGGATAGGATTTTTTTGTTAATTTAAAACTCACTACAAAAATAATTTCTAAACAACCACTTTTAAAGTATAAAGATGTGCTTACGGGGGGGGGGGGAAGAAGAAAGGGAGGGAGGGAGGAAGAAGGGGAGGGAAGGGGGAAAGGGGGAACAGGGATGGGAAAAAGGAAGGAAAGGGAAGAGGAAGAGGAAGGGAAAAGGAAGGGGAAGGAAAGAGAAAGGGGAAGGGAGAAAAAAGAAAGTCAGACACACAAAGGCAACACTATGAAGACTATTCTCCCCAATTTACACAGAGGGGTTTTTTTGTGTGTTGTTTTTTAAACACAACAGTACATGGTTTTCTATTACTATATACTCACCCAAGTGTCCCCTTTCCTGACATAGGGGGACTTGGGGGCTTCTGGGTTGGAGGTGTTGTACGTGGCAGGCCACCCATCTTCATATTCTGGGTACTCACCTAAAAAAAAATGTTTAAGAAAACACAACTTAATTTCTATGCAGTAAAACAAAGTGACATTTGGGAAATATGGAGGGGAAGGTTTAAATAAGAAAATAATTAGAGGCCATGCAATTCCTACTCTACTATTCTGTAGTTGTACTCAAAGGACTCTTCCTAAAAGGATTTTCAAATTATTTTAAACTTGTATGTGAAGAATTTATTTGCCATTAGGCCATCACACCAACAGATCACTGGTTAGACTATCTGATATTACACCCAACTAAAATCAAATAGTATAGCTATAAAAACTTTAGTGGTAACATAAATAACTCAATTAAAAACAATAAGCTCTTTAATCAATTTTTCATTTTAGGGATTGTTTCCCTTATATAGCAAATATATCATAAAACATGATTCCCAGCTAAAAAATGTGCAATTATGCACATGTTCAGCTATAACTAGAGAATATAAAATACAGATAAATTGTTACGATATACAAAGAAAAGTTCAGCTCTTTAAACTTGTGAATCACTCTCACAATTCAGATTTAATGTTCTCCTTACAAGGAAATCACCTACCTGAACACTGTTAGAAGTTCAAGGCAATGTTAGGGCTGAGGTAACCCATCACTGAGAACACAAAAGCCACTGTCATTGTGTGAGTTCTAGTGGTAATTAAACCCACACAGGCCCAAAGTGAAGGCTAACTGAGGAATGAAACAATGTGGCATAGTCCTAAATCAGAGATGGACCATGGCTGTATTCATAATTCTATTCCCAACTGAAATTTTAAATACAGAAAAGATAGGCAATCTGGGAGTAATGATGCCATTGAAGGAGTATGTCAGCCCTTGTAGAAACCCCTAAACAACCAGTGTTTCCATAAGGAGTCAGTAAGGAACACAGTGCAATGCAACCTCACATTGTTTGAGACTACCAAGAGATTAAATGACTATCCACAAAGTAGATTCATAACTGCTTTATTTTAAATCCCTATTATCTCACAACACATTTTTCACTGATTTACTTTTCTTAGTATGTACATTGGTGTTTTGTCTGCATGAATGTGGTAGAGTGTCAGATCTTGGAGTTACAGACAATACATCACAACACATTTAAAGAAAGAAAAGTATCTCAAGTTTCTCATAATACTGTCTTCAGAATTAAATATTTATACTTTGAACATAAAAGGGTAAGATATTTTATACCACTGAAGTTGGAAGAGACAATTATAATTTTAAAATATATATAGAGAGAGAAAGAGACAGATTCTCATTTTGACTCCCTAGCTAGCCTGAAACATGGAGATCAGCCTGTCTCTGCCTCCCAAGTTTTGGGATTAAAAACATGCACCACCACACCTGGCCAATTTTAAAATATAAATTTTATTAAAACAAATCTTTTACTAAAGCTGTCAAAATTAAATAATTTGGGTAGATTTTTTAAGCTCTAAAATAATAATTACTACTTATCCAAATAGGCAAGAAATATATCAAGCAATAAATTCTTCAAATGAATAGCCCAGTGAACAAGTTGTGTGTGATGTTAAAACAATCTTTAATGACAAATGGTACCTTTGAAATATTTTTAAAGTAAAGGATTTGTCTGAAATCCTTTTGCTGTTGCTTTTAAACAATAAATACAAATTACTAAATAAATAAATTATCCTTGTTATCGCCCTCTTTAATAAGCAGAGGGTATGTGAATTTTATCTTTAAAATGTCAGAAGACACTTTGAAAAACTCAATTCACATTTGAAGAAAATTTTATAAGTAATCTGACAAATAACCACCATAACTTTTAAGAACTGGATGTTTTGATTTATGATACTACAGGATTTGAGTAGTAACCAAAGTCCTTTAAGCTCAACCTTAAAACAACATAAAACCCAAAGTTACTGTTTAAGTGATCAGGAAGAAGTGAACCAAACACTAAACTACAACTCAATTTGCTAGAAACAGGGAGGAAAAGGAGCAAGAACAGAAAAAGAATAAAAGAGAATTTTATTCTATATATGGGATAGCTAAGATACTTGAAAATAACTTTCCAACTATAATTTAGTTTAGGTTTCAATATGCAAGATGCTTTTATTTAAATTGCAGTACCTTCTCTAAGTCTCCAAATCTACCCTAATAATACAGAAAAATACTTTAGTTAGAATTGGGTGAGCATATGTAAACAAAAATAAATACATTTTATGATCTATAAAATCCTCAACTGTTTGGTTAATGGGTTGGAAAAGCAACCTGAGTCCCTGTGTAATGTTCAAACCACCTAATCTTATTCATCACTGACACTATACTACTTTCTATTAAGCTAAGTTTATCACTATTTTCTCAAGAGAATGTTCCTCTGTGCTACATAAAACAACTAGTGTAGACAACATGAATAGAAAAAATTTAAGAAAATGGTAATGTGACAAAAATACTTCATTTCTTTATAAAGGGCAAATTTAAAACTATAACTGAATAGTTCAAATCTAAAATAATTTGATCAAAAATTCTTTACTGAATAGATATCTTGATCCTAAAACTTTGAGGTGGTTTAGAAACATATTTCCTGACAATTAGCAAAACATCTGGCTAAATTACACTTACAGTAGAAGACATGTGCGAGTATGCTTGTGTGTATGTACATACCATAAATGTCAAAAAGGAAAAAACAGCATCCACTTTATAACAGTAAGTCCTCTTGATATGTGTTTATGTGTACATACATGTGTGCATGCATGTGTGCCTGAATATGTATGTGTATATACACACCTGCAGGCACATGCATACCACGGGTACATGTAAAAGTCAGACAAAAATCTTTGGGCATAAATCTCACCTTTTCCCACCTTGTTCGAAACAGGATCCCTTTGCTGTGTAGTATACCAGACTACCTGGTTTACAAACTTCTGGAGATCCTCACATCTCCATTTATCATCTGGGAGCACTGGGATTACAGGTGTTTATGCTACTGTTATGTTCTGTTCATGTACCCCTCTTGATGTTCACTCAGCAACTAAATAGCCAACATGGTTGCCTATTAAAATATGCCTCCATCATTAAGCGAGAAATGACCACAGAGTTCACTGCAAATGGATATAACCAGAGAGTACAGAAAGGTGGTAGAGTACTTGTCTAGCACATATATACAAGGAAGAGGGGTAGGGAGCCTGGCTCTTAACTTCAGCACTATTTCTGGAGCTGGTCAGCCCAGTATCTCTAGCTCACCAATGGGATCATCTCAGATACACAATCTTATACTAACAGGTGACCTGCTTCAACATCAACAGAACAGTGACAAATGCATTCTAAAATGATTTGTGATGTAGCTTTCAGCTGTCAATCACTTGCCAGATTACTATATACAAGAAAAAGGGCTCAAGAGGAAAGAGAGTAGTGATCTATAAAAGGACTACTACATCACCCACCAAAGTCTCCTCCAAAAATTGTTAAGCACTTGTTTATCCTTAGGGAGGACAAGGACCTGCTGAGCAAACTCACTGTCCCTTGAGCTCTCCTCACCAGTCCAAGAGAGATGTTAGTGAGCCCAGTCTTGTAAGGCCTTATATGGACAACCACATCTGCTCTGAGTCAAGGTGGTAATAGCCATATCCAGACTTCCACCACAGAATGTTTCACAGAGAAACTGAGCTGAGTGGAAACAAGGGGAGGATGAAAAGAGGGAGAGGAAAAGAAAAAGATCAGGTATGGCAGCACATGTCTGGAATTTCACCATTTGGAGTTTGAGACAAAAGAGAAATTCAAGGCCAGCCAAGCCTCAGCCATACAGTGAGTTCAAAGCCAGCTTAGACTAACATGAAACCCTAAAGAGAAAGGATCTGGGGCTGAGGATGTAAAATCAGTAGGTGAGTTCATACTTAGTATGCTTAAAACCCTGGGTTTGATAAACTATCTTTTAAAAAACAGATTTAAATACAGAGAGGAAAAAAGAGGACTATGAATAATTTTATCTGTATATGAATTAGAGGAAGGAGGGAAACAGGCAAAGACCACAATTTCCTGTCCAACATTATCCTTCGCTATGGTGTACCATCTACTATATCAGTACTATAGATACTAGTCCAATCCTTTGGGATTCTAGTGTGAAACTTTTTGGTTCAAAGAAGAAAAATGTTGAGGTATCTTATCCAAGCATAATGCCTATGGGATCATTCTAAGAAGCCCTCAGGGGACCTATATCTTACGTGAAAAGAGGTATTCAAGGTGAAGAAAGCAACATAGCCCAGCCTAGAGAAAAGAAGCGCAGAGAATGGCTTCAACACAGACTAAAGCTGAAGAAAAAGGATTGGCCTATTTCTTCAGTTACTACTTCTGGGCATTGCTACCACTGTAGGTTAACAGACCAAAAACCAAAATTTGAATACTGCCTACTTTTTTTAGTCTAGTTCACTGTGATTAAGCATTTTAAACAAAAGGGAACTTTCCCACAATTCCACATACCTAGGTTACCAGCAAGGAAAGGGCTTAGAGGCTGTTCCCATGTGACTTGTCAGATCTACCTGCCATGACCAGAAATTTTTTATGGCCTTGGTTAATTGTAGGTAACACAGTCACCTGTCTCTCGCTTATCACTAACTACACTCACGATATAGCAAACTACACAATAACAACAACAACAACAACAAAAAAACATTTGAAAAAAAATCACAAAATTTAGCTAAAAAAAGAAATGCATGATAAGTTTGACGAAAACCATTTTAGTAACACTATATTTGATAGGCTTCTTGAATGCAGTTAAAATGTTTTTATCATGGATCCTTCAAAATACTAATATACAGGCCACCATAGGAAACAGCACCTTGCTTTGTTTGGGTGTGTATGTTTTTTTTGGTTGGTTGGTTGGTTGGTTGGTTGGTTGGTTGGTTGGTTGGTTGGTTGGTTTCTAGTGCTAGAGATTAAACCAGGGCCCTCCACATGCTAGGCAAGTGTTCTAGCACTGAAAAATGCCTTCCAGATGCTATCTCTAATCCTTAATTTGTATTTTTAAACATTAACATGAACTCTGGATGTTGCATATGCAAGTAAGATTCACCTTTTAAAAAGACTTAAGATGAGCTCATATTAAAATATATTATATACAGCCATTTTAAAAAGACTATTTTACAGCCATTTTAAAAAGACTATTTTGTAAAATGTACTGCAACTTAAAAAAAGCGTATGATGACATTTTTTGCCTCTCAATTTTTTTTATATTAGAAGTCAAAAGATAATGACATATTGTTAGCAAACCATATAATAGAGCATACCATTTATAGAATAAAAAGCTATTACACAGGGGGAGGGTTAAATAAAGCATATTGTTGGCCCTCCAGTCATAACAAAATTTTCACATTTATAAAGACCCAGCTAATTTTATCTCATAACACTTTACAACAGTATAACATATTTCAGTTTCACAAAAGCACTCATTCACTCAGCAATCACATAATGTGTGTTTGGTACTGTTCTAAGCACAAAGAACAGGGCAATGAACAAAATAGACAAAAATACCTACCCTCAGGGAACATGAAGACACACAACAAAGTTGCTAGACCAAATAAAAAGGACTAATTTGTTCATTTTAAAAGGCCAAATGAAAACTATCTCTTTACTCCCCATATGTAATATTCTACATAAGAACACAGAATGGAAATCCAGCCCTGGGATCTCTTACCTTAAATCTAAGCAACCACTTAATGCATAAATGGAGCAAATAAAAGAGGTAAGGAAAAAAAGCATTGAAAGGTTAGTTGGAACTTCAGGATGTGAAGACAAAAGAAAGAAAACAAAGAAAAACAAGTTACGCAATCAGCATTAACAAAATAATGTCTCAGTAGATCATAGAAAGAGTGGTTAAAGCAGAATGTGTCATGAACAGGAGTCTCATTGATGACATAAGACACTGTTTTAGTCAACACTTTAATTCCTTTAAAGAGTTCTTCAAAGTACAAACAACAGTCCTAAAAGAAAAATATTTTAAGGATTAAACAAGAATTACAAGAAGGAATCACCTTCGTTGTACAAACAGGCAAGCCCAAATGTGATATTCTATATTACAAACATCTTCTGGCTGGCATCAGATTCTGGTAGCAGCCTATAACATTCTGTTAGCAGCTGTTTATCATCAACAAACTTTCCCCAAGTTAAAATGAATTAGTTTAAATTAACCATCTAGTTATATATCCTATTTTAATAAATTTTAGTTAAAATATATGTAGGAATCAACTATAAAATCAAATATCAAATTCCAGATAATAATGCTTATTCAAAACTCTGAATAAGCCAGGTGTGGAAGTACACACCTTTAATCGCAGCACTCTGGAGGCAGAGGCAGGCTGATCACTTTGAGTTCAAGGTCAGCGTGGCCTACACAATGAGGCAGGCCAGGGCTAAATAGTAAGACCCTATCTTAAAAAACAAATAACAAAGTCTAAAACCATAACTCCAAAATAAAAGTTGTTTTACAAATTTATATTTTATGTATTATTTTTTCATAGATAAATATTACATTTGAATTTACTGATTTCTGGCCAAAATGGTGGTATATATTTTACATAAATAGATTTGTATCAGAAAAATATCAAATGCATGAACTATATAGTTATTTGAAGTAATACTTAAGTATTTTTCCAATCACTAGTGAAATATAAATTGTAAATAATATGTTCAGCTGAAGCTCTAAATGGTTTCCTACACAGAAACACCAACTTATATAAAGTACACTTTTGCCCAGCTGCAGCTGTCAGGTGTTTTGAAGTGTTAGAGCTAGAGCGAAGGGTTATGTGTGTGAAAAAGCTCATAATCTACCACTGGACCACATCCCCAATACTCCAGAATCTTGATGACAGTACTTCATATCATATTGGATACTCAATTATCTTTAAAAGATGGCCAAAATATTTAATGTTACAAATTAATGGCATTGGAAACAAACAATACTTTGCAAATTTTACCTACACTATTCTTACCCAAAAGGTTGTGATAAAATTATTCTAGGAAAAAAAAAAAAAAACAAGTTCATGTTTAATAACATATGCCGTTCTGAAAACTAACACCAAAAGTCTACTGATAAATTTCTGAGATAAGAAAAATATTTTATATGCTAGATGATTTTTCTGTTATATTAAATCATTAAAAGATTAGAACAACTATACTTAAGCAAATCCTACTACAAATGACCACTTCTGAAAATGTAACACAAAAAAAAAAAAAAAAAAAAACTTAAAGACACAACAGTTCATAGTGGTAAGCAATCTTCACAGCTGTATCAAGATTTGGTCCTTTAGGAAATTAAACAGACTTTAATTTTCTAGGGTTCCACTACAGACTACTACTTCTGAAAGCTTGACAAAAACTACACCTACCTTTACTCCATGTCCAATGTCATCTAGAATTGTGTAGTCAATAGGTTTTCGAATATAACGAACTGGTCGCTCAAGGTTGGCTGGTGCAATAATCTTATGGGTTCTTGAAGTGTTTTTATTGGTAGTCAAAATACCAATTTCTCTTCTTGCAACTTTCTCTTTATGAATATCAACTGTCTGCGAGATACAAAGAAGACAACACAAAGAAGAACAGCTCTGATATCCAAATAATCAAACACATGGAGATTTAACATTGCTTTATATTCATTTCATAAACTATAATCTCTCTAGATTACTGGCTTTATTCATTTTAACTTAATGCAAGGGTTACCAAAGCATACCCTCAGATCTAATCTGGTTTACCACCTGATTTTTATAGCCCACATGTTACATCACAACTTAATGTGCCATGTGTACACATGTACAGGTTTTCATATATGTTTGTGTGTTCTTGTGGTGAGGTGCATATCACATAAGCATTCTTGTGCATGTGGAAACCAGAAGTCAACCTTGTGTCATTTTTCATTAGCTGTTTACCTGGTTTTAATCAGACAAATTTCCCACTAAACAAAGGTCTTTTTAATTTGTCTGAACTGGCTGACCAACCAGTCCCAGGCATCTGTCTGCCGGCACTGTGATTACAAGTGCACATCACATTCAGCTCTCTATTTGGTTGTGCAGCAAACACTGTACCAACTGAATCAATTTCCCAAGCCATGGTGATCTTTTTCAACAGTTTAAAAAATATCAAAGTAAAGAGTCAAAAGTGTCATAAGAAAATTATATCAAATTCAAATTTGGGTTTACATAATTTTATGGGGATATATTACTCACAGTGCTTACTTGTCTATAGCTACTTTTAAACTACAATAGTGTAAATAATCACAACAGAGCTTGTGAAAATGAAAATAATTAGCTCTTTACAGAAAAAGGCTATCAGTCACCACGTTAAACATGCCAAGCATTTCCTTTCCATTAAATTAGCCATACAGAACAGTGGTGGTGCATACCTTTAATCCCAGCACTTGGGAGGCAGAGGCAGTGAATCTCTGTGAGTTTGAGGCCAGCCTGGTCTACAAAGAGAATCCAGGACAGCCAGGCTGTTACACAGAGAAACCATCTCAAACAAACAAAGAACCAAAGGCTAGGATCAGGGGTTCAGCACTTGCCCAACATGTACAAGGGCCTGATTCAATTCCCAGATATCCAGTCCCTCAATCCCAAAATGTCAATATGGCAGAAAACCTTGTTTGCTTCAGGAAGTGGCACATAACACGATGCTGATCAAATATTTCATTAATATTTATCAAGTGCTCATAAAAACATTAGTACAAATGACATATTTTTATCAATAGTCTTCTATTATTTGTTAACAAAGAATAAATTTCTCAAGAAATTTAAAAATTAATGCAGCATTTTACATAACAAGATGTGAGTTTATAATCTATAAGTAATAAATATTCTAAATATAATACAACAGTAAGATAAGAATGTGCTGGTGGTGGCGGCGGCGTGCACCTTTAATCTAGGATTTAGGAGGCAGAGGCAGGTGGATCTCTGTGAATTTGAGGCCAGCCTGGCCTACAGAGTGAGTTCCAGGACAGTTAGGACTATACAGAGAAACCCTGTCACAAAAAAAAAAAAATAAATAAAAATAAAAAGAATACAAGTACTGTTCCTTTCATCATATTTGTTATTATGTTGTGATGGGTAGACATAACCTACGAAACTATCTCTGTAAGGGTGAAATTGCCCAGATTGAAAACCAAAGATCTAGAAGAAATTCTGATTTGTTTCTTACATTATTCATTCAAATAACAATTGTGACTGCCTATGCTGGCTAGATTTTATGTCAACTTTATACATGCTAAAGTCATCTGAGAGAAGACAACCCAATTGAGAAAATGCTTCCTTAAGACTGGACTATAAGCAAGCCTGTAGGAAATTTTCTTAATTAGCAATTGATGTTGAAGAGCCCAGTCCACTGAGGGTGGTACCATGTCTGGCTAGTAGTCCTGGAATCCATAAGAAAACAGGCTAAGTCATGAGGAGCAAGCCTGTAAGCAGCACTCCTCCATGGCCTCTGCATCAGTTCCATAGAACTAGGACGATATGTAAAATAAGATTGTTTCTAATTTAAATAAAAATGTATTAAAAAAAGAAAAGGTCTCAATAACAGCACTTACCTGTGGCAAGTACATGCTCAGCGAGTAACAAAACTAATGCTGTGCAGTGCTTTTGATAGTATTACTATTACTACAGATCTTGTTCACTGAAAAACATACCAAGACTATCACCACTCTTATGCATAACTTAACATCTACTCTTTCACAGTTACTAATTAGTTTTCTCATCCTTCCGTTATTGCCAAGCTAGTGTTGCAGGTTGCAGGCTTCCCCACATAACACGTTGTCCGTTGTCCATAGAGTAGCAAAACTAGCTTCCTTTTGCTTTGCAGTGACCATCCTGAATTTCAGCGTTCCTCTTAAGCCTGAGCTCCAGTCCCACATCTCTCACAAAATCAAGCACATGCTTGGACCCTAACAGTGACAGGAAAGGCACTATATAAAATATTTTGTTTTAGGCAGGCAGTATCGACACACACCTTAGATACCAGCACTTGGGAGGCAGGGACAAGCAGATCTCTGAGTTCAAGGCCAGCCTCTACAGAGTGAGTTCCAGGACAGCCAGAGCTGTTAAAAAGAAACCCAGTCTCCAAACCAAAAACAAAAAATAAAAAAAATTGTTTTAGTTTAATTCAAGTACTCAAGTACTGTTGCTTCCCATTACCACAGATAATTTAGAGTTGACTTTACAGCATAGCTACCTCAGTGTGGAAAAATATTTGCAAACAGTTATAGCTAATTAGCTAAATTTAGTGTTTTTATAAATGCTTCAACTCAAAAATTTAGTTACTCAAATTACAAATATCCTCCAGATTATCCATCTTAAATAAATCAGCTGAGTGAAATGACTCAGCTATTGTGGGATATTTTGATTGCAGTCTCACACTCTCAAGACTGCCAATAAAGTTTGCTTTAAATCAGAGGGCAGAGCTAGCTACTAGCTGACCAAAATTACCTAAGAGGTTTTAGAGGACTGAGGACAGAGAGAGACACAGAAAGTGGTAGGATGGGTCTTAGAAAAATTTTTGGCCCCTTCTGGATGGAGAAGTAGAGAGAAGAGGTCACTGTTCACTTCTGTGAACATTCAGCTTCTTACCCTGATATATGACTCCCAAGTTTACTGATGAAGAATAATTAGATAAACACTTCACTCAGCAGGTAAGTGCTCGTCACCAACACTGAAAACTGAGTACATTCAAGTCTCAAGTGAACACGTGGTAGAAGTATAGTACCAACTTCCACAAGTTATCCTGAGCTCAACATATGCACCTGAACTCACACACACAACAAACAGATAAATGTTAAAAATTAAACTTAATGGGTAACTTTAAATTTAAACCCAAATATATCATATCAAAGTATTTTAGGAGCAGAAGCTGGCAAAGTATAAACTACAGTTACATGGTAAATCTAACCCACAGAATATGCTTTTATACACCCCACAAACTAAGAGGGTTTTAACATTTTTACAAAGTTGTCAAAAACACTTATGTGCATCCTGGGCAACATACCCAGTAAGACCATGTCCTCAGAACAAAACAAAAAGACAAAAAGTGATACATGTGTCTTAAAAAATAGTAGAGTGAAATAGCTGTGACCCACAAAACCAAAATATTTGCCATCTGTCCCATTTAACTTTGCCATTGTTGTTCTGGAGTATTTCCTAAGTATTTGCCTTCTAAACACAAAACAGTTTCTTTGTTTACAGAAGTTGTCAGGAAGAGGAGACAATTCAGCTGAGTATAGACTCAGAATGTAGGAGGCCTTAGGTTCAATCCTTGGCACAAAATGATGTTCTCCCAGTCTAAAGATCAAATAGATTTTTCTGTTTTAAACATAATTTTGGGAAGTTTTATGAGCTGCTTGACAGCTCAGTGGTAAAGTGCTTTCTATAAAATGAGACTTGAGTTCATATTCCTAGGACCTTTGTAAAAACCAAACAGTACATAGCTCTCACTTCAGAGCTGAGAAAAAAAGGTGAAGACGACTATAAACTCAAGCCCACATACACACCTGTGTATGTGCACATATACAAATAAAATTATGAAACAAATTCTACAAATTTAAATTTTTGTAGCTGTTCTTACTTCTTACATATTTGCTTTGTCAGTCCATCTCTCCAACACATCCAGTACACTAACATACACTTTGATTAACACAAAATCTATTGAAGAGCTGTAGTTTTGACCTCTCCAGGTACTGACCTCTAGAAACACAACTCTAAATTAAAAGGGTTCAATGTACTTTTAATAACTGAGATTTTCAAATTCTGACCTACTAACCTCTATCAATGTCTCTCCTGCTTTTCACTTATTCCATCAGAATAGCTTTAGAAGTTAGCATTAATTAGACCACATTACTAAATGCCAATGTGTAATATGCAAAAGCAGTAGGACTGGAGAGTGGCTCAGTTGGGGAAATGCTTGCTATACAAGCATGAACCTCAGACCCACATAGGAGCCAAGTATGGCAGTGCACTCCTGGAAACGAAATCCTGGGGAGCAGACAGGGAATCCCTAGGACTTGTTGACAAGCAAGTCTAGCCAGTGAGCTCAACGTTTAGAGGAAATGCTCAAAAAAAGTAAGGTTGGAAAACTATTGAAGAAGATATCCAACATCAACCAATCATTGTAATGTTTTAAAAACTGCATTTTGCAATTAAATTAGCTTTCTGTCACAGCACTTTTTAAAGGTAAAAGTCTTGCTATGCAGCACATACCAGCTCTGAACTCACAATCTTCCTGCCTTGGCCTCCCAGTGCTCATATTGCAGGTATATACCACTGTTCTCAGCTACAAGATTACTTTAAATGGACTAACAACACAGGAATGATTATGAAGCTATACACATAGGCAGCCATTGAGAAATTATATAGAGATTCTAACAACATGAGAATATATGTTTAAATGGTAATAGAGTAAAATCTCAAATTCTATACCTATTACAATCATAGCTATATTGTAAAAATGATGAGAAAGTAGACAAAATAGAAGAGGAAAAAGGATGAAAAGCTTGAGCAATAGTAAAAAGCCTGTTTTCCCATTTCCTTTCTGTATTTTCATAAATATGGCTTTTATTTTTATATAATAAATCCAAACTTTATTATAAAGACCTTTTTAAATAAAAACATCTTGCAGTGGCATTAGCCAGACCCAAAGCCTATATATATACCTCAATGAATTTCTATACAGTGAAAACAGATGTGCTGAAGTCATAAAAGTGGCTTTAAATTTTACATTTGTACTATCTACAATATTTTTATGTATTTATCCAACACACACACATACATTCTGGGATTTTGCTTACAGTGTGTGAAGAGGTGTCTAGGATTTGCCTCATTTGCCTAATGCACCTGAATGGCATACTACAGAGCTATATGTACAATAGCTAGGCAGGAGAGAATAGACAGGACTTCCAGGCAGTAAGGAACTCAGGGTTAGAATCTGAGGTGGCAAGAGATGCCTTTGAGTCATGAAGGAAGTTTGACATACAGAATGAAAAAGTAAAAAGCCAAGTGGCAGAACACAGATTAACAGAAACAAGTTAATTTAAATTGTAAGAGCTAGTTGAAAACGAGCTTAAGCTAAAGACCAAGCTTTCGTAATTAATAAGTCTCCTTGCCATTATTTGGGAGCTGGCAGTCCAAAGAAAGTTCAACAAGACTAGACATACACACACATGTACATGTATGCACACACACACACACACACACACACAGAGAGAGAGAGAGAGAGAGAGAGAGAGAGAGAGAGAGAGAGAGAGAGAGAGAGAAATCGACCAGAGGTAAAACTAGAAAAGCAATTACCCTTTTATCCTCTTTCATGACTCATATTCCCTACATTCTGTCCTTCCTCATCACCTAATACTTCTCTTGCTTGATCTCCTTTATAAACACAGCTTTTCTAAGGAAAACATTAACACTTAAAAGTTTCATATAAAGGCATTTTATATCTTTCCTCTTTTACAGTATGGCTGGGAGTTAAATTCCCCTAAACCTGGGCTAAGTGGAAGTTTAACTCAATAATAAAAGTGGTTGCCTAGCATGCTCAAGGCTTTTAAGTTCAATTTCCAACACTAGTTATGGTTTGAATAAGAATGGCCCCCACATGTGGTGATAAATTATTTATGATTTATTAAAGCTTGCCTGAGGATACAGAAAACAAATCAAGACACAAGCTATAGAGGTCATGCAGTGGTGATACACATCTTTAATTCCAGCAGCCATACCAGCTAGTGATAGAAGCTGAGCTGTGGTGGCACATATCTTTAATCCCAGGACTCAGGATTAAGAGGTAGACAGATCTCTGTGAGTTCAAGGCCACAGTGATTCCACAAACTTGATCCATCCTAAAACAAATAACTCACACAAAGGTGATCTCAGCACCTGGGATCACATGCCTTTCTTTCATCCCAGCACTAGGGAGGCAGAGACAGGAGTGATATGGCTGGGCAGAGAAAGGAATATAAGGCCAGAGAAGTCAGGAACTGAGAGCTTTTGCCTCTGAGGGTTTGTGGAGACAGGATTGCCATTTCAGCCGGGTAGAGGTAAGATCTACTGGCTTGGCTACTTTGCTTCTCTGATCTTCAGCTTGAAACTTGGACCCCAATATTAGACTCTGAGTCTTTTATTTTTCATGCTACACCCACAGGCTCATATGTCAATACTTGGCAGAGATCAAGAGGAGTAGACTTGTTGGAGTAGGTTTGGCCTTGTTAGAGAAGTCTCACTGGGGTAGACTTTTGAGATTTTAAAAATGCTAAGCCAGGTCTAGAGGCTTCTGTGTCTGTAGATCTAGATATAGCATTAACTATTCTCCAGCACCATGTCTGCCTGCATGCCACCATGCTTCCTGCAATTGTAACAATGGACTAACAATGGACTACACCTCTAAAGTGCAGGCCAGACCCAATTATATGCTTTCCTTCATTAGAGTTGCCATAATCATGGTATCTCTTCACAGCAATAGAACACAGAGCCATCAAAAGGGAGTTTAAAAAGCCTACTGACAGGAGAAAACTTTTAATTAGTCACCAAGCTATCAAGTATTTTTAAAGTAGTAAAGACACAGAAAACCCGTCAAAAGATTTTTTTCTTTAAAAAAAAAAAAAAAAAAAAAAAATCAGGGGAGAGCCTAGAACCTGTCCCAAATGATGTGACAGACTTCGATGATTCCCCCATGGAAGGTTTCACTGTCCCTGGGGAGTGGATGGGGGAGTGGGAGGGGGATTTGGTGGGGGACATGGGAGGATGGGAAGGAGAGGCAGCTGGGATATGTAAAATGAGATCATTTCTAAATTAAATTTAAAAAAAGATAAATTTTCACTTCAGGAGTGATTATTTTACCATGACAACTAAGCTTTAATAAAATCCATCAAATTTACTTTCCTATCAAAACTATAAATATAATGACATCACAAAAAGTCATAAAACAATACAATTATTAAGTTTGTATTTTCCAAATAGTACATTATATTAGTTTGCATAATAAAGGCAATCAACAGGCTTAGTGCTGCTCACAGGCAAACAAACAGAAAAGTAACATGGTCTCACTTGTGAAATATGGTTGATTGAAGATTCCATCCTCCGTAACTGGGATGCCTGGATATCCAGCATCTGTAGGACATTGTTGGCCAAGGTGTTTATCAGATATGCAACACTTGCTAAGGATTGGGTGGTGTAGGCTTTGGTTTCTTCTAGGGCTCGTTGCTTATCTGATGACTAGGGAGGAAAAAACAATGACCATTAATTTAAAGACAACTTAATCATCTGAACCCTTTTGTTACTGAACCTATAGCAACTCGAAAATATTATGAAAACTAAATGATTCAATGAATTCACTAATATTTTCAATTAACTATACATCTTTGTGTAAGTACAAATAAAATACTGAGGCTGTTATTTAAAATCTAAGTTCTGTGACTACTTCGAGCAATGACATCATATACACATCTTCCCAATTTAATTTCTTACATGCACTGATATAAATGTACATATTCTACTTTTCCTGAATTAATTTCATTCTCACTCATAATATGTCTGATCAAAGTATAAATAATGATAAAATGACTGATTATAAAAGTAAATGTTGCTATGGGCAGGATGTGATAGTGTACACCATTAATCCCAGCACGTGGTAGGCAGAAGCAGGTGGCTCTCTGAATTCAAGGCCAGCCTGATCTACAGCGCTGTTCTATTACAGTCAGGGATACATAGAAAAACCTCATCCAGTAGCTGATGGAAACAGAAGCAGATACCCACAGCTAAACACTGAGATGAACTGGAATCCAGATGTAGAGAGGGAAGACAAGACCAGGCTATAGAAACCCACAGACAGCTGACCTGAACAAGGAGGATCTAATGGGCCCCCAGACTAATAGCTGGGAAACCAGCATTGGACTGACTCAGACCCCCCTGAACATGGGTCTCAGTTAAAAGGCCTGGGCAGTCTAAGGGACCTCTGACAGTGGAACCAGGATGTATCTCTGGTGCACAAAAGGACTTTGGGAGCACATTCCCCATGGAGGGATACTCCCTTAACCTAGAAGCAGGAGGGAGGGCCACCTCAATATATCTGTCACTCATTAACAACTGCCTTTAAACCTATCTTCCACTTGTGTTGATAACATCCCTATTCTCTCATCCTGGATACTTCCCACCTCTCTGCATAACCACCTACGCACTTGCCAGATCTTCCACTCTAACTGGGTTTTTCTTTGGGGGCATGCTGGCCACATCCTACCCTAACATCTCTTACTAATATTTCTGTACTAATTTCCAAGACAGTACATAAAGTCTTAAACACAGTTCAAAAGTTTCATCTTCCCAAACCAGTTGAAGCCTCCATATCTTTCTGTTACTCACTTAAATATAAACAGACTCCTCTATTTACTATTTACAGCATCCCCTAATAAGATGTACAAGTTACTTCTCATTAACCTTACTGAGTCTTTACTTACAGAAAAATCAGTTTTATGGTCCTGAAAATACAAATCATAGTTTCCTATCTTTGTCTTCCAATTCAGCAGTAGTTTTTGCCAACATTTTATGCTCTGCCTGGATTTCAAGAAAAACTTCCCTGACTAACACTTACCAACCTTCACAGCAATTTACGACAGGCTTACATAACACAGCAATATATGCATGTTTCACTGCCCAAACTCACATATCCCGTAACAATAAGCCTCTGACACCTTTGCCTATTACATGTGAATCACCATTAGTTCTTTTCTATTACTTTTCCCCCGTTTTGTGATTGTTGCTGTTTGGAGTGATGGGGATCAAACAGGCATGCTAAGCATGTACTGGACTGCTGCGCTCACCCCAGGCCTCACCCAGTATCTCTTTAATGGGTAATGTACAAGTTCATTTTTCTACCATTCTAATGGTTCAATTACATCCTTTTCATCAGAATGTATAAAGTATTACATTCTTTAGACATTTTTATCACCACAGAATGGTAATAAGATAGAATTAGGCTTTCTCCCCTAGAAAATGACAGCCACAAGAATGAAGCGTTTAACCCAGCCTTCTAATATTTGTCCTTCTCACAAGGCAGCCTCCTTTCACAGTCATAAAGAGAGTTAAACCCTAAGAAAGGGGAACTGGGCACTGGCTGGATGTTCACTGATCCTAGCAGCTAAACAGACACCAGCTGCCTGCTCAGCCCAGCAGGAACTCTCATGCCCTATTTCCATCACCTAATGAGGGGGAAAGAAAGACAGAAAACTGGATCTGCAGAAGCTGACACCATCTAAATGACTTCCTGTACACCCAATAAGGGAGACAATTAAATTTGTGTCTCAATCTGATGTGATACTAGAGTGATAGAAAATACAAACAGGAACCCTGTCAACCCTCTGAAGACATTCAACTGCAGTATTATTAATACTTGTTTCTTGCTGTTATTTACCTCATTGTTTTACTTCTGCTAAACAGGACCACAGATTTAGTAGAAAAAAATGGGATGTGGATGACTCAGGAGGTATAGGAAAATAGTATTTAAAAAGCAAGAATAGGAATACTCAAAAGTGTAGCACAATTTCTAGTTGGTATTAATAATAAAAACCCAGACACAAATATTGAGGTTAAAGATGAAGATCAGAGAAGAAAAGCAGTCAGCCACCAGAAAGTTCTCACCTCTACCAATGCTCAGACTCAAGGGGTAATCACTGAACCTGAGACTGCTCCTCCCACTCCTCCCACTCCTGTCTCCTCCTGCCTTATACTCCTCTCTAGTGCTGGGATTAAAGGGGTAGGATCCAAAGTGCTAGAATCACCTTTGGGTGAGCTATTTCTCTTTTAGTCTGGATCAATTTCATGTAGCTCAGGGTGGCCTTAAACACAGACGCGTCTGCATCTGCCTCTGTTTCCCAAGTGCTGGGATTAAAGGTGTGTGTCACCACCGCCTGGCCTCTGTAACCGAGGCTAGCTATGTACTCTGATCTTTGTAGCATGAATAATAAAAGACTCAGAGTCTAATATTGGGGTCCAAGTTTCAAGCTGAAGATCAGAGAAGCAAAGTAGCCAAGCCAGTAGATCTTACCTCTACCTGGCTGAAATGGCAATCCTGTCTCCACAAACCCTCAGAGGCAAAAGCTCTCAGTTCCTGACTTCTCTGGCCTTATATTCCTTTCTCTGCCCAGCCATATCACTCCTGTCTCTGCCTCCCTAGTGCTGGGATGAAAGAAAGGCATGTGATCCCAGGTGCTGAGATCACCTTTGTGTGAGTTATTTGTTTTAGGATGGATCAAGTTTGTGGAATCACTGTGGCCTTGAACTCACAGAGATCTGTCTACCTCTTAATCCTGAGTCCTGGGATTAAAGATATGTGCCACCACAGCTCAGCTTCTATCACTAGCTGGTATGGCTGCTGGAATTAAAGATGTGTATCACCACTGCATGACCTCTATAGCTTGTGTCTTGATTTGTTTTCTGTATCCTCAGGCAAGCTTTATTTATCATAAGCAAAATATCACATTTCTCTATGACCTAACATATAAAAGCTTGAAGATCAGAGTACAAAATATTACCACACCAATGGAAATTCTTCTCTGAACACAGTGTTCCTTAAGACCTCAGACATTTGGACAAGATGGCTCAGCAGCTAAAGACACTTGCCACCAAGCCTAATCACCTGAGTCCCAGGAAACCTGACATGTTTACCCTTGGCAAGGTTACAGAAAACTCCAAGGATGCAGCTTTCATGAGTCATCATCCAAACAGGAGTGTAGTTTTAGCTAAAGAAACTACCTTGGAGCCATCTCTGTTTCTCTAAGTGACCCCTCATTCATATTCATCACATCATAAATAAATAAATAAGTAATGGCTCAGTACTCAAGGACACTTGGTGATCTTGGCAGAGAAGTCAACTTTGGTTCCCCACTCACACTGAGCAGCTCACAGTGCCTATAATTCCACCTCCAGAGGATCCAAGGTCCTCTTCTGGCCTCCACATATGCATACACACACTCACACACAAATAATTCAGTAGAGTAGCAGGATACAAAGTTAACTCATAATAGCCTTCTTACACACAAATGGCAGACTAAGAAAGAAATCAGAGAAACAATACCTTTCACAGTAGATATGATGGCTATTCTTGGTTGTCAACTTTACATCTGGAATGAACTATAATCCAGAAATGGAGGGCATACCCTTGAAAAATTTTTTGCTTGGGTGAATCTACTCTGGTATGGACCTTTGAGGTAGAATGCACACACCTTTAATCTGGACCTTGAGTCTGGAAGACACACTTTTAATCTGGGCTACACCTTCTGCTGGGAAGTCTATATAAGGACATGAAAGGAAGTTTTTGCTCTTTGCCTGCTTACTCTCTTCCTCCTAGCAAGTCCATTCTTTCACTGACATTAGAGCCTACTTCTTCAAATTCCAACATCTACTGACCAGCTGAGACATCTAGCCTCATCGATTGACAACTACTGGATTCTTGAACTTTCCAGTCATAGCCCACCACTGTTGGATTAGTTGGACCACAGGCTGTTAAGTGAGGTGGGTGTGTGTGTTTGTGTGTAGATATTCATTCTGTAAGTTCTGCTACTCTAGAAACCCTGTATATATGTATATAAAGAGATTCAATCTGTTAAGTACTATTACTCTAGAAAACACTGTATGTATGTATATACATGTGTGTATTTACGTATTATGTATGTATATAAAGAGATTCATTCTGCAAGTTCTGCTACTCTAGAGAATCCTGACTACAAAAGCCTTTTAAAAAATATCTCAAAAAAAAATTTAGAATAACTAACAAAGCAAACAAAAGACTTGTATAATGAAAAAATTTAAAGACATTTAAAGAAGAAGCCACCAGAAGATATAAAGATGCTCCATGCTTATGGTTGATAGAGTTAATACTGTGAAAAAGGCCATCGTACCAAAAGCAATCTACAGATTCAATGCAATCTGCACCAAACGTCCAACACAATTCTTCAACAACGTCTAAAAAAAAAAAAAAAAAAAAAAACCTTAAAGTTCATATGGAAGCAAAAAACCCAGGATAACTAAAAACTTAACAATAAAAGAGCTACTGATCACCATTACAGATTTTAAGTTACACTACAAGGCTACAGTAATAAAAATAGAATGGTATTGCCATGAAAACAAGACATTACTCAACTGAACAGAACTGAATAGCTGAACATAAGACTACATACCTACTCTTCACCTGATTTTTGTTTTGTTTTGTTTTGTTTTGTTTA